AATCACAGCAATATACTGTATGAACCCCAGGGCACCTGGGCTGGGGGAGGTGCTATGATCAAGTCATGATAGTAAAATTCCCTTAGGATCATTGAATTTAATGTGAACCACAAATCACAAGATCAGCTTAGAAACCGTTGTCACTGGAAGAAAATGTTGCTAGTACTTGATATGGGATCAATGTACTTTTTACTATAAATTCACACTTTTCTGTGGTAATTTTCCTCTCCCCTTCTGAGTCTTCTGCTACATTTCTTACCAGGTGACCAGAATTCACCTAGGAAGACTGAACTCACTGTCTCAGTCAAGCTTCTCTACATCAGTAGCTTTTATCAGCTCCTGGTGACTCAGCATAACCTTTAGTATTCAGTAACACTACTGGGAAATAAATTAATGCAATCCATCCTACCAGATTAGAAATTCTGCTAAATATTAAGATTGGAGAAGAATTGAGAAATCCCTTTGAAATAATTTTCAGTATTTGTTTTTTCTTCTTTTTTTTTTTTTTTTTTTTTTCTGTAGCTCTTTAACATTTGAGCAGAGGCTACCTTCATACACATTTATTATTAGAATACAAGATCCATTCGGTCATGCATAAAACAACATCTAGAAAGAGTGCAACAGAATGCACTCTTCCTATTTTGAACAACATAACTAATGCTCACTACTGCTCATGCTTTTCTGTCTCCATTTTAATTCTTGCAGTAGAATACTGTTCTGTGCTGTAAAAACAGTTCTGAACATGATGTGATTAACCCTAGGGTCCCCCCATCCCCTCATCTCAAAGCCCCCTTGTACATGGCCTATGCTTTCTATTCATGTTCAACCATCTGATTTCCATATCATCCCGCTCAGCCTCACAAGCGGCTATTAGCATAACAGAGCTTTAGTGTGACATTGATTGAAGCCAGCGCTTGCTGAATGCAGTATCAAAGCATAATTTGCCAGAAATCAAATCTAATTTACTGTGTACTATTTAAATTTATTTTTTTTAAAAAAAAAGTTTCAACAGAAGGATAGTAGGTTTGTAGTCTTAATTGTTCTTTTTTCGTATTTTTGGCTAGTCCCCTGGAATCCAAGCAATATATTTCCTTTTAAAGCCATTGTCTTTGACTTTCAAATGTCAATTAAGCAAGAGTTTTTCCACTCTGTTTCTTCCAATCCGGTTAATGTTACATCTGAAACAGTAAAGGGTAATAGTCTGATAGGCACAACACTCAGTTTGCTGCTTCATAACAGTTTTTTCAACAGATTCTTCTAATGACCTCAATGTTTAGCTTGAATTAAGCATTAAAGTACCATATAACTTTAACAGCTGAAGCATATCAAACCTGCTGTTATTTCTTTTAACTGTACCTTTTCAGAATATTTTAAAAATTCATATACTTTGAGAGAAGAAATGATGGCTTGAATTAAGTTTTGTCCAATGTTCCACTGAAGCTGGGCTTTGAGCAAGTCATGATATCAGTTAAGGTCTCTGTAAAATACGAGTAATAATGTTTTTCTATCTTTATAAGCAGCATCTATGTATGAAGATAATGAGCTCTCTTTTTAGGAAAATTGATGAGCTCAAGTGCTTATTCTGTCAAAGAAGCCTTGCTGTCTCTGGGCAGGATCGCGATGTGTTCTCTGGGTATAATGGCAGTCTTACTGCTTTGGTAGTTTTACTTGACCAAGAATTACTACTGTAATTATTAACTGTTAGTTTCAGTTTTCAATTTGCATTATGCAACTAGAAATAGATTGATAAAACTGTTATGGTGAAAACACTGTTTAAATGCTGTAGACAATGTCATTTTTATCAGAGGTTGACTATAAACAGAGCTACAGCTGAATATGACAGCAAACTGGAACAAAGTGGGGGTTTCCTTTATTATAAAACCCCATCTTTGAATAAAGTAAAAAAAACACATACAAGGTTTTATTTTTCCAAAATGATGATTTTCATGTTCTTTAAAATTCTGGTATTAAATAGTTTGGCTAAACGAGTTGGGTTTGTGTTCTAATTAATGTAGCGATGAATGAAAGTCATCTCCTTGTGAAATCAAGAGAGTATATTTAAATAAAAGCTTTGATTCATTTATTTATTTTTATAGTGAATTTCTAGTAATTATGACTGCAGAGAAAAGCTAGAAAGAGATCCTTGCATAACCATACATCACTGTTTACAGAAGTCTTTAGAAAGTCTAATCTAGTAGCTATGAGGCCATGGATCTTCTGTTCACCTAGTATGGCAAATGCTGGAGAGGACTTGGTGTGTGGCAGGGAGAGAACAGAGCATAAGGGTCAATCCACATTATTTATATCATCTCGACTGAGCTACAGCTTTAATTTCTGCTTCTTTGTCTCTTTTTGCAAAATAAAGGATCCTTTTTCTGCTCTTAGGAAAGTGAGAGATGTTCAAAGTTAAGGGTAGGTCAAAAACTAGAAACTAGGTAGAAACTAGGATATTTGTTTGGTTATTCAGTTACGTGATTTGAAGGATAGGCTCATGGAAATGCCACACCTTGTTCCTTCTGTTGGGCTGTCTCAGAGCACTGTCTGCATACCATACCCCCTGTGCACCAGGCATGCCCACAAAGTGATCTTCGGCATTGATCGCACTTAGGTATGATCTATGGAATGGTCTGTTGACACCAGGTTTTTATCATCATGATGGAAAGAGTATGGTCTTGAGGCCACCCATAACACAGCATAGACATAGGACTCATGCATAGTTCCTGTCAAATGCAGATGTAACACCTGAAGAGGTTAGAGGTTTTCTGCTCTCCGCTCTGCCTGAGGTTGTTATTGATTCTATATTAATATCCTGGGCAATGAACTTCTGTGGCTGAGCACCAAACACTAAACTAATTCAGTGACCTTTATTAAGTCAGAGCTGTAGTGATACCTTAGTGTAAGGTATGCCTATAGGAATGAAAGTTTCTATTTCACAATTTAAGCGTCTTTTTCCCTTACCATATGATTGAATGAAAAAACACATGTGCCAATTATCACATTACTGTTTACTGACACCTGTAGGGATTGTGTACAGATGTGCTAGGTAAAACAAGGTGAGGGAAAAACAAGTAACTTGATGCAGTCCAGCACTTTAGGAATAGTACAGCATGAGTTTGGATCATAGAGTATGCGTAGCAACACCCATGCTCTTACAGAAACCACAAAACATATGGATATAAACAGGCAGCGGCAGGGCACCTCGCCCTTTGTCCCTGCCTTTTCAGAAGACCAACACCTGTTGAGGCCAGGGGAAGAGGTGGACACTTCTCTCTTCAGAGAGGCCAATCCCTGTGTTTAGGAATGTGAGGCAGAAAGAAGACTCCTCTTGTTGTTCTCACTATCTGCCTTCTAAATTGATGAAGATTCATGTTTATTAAGTGCTTTACAGTTCTTGTTTTAAGAATACATTATACCAGCGCTATTCAACTGGTGCTCTTTAATCTCCTGCTGATCTGTACAGCCTTGGGAAGTACCTCATGAGATAACTGCAAAGTGTATTTCAAAAAAGTCAGATCTGCATACATTTCTATGCAGTTAGCAGATTTGCGTCTGTGCTGTCAGCAGGTGTAATCGGAAGCTGGGTCTTGATTGCTCTTCGTGCCTAATTAAATAGTTTGTAATTATAATGGTGGAAATATGGTTTTCTAAAACACTTAAATTCTGTTTACCCAAAAGCTTACTGTTCCTAAACCATCTCTCTCCACAACCACCAAACCAATAGTGGAATTAAAGAAAATGAATGTTTGGGGTTTATTTTACTATTTTGTCCCCTTCTTCAGCCTGCCCCAAAAGTTAGCTAGTCTTTTAATGAGAAGATCTGGAGATACTGCTTACATTTTAAAAATATTCCAGATAGTAAAAATCCAGTTCCAGTGAATTCCAGTGTTGAAGCAAGACTAGAGGGTTTGCATGTCACACATAGAGAAGTAATTTGCTTTGTCAAATCATGTTCAACATAGTTGCTGATGTAATTTTTTTTTCTCTCAAGTCCTCCAGCACTGCTTCTTCCCCTTTCCTTCTGCACATTAACACCTTTTATCTCCCTTCTTGTTCCCACCAAGCACTGACTCTTTATTCTCCATCAGTACACCCAGACAAGTCAAACTATGCCTTTCCTTTGGAAATTGCTCACTTCTGACTTTGGTTCCTGGTCCCCTATGTCTGAACACTGTTAATGCCATCTACCTGAAAACATAGCCAGTCATGGTGGTTCTTTCTTGTTTTAACTCCACTTTCTCCTTCTTTAACTTGTCTCTCCTTGATCTCTGAGAATACCTATTCCTTCTTACTCACCACTCACTGCTGCCCCATAACTCTTCAACTCTTGCTTCTTTCTTGTCTTTACACAAGCTGAAACCTGGATCTCCCAAGTTTGTGTTGTTTTAGCAACCATTCTTTTCACAGCAAATCCTCCTTCTCCCTCCATTCTTGACCACGCTATCACTAAGAGAAGTGAGGGAGCTCTTGAACTTCTGTCCTACTGCTGTCATCCAGATCTTTCTGTTCTTTCTCAATCATTTTTAAAAGTCTAGAGGAGCAGACTGAAAAAGACAGTCTATATTTCCTAATTCATACATTGTAAGGCACTGTAGGTCCAGCACAACAGCAAGCTCTATGAAGCATGGAGGGCATGAGAGTGCTGGTAGCTGCCCAGTCTAAAGGTAGAATACATCCAGAGGAAGAATCATAAACCTGACTGCTACTCCTTAGCATTTATTGTCATCAGAATTTACTCTAGCATGTATGGTTGTTATTTTTTTTTTAATTTTTATTTTTTTTTTACAACTGGGGATATCACATACTGATATTGCTGCTCTTTCTGTTGCTGTTATTGTTTTTGTTTATATATTAGTTCTGTCTATACTAATTAATGTTTCTGGTGTTATGTCCTCTGGCATAAAACAAATCTCCATAACATTGTCTTCTCTTTCCTTCAATATTCCTCATCTCCCTCTTGCAAAATATCCTGAATTTACACCATGGTTTTTCTTACATTGTAGCTCCCCCACAGTTTGTGGTGAGACCACGAGACCAGATTGTAGCCCAGGGTCGAACAGTGACTTTTCCTTGTGAAACTAAAGGAAATCCCCAGCCAGCTGTTTTCTGGCAAAAAGAAGGAAGTCAGGTAAGTTTTAAGCACCCTATAAGTCTTTCAAGACTTTCTAAATAGTTATATTGTTAAATTTTAAAGAAAATTATTTATATTACCTTTCACAGGTTCTTATAATCTTTCAAAGGAGTTTGTCTTTTAAACTATCATTGTTCTCTACCAACATTTTTTTGCTGTTTTTAAAAAATATTAATATTGTGAAGAACTGAAAGGCCATTTAAGTTGGTGAAATTTGTACTAGGTGCTGTATAAACGTATAGAAAGCAACAGTATGTACCTTAAAGACTTTTCATTCTGAAGCCCCCAACAAACAGGTAGGTGAGACAAACATAGATAAAAAAAGTATGACTCGATTTTTAACTAATCAGAGTCAGTAATTACAGTTCACAACCTGTCTAGACATGATCAAGCAGATATATATCTAGCAAGCTGATTTGCATTGGATTATTCTCATAGCACATACAGATACAGGTTTTGAACATGCAGATGCTTTCTTCAATAAAATTGTCTCAGGAAATTTCCAAATCTGGTTTTGGAAATGTTTCCCTGATCCTTACTTTCATTTTTTGAAAGACGAATTTCTGATGGATCAATCAGTGCTGTCATCAGCCAGTACTAATTTCTGTAGCTTAATATTTGAATGTCATCCCATGACATTTTTTTACTGCTGTTACTCTATTGACACGTTACAGCAGAAGTCGGGCCTTCTCCCTCTCAATGTGCAGTTGATGTTAATATGTTAAATTTGAACATTGTAAACCATGTGCCATATTCTCTCTTGCACCTGAGAAAACATTAAAACAGGTAAATGGATGACCAAGGACAGTGCCTTCTGTATCTTCCTCATGAAGCCTGTCATGGCTATGTCTATGTTTCTATACTATGTACCCTTCTCCACTGACTAAATGAGTCTTTTCAGAGCCCTGTGCTACTTTTTCCCACATGGTGACATGTGAGTTAACTCAAGTATCCACACTGTGCTGCGCAGTGCAGGTGAGCCTTTTGCCTAATCTGGAGGCATGGTGTGTACCAGCTCAGCTAAAACGTGAGATAAGAACTGAACCGCAGGACTCTTGCTCTGCCCCACCTGCTTCTGCTTCACCTCCTCATGAGGTCAGACAACTGGTCCAGAATGACAGAACTGAGGCTGACAGCATTTTGTGCTCTGTTGCATTTGTCTTACAAAGATACAACACTATTTATGAGTGTAAACTTGTATGTAAGCTTAATCTTCAGTGTATTATTTGGAGAACTTTAGATCTAGCCTCCATGGATCACATCCTGGAAAAGCACAGTATTGTGAGTCTCACTAAGGTGAAAAGTGTTCCAAGGGGAAAGTAGAATAGCATATTGAAATTAAAGTAGGAAGTACTGATGTGCTAGCAAACATTTCAAACCCCTTCCTTGTAGAGCATTTTAATAACATGGTAATGTTTATGTAAAGCGAGCTTATAGTGTCACACTTGAATCTAATAAAGTGGACATCCATCATGCTGTAATAAAGAGAAGAGCTTCTAATTAAAGTAGGACATCATTTGCAGGATTAAAGTCATTTAGTGTAATTGAAAAGTGTTAATACTCTATTTTATCCTCCTCCACTGGTATCATTTCAAGGGTAAAAACATTTTAAGGTGAAAATGCATCTTGTGTCTTTAATTGAATGTTATTACCTACTGATTGTACCATGTTGAAGCTGTTTAAATACAAACCTGGAAGATTAATTACCGTATTGAGAACCACATCCCTGAGGGTTAGAATGGTCTTTTTTGGAAAATAAGTGAAACATAAAAATTGATAAGTACATGGTTTATAATCAAGCCTTGAAACATAGCTCAATGTGATTCACTGCACCTTCATGTTAACCTTAATTGAGCATCAGTGAAGTAACACAGGTTATTGTTACCATCTCAATATACAACTTGCCAGATTTTGCAATGAGATGCTATAGAATAGGTGAGTTTCCACTTACTGTATATCATTATATGAATCTTGAGGGAACAGTATTTTGGCCAAATTACATGACTTTCTGCCTTGGCGTGCCTGGCTATTTCTTGCTTGGCTTTACAACACTTGCTTCATCTTTTACTGGAGGAACTGTTTGCAGCACCACTGTTAGTGTTCAGAGTAATGTTATGTAGTCATGTTAGCCCGCTCCAGTAATTGTAGGGCATTTTTCACTGTGAATCCATTACTTGATCCAGTGTTTCTGAGCACAACCAGCTGGAAGGGAGGGGAGCTCTTCCCTCCTGAGTCATTTTTTGTGCCAGCTTGTGCATAAACAGCTGGTCTTTGGTACTCAGTAGCCTTTTCCCCAGAGCCTAACAGCCGCCCACCAAAGAAATGCACCAAGGCAGGGTATGTGTAACCTTTAGACTCTCTGGATTAAATTCTTCCTTGAGATAAATTCTGTGGTATTATATCAGGGATGACTTTGGTTCCCCTGTTTGCAACCCAGCATGGCACCATTGTGCCCAGATGAGCAACCTGACAGCTAACTAAAACCAGTGAAATTGCAAAAACATTTAAAAAGGGGTTGTACGGTAATTTAGGACAAGTTATAATTCATAGTTATTTGGTCTTTGAAGGGAGAAGTGATGAGACTGGTGAACTGAACTGAATATTCACTGGGATGTGGTACCTCTCCAAAACAGACAAGCCCATGCTGAAGATGAAAAGAAGGGTAGCTTCCCCTTTCTAATGCAGTGATAAAGAGGATTCTGGATCTTTTTCCTCTTAAGAATTAGGATCTTGATCCTTGTGCTGTCTTTTATGTTGTGTTTCTTTTTACACTTTGTATACTGAGTGATAAATGGAGTCAAGCTCATCCATATGAAAATTCTCTGCTTTCTCATAAAATTTGGTGGAGTTTTCATAATACCCTCATTCGGTAGGTATCTGTGCCAGGCAGAGGTTATTCTGAAAGTTTCAAGGCAATACAGAAAACGAGGCAATTTTTTGAGATCCACTTATCCCTGTAGCCTAAAATTGTTTCAGAATTTTCACACTTTTTTTTTTTTCTTATTGGATCTGACATGTTTACTGGGTGCATATTGATTTTTGAGGAAAAATTTGCTGTGAAAAATTTATTGAAGATTGACATTGAAAGGGGGCAAGAGGAAAGACTCACCCTAGGGTGACATGTAGCCTAGTAGGTTAATACAATTTTAAGCATACTTGGAGTGTTGGATCTTATTTAAAGCATATCTCTCTCCTTTTATTGCTGAAACCAGAGAGATAAAGGTGTGAGTTTCACTTCAAAGCAGAATTTTTTTAAATCCAAATTTGTTGCTTGTTAGTTCCAAACAATTTTTTGTAAACTATTTAGGTCCACTGCAGAAGAAGCAGATCTACAGAAAATTAATTTAATACCCTACTGTATAATTTTAGATTTTCTTTTAAACCCATATAGACAAGCTTAAAAGTTAGTAGCAAGTCATCATTAGAAAGCACAGCAGAGCTATACAGAGCTGCAGTACTAATGAAAGCTTATCGCATCATGGTAACGGTGTTTTGGGATATTCTTGATGCAAACAGTTGTATTTTTCATAGAGTTGGCATAGAAGTCAGACTCTATTTTCCTGGGATTACTGTTGTTTAATTATTGTTTAATTTGTTTCCCTTTCTTTCTCATTGGGCAATGCTGCTGACCTTTCTGTACACATCGCCTCCCTTTTCCTCTTCTTTTTTATTCACATGAAGAACTGTGCCAGATGGTATAACTTTTTTCTTGAAAACATGGCCCTCACCACTAAAACCTTTTCAGTCCTTGTCTGTATTATTGATTCATTCAGTCCTTCATCATATGCAATGACTACTACATCCATTCCAGTTATTCTTATTGACATCTCTCTCTTCTCCAATCCAGCCCAAAGGCAAAATCTAATGTCCCTGTTTTGTGCTAACTGATGTTTTATCCTACATAAAATTATTTTTTCTCTCTGATGATCTCCACGTCAGATTTATACACTTTCTCTTCACCCTTAAGGCTCCATGCTGCTTTTCTCCTTTGGTATATCTCAGTTTTAATTTCCTTTTACTTCTTTAAGCTGTCATGCTCTGCCAGCTTCTCGTACTTTATGACCTGTTTGTATCTTCCTCCCAGCTTTTCTTCTGTGCCACGTTCTTACTTTGTCCTTTGTCCAGAACATATTCACAGCCAAACAATAGATCCCTCAAGTCTCCAGGATTCAATTCTTTCTGCTAGTTTTCTAATGTCTACTGTAGTACTGTGTCCTCCTGGTTTGATAGCCAACTAAGTTTATTATTACAGTTACATTCAGAATGAAGATGAATGTTCACAAATACAAATTAGTCAAGTGTGATTGTTGGAAAATTTCTCTTTGCCTATACCCCCCGCCAGAACACATCACTGTGTGCTGTTTCTAATTTAAACTGCAAGTTGCCCAAGGCAGGGAAAGCTAGCTCTATGTGTTCATAAAGTTGTAACCACACTTGCTTTTTCTTCTAGTTTATATATAGTACTTTTAAGGAAAAATCATTGTCTCTCTAGCTGAGGAAAAGTGGTGCTCTTCTGTTTTGAATTGATATGAGATGAATTGTCTTTGCAGAATCTACTCTTCCCAAACCAGCCTCTCCAACCCAACAGCAGGTATTCAGTGTCACCAACCGGAGACCTGACTATTACAAACATTCAGCGGTCTGATGCAGGCTACTACATTTGTCAAGCACTGACGGTTGCTGGAAGCATTTTAGCCAAGGCTCAGCTGGAAGTTACTGATGGTGAGCTATAGAAATTCCTATTGTTTTTTCCTGTCAAAAGTATTTTAAAAGCAGTGTAAATAGAGGCATATGAGAACACATGATTTGTACAATTAAATGAACAAGTTTCTACAAAAAATACAATGAAAAGGCTCTCTGTGCAATTCTCTGTGGTATCAAAAAGGCATCGAAGTCTAGTTTGCCTTTTGCTTGCTTTCTGAAGGTTCCTTAACAATGCAAAAAAGGGACAAACCAGCTTAGAATAGGGTTGGTGAGAAAGCAAGCTGTTCAGTTCACTAGAGCTAAGATAGGACTGCAAAAAAGCATTGTGAAGAATAAATAGGTTTGTGATAAAAGCAGAATAATGAGGCTCAGTTCTCACCAATCTTCAGTATTATTTTATGCAGCTAGTTCAGGAATGTGTCCTTAGCTCAGTTAAAACAACACAGTTGCCTTGAACTTACTGGAGTACTGTTGGTTTAGAACAGCTACAACATGTAGCGCTTTAGTGCCTGTGTGAATAAGGCACCTACCTCAGACCTATGTTCTAAGAATGTCTCAGTATAGTTAGGTGTGAAAAGAGTCATGGAAATATGTAGGTAGAGAAGAGGTTTCAGGAAAGGAAAAGCACTATATGTTTAATCTTGATGCTTTCCATTTCAAAATTTTGGGTTTGAAATTTATCCTGCCTTGAAATTTACTTTACTCCATCTACAAATATGAATCCTTTTTGTATGTCAGGAGTCTTGGTGATATCCTTCTTCATCCCATTGTGGATAGAAGGCAGTTTGCATCCTTTAATGTTAGTGAAGAAAACAACAGAATTCCTCTTGTACTAGGAGATTGCAGCATTCCTCAACATCATTATTCCTTATCTTAACTGACTCATTAAATATCTGCTGACAGACTTTGATGAATTTTTGCCATTAAAACTGTTGTTATATGCAGAGGTCTACTTTTACTGTTCCCTTAGAGACCTGCCTGCACCATGAAAGTTTGAAAAGATGTCTGATTCTGAATAATCTGGCTTTTCACGAGAGCATATTCATCACAAGTGACAGGTAGAGAGGTTCAGGCTCATGTTGTAGAGGTTTGAGCATTAATTTGATGCCTTTTCTTTGTTTTCCAAAAGCTGTCTATATTTTTATGACAAGGGGAGATAATTTTTGCCTTATCCTTGCATGTTTACAAGCACATTGCTTTTCTGTAAAATAGTTTCTGGAGACTAAAGGCCAACCCTCACTCTGCAATCTCTGTAAGTCCTTTCCCTCATGGTCTTTGACAAAATGATGCATTTTCATTCAATTCAAATTTAAATGTAGATTAAAAGGTCATTTAAAATTAATGGAAAGGCAGTATTTTTTAATATCTGTCCATAGTGCTGGCTGATTCAGTGCCGTGACTGTGATTGGAATAAATATAACACACAAACATTGGTTAAGAGGACATTGAGCTGTTAATGGTTGCACCTGCTGATGCTGTACAGATTTACTGCAACAGGGGTCGAGTGGATCAAATCAGATTCAAGGATATTAATGATTAGAAATTCTTCCTTTTGACTGACAAGGCCTGTGGTCCATCTTTATCTATTTCTTGTGTGGGTGGAAACAGATAAATCCCAATTGACCTCTTTGGAATCTTCATTAGTTTGTTTAACAAGTCAACAGAAAGCTCACAAAAGGGTCCCTTCTAAAATGCAAACTCATCTACAATTAATTCTGATTAAAGGCAGTGTGCATTCCACATTGTTAGAGAAAGCATTAAATGGTGGCTCTGCTGCTCAAAGAATGCAAGGCCTGCGTTCTTCAAATGCTTTCCAGAACCCACTGTCAGCATGATCATTATGAAATAATAAAGTTGCTTTATAGAAATACCATTTCATCCTTGAGTCAAAGGGCAGGTGAGGTCAGAAGAAAAGTGCCAAAACAATATTGTGGAGCTGAGATTATATAAATAAATGTACCACTAGATCACTGATATTTCTTTAATTGCTTTCAGTTAGGACGTTAACCATAAATGTCTAAATAATCTGTTTTGGTTGACGCTGAGCAGAAGTTATGGAAGCTAATGATCTTTATCAGTAGGGAAATCTAATTTAATGGTTTTTAAAATATAATAAAAGATAAACACTGTGCATGCTAGCTATATACTTAAGCATCAGTGTTCTAGTTTTTGGCTGGTGATTTTAGTTTTACTTCATAGCCCAGAATTTTTCTGTTTGGTTAATGATTTAATAATAGTGGTGAGCCATCTTTTTCATTTTGAACACATTTTTGTTTGATCCAGAGTAATTTAGAACCAATTGAAGTTCCAATACAGAATGAAAACATATGTCATGTGCAGAAAAACAAGTGCTTAATTATACCATATATAGCAGTGTTTCAGTTGTTACATTTTTGCACTTACAAGTCTTTAATGGAAATATTTTTAACTCAAGTGTTCACATGAGAAGAGATTACTAACTGTGATGAAATGTGCTGAGTTGAGTGATAATTTTGCTGATTATGGACTGTGCTAAGAGCCTTCAGTGTATTTGAAATTCAAATCTTGTATTTTCTTGAAAGGCTATCATGTAATCCACTGTCTAACACACATCTGGAAAAGCAAAATCATTTTAAAAATTGAGACAATCTTAGCAATCCTTTCAAACTCAAGAAGTGAATATGCAGTTCACAGTCTTAAAATGACAGATCATGCAAATAAACCAACTGCTTCCATCTAACTATGTCTGTGCTCAAGATAAAAGGAATAGTTTACAATTAGTAATTTGTTCCATAAATTTATCCAGCATGCACAGAATATTTTGGAGAAGATCTCAATTTCTCCTCATCTAGTCATTATTAATATTTATTAATAAAAATTGTGACTACTGCATGTTCAACTGTACGATCAGCCTACTTTGCCCTGTTTACTCCACAGTTGCTGTTTAGGGTGAGTATTGGGATGGGTAAGCTTAACCTCCCAGTGTGGATTTTTCTGGCAACGTAAGAACAAACTGGTTTAGGATATTAAATTAATTAAAAAGATAATGTTTCTGGGCTTTTGAATGAAAGCAAAAGACTGGACCTATAAAGGTAATTCAGAACAGATTACAAAAAACGAGAAGGGGTTGGCAGCATACCTCAACAGCTCCCTCTCCACTGATTTGGAACAGACACTTAATGCATTTTTCCCAAACTCCTCTGCAATTTTTTAACTATAGGTCTATTGAATATTCTGGGGTATATCTCTCTCAGATCCTCCTGGAAGAATTTAATATCACTCACAGTTTACTTGTCTGCAAGTCTGGCCACCATGATTCCTATCCTTCATCAAATGTCTATTACATGTTTTGTAGCAAATGTGACAGTTTCAAACAGGAGAGATTCAGAACAACTTTACAGCCTCCTGTGAAGCTGTTCTGCAAAAAAGACAGAAGAAGGATTGGTCTCTGCTTTTCCACCTCTCAGGAGAGCACCCTGCTGCATCATACTAGTGTTCATCATGAGATTTTTGTGACTTGTGTCTCATTTTCCCTATTAATTCACCAGGAAAACTTTTGAAATGTTGATTTTGGAAGTGCCAAATTAAAGGCTTCCTTTTGTCATTATCTTATTTTCATTTCCTGTTGTAATTTGGCCAAATTCCACACAAATTTAAACATGTTTTCAGTTGATCCAAATTGAATTTGTAGTAAGCTGCTCATTAACAAATATAATTTGTTATTTTCTGTTCTGATGCTCTGCTCAAAATTTAAGCTGAATTTTATCACAGAAGGTATCTGATAATTTTTCAGTTACCAGAATATGTGAATATATGGTTTCTGGCAAATAGTTTCAAAACTTTTTTTAAAAATTAAATTAGTTTTGAAATCAACTTCTATTTTATTATGCAAATATATTTTAGTCACACAGAATTTTTCCGTGGAATGGGTATAAAAGCTTCCTGATAGGAGAAAACAATGTAAAACTTAAATAAGAAAACAAAATATTTTAAAAGAAACTAACAAAACTCCCAACCTCTTTGTGGATATTTTTTATTATCAATCTGTTCCTCAGAGTGCTTATGATATATCTTTTCAAATCTCTAATCGTGTTTTGGATCCTTACTAATGAGGAGACCTCTGTAGTTGGAATACAAGCACATATACACGTTTTAGAGAAGATTTACAAGTCATAGCTTTGGAGACAATACAGTCGTTCACAGATCAGTGGAAACCCTAAGTGTTCATTTAACCTTTAGCCTTAGTGTCATGGAAACCTGTAGTGGTCTTTCACCCATAACACCCTTGAAAATGAAGATTCCTTCTGGCCAGGAGACTTTCAATTACACTATTGATCAGAGCTATTTAAAGGATTATGAGCTCCTCATTTGGGCTGTAAAAAAACTAATTACATGCTAAGGAACAATATGTGTAATGCAGTAGGCTTTCAAAATACCTACATTGCTACACATAGGAAAGGCAATTAGATGCAGCAAATAACTGCAATGGAATAGTTAACAACTTAAGTAAATAATTTTCCTTAATTTTTATCTACCCGTAAAACTAGGATTTGCTATTTTACATTAACTCTAAAGGAAAATTTACACAGCTAAGTTTTAATTTGAATATACTTGTGATGCAGGTATACTGATAGTACATATGAGCTAAGATCAATTTTTATTTCACAAAGTGGCTGAACTGTGTATCCGTAAGGGACATTAATGAGATAAAAAAAAATTGTATCAAGGTGAAAATGCATTGCATTTTCTCTTTTCTTGTAATACAGTGTTTCCTCTCCTATCTCTGATTTCAGTGCATATTTCAGAATTTCAAAAATAAATTTCACATTCTGGTGTTAATAAACAGTCTGCATTGACTTTCTATTTGCAGTTTCAATTTCAATAAATGTGATGAACTCACACTCCAAGATGCTACTGATACTAATGATTCTAACCTTTGTGTATCTTGTTAACAAAAGAAGGTGGTTAGTATTTTTGAAACATTACAATTTCAGAAACAATTATTTTAGGTATAAAATGTACCACTAATATCTCTGTAATATTTTTTATTTATTAAATTGACGTTATCAAAATAGCATAATAAAAACGCTTTGGATCTGTTGAGGGCTCCAGAGGTTTGCATCTCAAACAGCTCAAATACAACAGACACCATATTGCTTCACAATAATTTATTTTCACTTCATTGTTAGAGTCAGGTGTTGTGTATGGACTACAATGCAACAGATTCTCAGCTAGAATAAATGATTCAAAGTCAGTTTGCATCAATGAAGACAGGCTAACTTATAATGGTTTAGGAGCTAATCCTTCCTGTTACAATATTTAATAACAATCATTGTATAATTATTCAGCTGATCAAAGATTTAAAACAGCAGCAGTGTGGCAGTTAAATACATAAAAATGTATTCTGGGTTCTGTTATACTGATTTTATGCAGGAGTCATAGCCTTGTTTATATTTAAGTTTTTCACATTAATTTTGTATAAACACATTCTTTAGAAACAGTTATATTTTGCTATTTAACAGATGGCTCACAGAATAGGTTCAACAGCATAATTATTTGTGAAAAATTGTTTTTTCAAGAAAAGTGAACATGATCATTTTGCCTCATCCTCAAGATGTCCCACTGGTCTTGGAATGAGGTTTATACATGGCCATGCACTCACTCACTTGTTACAGAGTCCTTTAAGCAGTATTTAAAGCATGCAAATGTAAATTACTAAAAAAATTGGGACAATTCATGTCCTTAAAAAGTGATTAAATGATTTGATAAGCAAGCTGTTGAATTGCTTGATTGACTTTGAACTTTTCTACACTAGAAAGAGTGGTGCAGTAATTTAGATCACTCAAATTATGAAAATGTTTTGTATTATTGTTAGATATTTTGCTGATGAAAACTTGCAAGTGGAGCATGAATGGGGTATATGGCTGGTACCCACGCTAGAATGGCTACGGTTTCTCACTTTGAACTTTAACAGATTTTCTCTTTTAGGCCTTAAATCAGGTAAGCAATTAAGCACATTTTGGTGTGACATTAAACACGTGCTTTAAGTGCTTTCCTAAATTGGAGGGGAAAAAAAGATGTACCTCAATTATTTTCTGGATCAAGGTCTTAATTTTCATCCTATCTTAATCAAGTGAGTCTGATGATCTTTGCTAATAGAAGTTTGTGTATCTAGGTGTTCTCTCGCAGTGGTGAAATAAAATTCTTACAAAAATGTTTTTAAAATATACCAGTTAATTGTTAACATGTATCTGCGAGTCTTCCAAAAATAATGTTTTTAGCCTTCTAGATACTAACTGAAACAAGTCTGTTAAAATTGGTCCTGGGTCAAGGAAAGGGCTAACTGCAGCAGGGAACTATTAAAGGTGTGAATGCCAATGCCTGTGTCCCTGTTCAGTCTTGACAGATAGGCCTCCACCCATCATCCTCCAGGGGCCGGTCAATCAGACGCTGGCAGTGGATGGGACAGCTTTGCTGAAGTGCAAGGCAACCGGCGACCCCCTTCCTGTTATCAGCTGGTTAAAAGAAGGATTCACCTTCCTGGGCAGAGACCCTCGAACATCCATACAGGATCAGGGGACACTTCAGATTAAAACTCTGCGGGTGAGTATCAAGAGCAAAACAAGTGCTAAAAGTGGTACATGGCTAGTCTTGAGCTATTGGTGTGCCCCTCAAGCAGCTCTGCTGTCTTTCTGTCTATTGTCTTCAAAATTAACCTAATTGTCTCTTTTACTATTAAATTCTCACCAAGTCCACATCCTATTTCATTCTTTGATATTGTGTAGGGAAGGGTGGTAAAAAAAAAAAAAAAAAAAAAAAAAAAGAGCCAAACTAGCATCACGTATTTCTATTGGAATTCACTAAAAATAGAATTGATATTTAAAATCTTACATATGTTGCAATAAAAGACATGAGTTGGGGATGGATAGACATGTAAAAGGACAGGCCTTTATTATCTTTTCAGTCAGTCTTACCATGGAGGAATTGGCCTGTTGTCTCTGTTAAAACTTAGTTCATTTTCAACACCTAATTATAATTTTCCAAGGAGCTGTTTTGCTAGCAAGTGATTCTGGAGTTCATAAGGGTTTGGCTGTGCACTTTCTTTATCAATGAGTCTTGGCATTCTTGATCTGGCTGATTTATTCCAATGTTATGCTTGCTGGAGATCTTCCATCAGGCTGTGGATGGGAAAAGACAGCTAATACTGTAACAAACATGCAGTCATATGCGGAGGGATTCCTATTCAAAATTAAATGCCTATCATAATATTTACATTTTGACACATAAGATAATATGATATCTTAGAAATACAAAGAAATCTTATAATATTTCAAATAGCATAATGTCAGACTTTGTTGATAAACATTGCATCACAAATCTTTGTTTGAGATTTTAATTTTTCCCTGTTCAAAGATAAAAATATGTTCTTGCTTGTGTGTATGTGGACAAGCATGTATATGAAAAAATAGTAAGATAAATGTAATTATTTGTCAAGAACTTAAAGGCAATTTCAGAAACCATTTAATTTCATCAGCAGTAACTTCTGCACTTTGCCATCCAAAAAAAGTCAATAAACATCACTACCAAGGACAAGACGTAAAGTGCAGTTTTGTTTTCTGATACTATTTCATCAGTTATCATAGATGAATTGTTAACTTCCTTGGAACAAAATGGAATTTATTAAAAAATTTATGCTAGCATTCCTTGAGTAAACAATTTATCCTTCCTCCCTGGACCGAAGGCAGGTTTAGGCCATGAAGGTTAATGCATTTTTCCTGTAGAGCTGGATTAAAGAGCGCGCTTGAATAGTCAAGATTCCCCAGTAGTGTTAGAAAGCAGCAATTAAAGGTGGAAGCTTAGTGATTTCAAACAAACTTTCAGGCATCAATGATGGGCTTCTGTGGAGTGTCCATGAGGCAGAAGCTCCTGGGATACCTGTCTGCATGCAGCTATGCAAACAATGAAATTGGTTCTGAATCGTGCCAGTGCATTAATCTCGCTGTTAGAGGCACAAGGTCTGTAAACGAAAGGAAAAAAAAATGCTTGCAAGGGGAGAAGAAAACAGTATTAGTAGTAAGTGTGGTTTTGAAAGACATGGAGCTTTTATTGATCCTTAAGTGGCTCATTCACTGGTAACCAATTTTCCTTAAAGGCTTAGAAAGATGTTTTTTATAAACCCCTCGATTGCAGTAATGTGCACTGTTCAACTCAGACTTAAGAACAAAAGCCACACACAACCATAAAAAACAGATTTCTCCTGTACCTTGCAATTTTTATGAATTAAATGTGGATTTAAATCTGAATGTTTAACTGTTCACTTAGGTCTAACTGAGCAAAGACTAGCAACACTTCCTAAGCAAAAAATCACCACGAGACATATCCAAGTATACTTACATACACAAGTTCAAAACAAATTAGTATTTATCACTCACATGTCCTCAGCCTTCTCCTCCTCTCACAAATAGTAACCACTATTGCAATTGTAAAAGATTTCAAGATATGGGTAAAGATGAGCCACTACTATTTAAACCTTTGAGACCATCCTCTTGTGCTATGTAACTGTCTTTATGTGTGTAAATCAAATTATTCAGGAGTCTGCAGCAGTCACAGTGAACCATGGGCCACTGTCATAAACGTGAACCTAAGATTTTTCTGATGAACCAGTCTTCCCAGTTGCTCTGAGGAAGACAACTAAAAACTCACATACATCACTCAGTACCCTTTCAGACAGGTCAACACTGACTGAAAACTCCCTTCTGCTCTGTAGAAGTGTACCACACCAGATTTAAACACCTATGTTAACTAAGGAAGAAAACTATTTATTTTACTGAATAGCAAAGATTTTCCATTCACCTCCCCTGTTGTTTTATCCATAGCACACAAAAAGTATAAATAATTGAATTAGCAATACACTATGTCTGTATCTAATCTATCCACAGTCGAGAAGTTATATAATTCACCATAACTTGCAAGAGGCAGCATATCTCCAGCTTGCTTTATATGTTGAGTTTGCCTTCTGCAAGTTTTTCTGTCATTTATAACACATACTTCATTGAGTATGCCGTATACCATCTGTCACGGTAGTATACAAATGAAGTTGAGATCCATAGTCTTGAGAAATATTCTTCATTATCACATAATGAAGAATTATATATTTAATAAAAGCTCAGAAGCAGCAAAATAAAACAGTACTTCAGAATACTGTAAGGCTCTCTCCTCAGGAAAATCTGTTTCCTTTCAAGAGTTTTTCTCATTTCATTAGCATTATCTCTATATTTTGAGTCTCTGAGCCATCGTCAGAGGGATTCAATTATTGCTTGTATTTCATGTAAAAACATCTCCTAAAATGCAAGTTATGCTCATTCAGATAGTTGAACAGGCATTAATCAGTTGTTTCCTGCCCCTAGGAGTGGTATATTGCAGTCCCAGTGTATCTGAAGAAAATACCAACAAAATTCAAACATGACAATGTTAAAAATCAAATAAATTATATATCAACAAGTAATCTAAAGAGCATCTCACTTATTTGCCTTGACATTCTTCTTGAAGAATGATGTATAAGCACATTTCCTATAGTGCCAATCTGCATTTAGCAGAAAACCCATTACAATTCCTTAAAGTCTAATAAAGCTTCTTGGATGCAGTCCTATTTCCGTCAAGTCATCTGATGGTGAATATAATTCTTCTCCTTTATCACGAGAGTCAGCATTCTCCCTCTTCTGTTTCCATCTCTAGATTACCATGCTTTATACGTAGTGGTAGGAAGTCTGCTCTGTATATCTGTATATTTTGTGCTTTGTAAAGTTACCATTTTCCATCCATCTCTGTAGTCTTCACTTGTTCCCGTCTCAGAAATCTTTACTTTAAATTTAAGGAAGGAATAGAAAAACACTTGGCAAATTTTCCAGTAGAACAATTTATATAGTAATGAGATTAATATTGATAATGTAATTCAAAATGGTTTCCCCAAATAAATCTTAAATATATGCGTTGACAAGTGAAGCACCATCATTTTATACGAATACATTTTTTTTTTGCTACCAAAGTGCCTTGCAAGCCTGAAATAAAATCCCATGGGAAACAGAAGAAGGGTAAGCATGGTGTAGGATCTGATTTAATTTTGCCATTTGAAAATTGCTTGGAGGACTGTCTGTGTAGAGAGAGCCACTGTTAAGTCTCAACAGCAGCATTATGCGTGGTGGCCTGTATAGAAATTACTTAATCGGTGATAAGAGTCTAAGATGATGTAACAGACTTCCTGGCACAGGAAACTGTATCTCTGCATCATCATGGGATAATGAATGGTGAGATTTTATCCTCTAACAAGTTAATTGTTGTTGTATTGTTACCTGATTTCACCTGCATTTGTTGTAGCCAATACGAAAATTGACACTGTCTAAAACATCCATTCTGTACCACATACATACTGTACTGGTACCATTAACAAGATGAAAATTAAAATTAGAAAAGTATTAGAAGCAAGTATTCTTATTATAGTTCTTTAAAAGTAAGCCACCATTCAGTGATTGTTTGAAAAGGTCTGGTGCCCTCTAGTCTGGTATAAAATTTAGGCTAAATGCTTCTTACCAAGAAACATTTAGAAAAAGAAAATTAGAGTAAACTCAGTCAGCTGATTCTGAAACGTTGTTAAAACCATCCTTAACCGTTCTTTATGTCTAGCTGTCCGATACTGGGACTTACACTTGTGTTGCTACAAGTTCCAGTGGGGAGACATCTTGGAGTGCTGTGCTGGAGGTGACAGGTAAGCGATGTCAAAGAGCTGTTTTTCAGTTGGCACAAAATGGAAGTGTAGACTGTATTAGAGCAGTCTGAGTCAAATAATCCATTCTAGAAATTCTGGGATTGAGATGGAGGGGTTCTAGGTGGGAAGGCTGGGTTCCTTCACACTCCTTGCATTTCATTGCTATTATCTTTAAATATCCATTAACATTGCGTCAATTTGTATTTCTCTTCAGTGACAGAGGTATGCTATAACTGTTCTAAACAGGAATTTATTTGTGTGTGTGGTGGCCCGTATAACAAATAAACTGTGGATTTGTCCAGTAATTGACTTGGGCAAGAAAATTATTATGCCTACACCGAGGCCAGTCAAAATCCTATGTGCTCTCTGTGAGTACTGGAGTTGATCTGGATATAGGAGCTTTCTCAGCCTTCTAGTAACTAAAGCTTTGGTATTTTACATAAATTTCAGCAAGGCTGGGCTTTTTTGTTATTCTTTCTTTTCCTTTTTAATATATTTGTATTTAACTTTTGAGTTTTGCAGGTTTTTTTCTTTCTGTATGTACCTAAATAATGGTAGCTCTTCATCCAAAAATAGACTTGGTAATATAGTTGCTGGCTTAGTTCTTTACAGATTAAGAACACTTGTTATGCTGATTTTGCGGATGTTTGACATGTTTTTCCTTTTAAGCTTCTAATTTGATCAAATTTATACAATCAAGGATAGAAAGTAATTGTTTTGTATTTGCCCCTCACAGAATCTGGTGGAGCAACAGTCAGTAAAAATTATGATATAAATGACCTCCCTGGGCCACCATCCAAACCTCAGGTCACTGATGTTACTAAGAACAGTGTCACCCTGTCCTGGCAACCAGGGACCCCTGGAAGCCTACCAGCTAGTGCATATATTATTGAGGCTTTTAGGTATGTGAATTATTCCACTTTTAATCTCGTTCCTTTCTAATTTTGCTTAAACCCTGGTACCAGCTGTTTCCTGGTGTTGTGGTGTTCTTTTTGACTCTACATGTATCATTAGAAGTTCATTAAAAGATTCAACTTCTATGGCAGGCATTGATTCTTATTTTTTAAATTGATTTTTTTTTTTAATTTATCACTTCTTTCTAAGTGATTAATTAGAGGAGCATCTAACTATTTCTTCAAGTCAACAGGAATATAACAGGACAATGCAGTCATTATCTATTACTTTTCCCTTAGCATTGCTGATCATTGATAGTCTCCTGTGGGAATGCTGCAGGTCAAATCATTTGGGCCGGTGTTACCTTGACTATCATAGTACAAATAATCTGAAAATAAATGGAAAATCCTAAATCTCTCTGCATACTTTAATTCCTATTCTTGTTAAAGCAACACCTATTAAAAGAATCAAAGCACTTTTTTTACTGTTTTAGATAGATTAAAACTTTTAACTGAAAAGGCTAGTGTTGATAATTTAGGATTTCATCCTTCAGCCTGAGGCTAAGAGAATCCAGCTGCTCCCTTCCACACAGCAGCAATTAATACGCTGTATGGAAGAACTCCCAGGCTTGAGTTCAGCAAGTTTGTTTAAGCATGGGCCATACCTCTCACATGTATCAGTAATACACACTTCATCTTAAAAATGTGCACATGCTTAAATGTTTTGCTTAATCAAGATGTTCAACAAATGACAAATAATTTAGTTATTTTTTTAATTAAAATTAATGCAGGAATTTGTGAAAATCATATGCATGCAATTTAAGAAGTTATAACAATAATGCTTCATCCTGCTATATTAATATGCAAAGAATATTACTGTATATGCAGATTGTTGATTTTTTTCTGAAACTTGCCCTTTATGCATTACATGAGTGTAACAATTGAAACAATATGAAACTCATAGATTTCTATTTTCTTTTTCCTTTTAAATATATTTAAAGAATTTTTTAATCAATGCTATACAACAAAGCACAATAAAATAAAATTTTCTCTTTAAACTTTTGTGGTATTTCACTCTAGATAAGCTTTAATGCCATCTCATCAATAACTAACAAAAGCCAGGCATTTTCATTAAAAGCTGTTTTAACAATCACACTTGAAATCTCTTCATACCGTTGATTGCAATTTATTTATAATAATGTCCAGTAGAAAATGTAGTGACAGAAAAAAATATTCATATACTGTCATTTGCAAACATATTTTCAGATTTTTTTTTTTAACTTTGAGTATGAATTTAGTTCAAAGAGAATACTTTTCTTCTTTTTCCAATGACAATTTATTGACATAATTTACTTAGCTGTATAGAAAATTTTTCTTTTAAAAAGATTGTATTTTCTAAGGTTTACATTCAAGAGTGGCCTACTTATCATGCAAATTTACTTTACAGCTTTCCACACTTCCTTTTTGCAGGTGTTTATTTTAGAGAGATAGCAAAAGCTTTTGCTTCTGTTAAATGGAAAAGTATTTTTGACAGCTGTGTTATTTTTTTTACCCCGTCTTGATGAGTTAACTGAAACAAATATTTTTATTTTTACCCTGTACTTTTTCCTGTACTTCGACTTGATATAGGTTTACAAAAGTAGGTCCTTTCACTTCTATATTTTTCTCTTGCATTAGTCTATAATCTTCAACCCTCTTCTCATTGCAGTCAATCTGTGAGCAACAGTTGGCAAACGGTGGCTAACCATGTGAAGACCACTCTCTACACTGTGAGAGTACTGCGCCCCAATACAATCTACCTGTTTATGGTGAGAGCTATCAATTCACAAGGTCTCAGTGATCCCAGCCCTATGTCAGATCCTGTCCGAACACAAGGTAACAATAATTACTAAGGCTTACCTGCTTGAGCTAAAATAGGAAGAAGGAATGGAGAGTTGACCATTAGGTCAGCCTGGCCATTTGGCTTTAGCACTCTGACTGAAGGAATCATGCATTGAGGTTAACCACTAAAGGGAAAAAATAGTCCAATGTTTGCTGTATCAATCTGGAGCTTAGGAGAGATGGGTTATCTCTGTAATCCGTTGTACATTGTAGACCTTTTGGTTTGAAGTTCACTTAGACTTGGTGTGCTCCTTGCTACCTGGTTTCTATGAAAATAATGTGAGTTACCCAAGCCTTTTTGAAAAGCAGTCTGAATACCACACTCTCCTCACCATCCTTTCTCTCCCTGTCCTTTCTTCTTCTTCATCACTGTAATAAGGATATACTATCATAACAAGTGCTTATGTCAGACAGACACCATGTTTAGCATTAGTTTTCATCAAAAGAATTGCATAATATAGCTGTAGTGTATTGATTAACCTGGTCCGACATTTAGGTAGATATTCATGTAAATTAAGGCAGGTGCACACTAAAAATATTTTGAAGTTGTTCTGAGAAAAGCATGGGTCTTTTATTTATATATGTAGATTTCTGAATTATTTATATTAATCTACTGCATAAACCAAGAGGGAAGGATGAAGTGAAATCCCTCATTTATAGGGTGGTGTTATAATTGATAGCTGTGATCCTCCATTGTTGTTGAACTGACTATTAAATTCTGTTCACATTACATCAAGCTCTAACCTTGTATAACTGCCACAAACAAATTTCTCTTCACAGTATGGGGTTTTTTTGACTATGAAAACACATTGCTTGAATGCTTCTTTCAACAGTGTAGTTCTATGTTAAACAGGTTGGAGTACAGGAATTAATAATTTTTTGGCATCATAATTTTTTCAAGTCCAAAGTAATAGCTCCTCTCACAGTTAATTTAGAATGAGATCCTCTGTCTAGTTTATGGAAGTTATAAAAGTGTGCATGGAGAGTGCATCCTGTGTCAGCCTTCAGCATGTGTAAGTGGTTTGGGACCTTTGCTGGTCCTGTATAGAAAGAGAGAAACAAGAGCTGGGTGGTGTTCCTTTATCACATCACCTACAGCTTCCTTCTTCCCAGTCTATTGCTGAATTGATCTGTCCTTAATAATTATCCCCTCAAAATAGTAATAATTGATGTAAGAGAAGAAACAGAGCTTCTTTCTGAAAAGCTAAAGGAGTGAGCTGGGCAGGAATTTCCTGGCTTGACTATCCATGAGTATCACAAGTTTTCTTCTATTTGTTACTCTCCCATTATTATAGGGTGAACTCATGCTTTTCATTGCACCAGCCTTTTAGTCTGCATAACTTATCACCTAGTTAAAAAAACAATTTTGTTTGGCATTTGAGTGTCAAGTATACACTTTTTATCTGACATACTGACAAGCAATTTGATTTCAGTAAAAACATGTCTTTTAATTAGCTACAGCATGTGTTGCAGCTTCCATTTCCAGAAGCTGGTTAGCAGTCAAGCACACTGAGATACGTACAGGATTTATAGCTTCTTTGCAAGCCTGCAGTTTAATAGAATTAAATCATAAAATCAATTGAAAATTAACATAATGTTTTGATGTGATTTCTAATTATGCCTGAATTCAATTCAGGCTCACAGAAGATGACATACAGTAGAAAGCCTATTCACAGTGTCCACAGAGAAAGAAAAATGTAGCTATAACAGTGCTATGTAATATTAATTTGCAACAGGTGTCTGTGGTAGCTTTAATAGCTGAGCATTTATTTCCTAGTACTAAGTATAGAAAATACAAGTAATAGGATTTTATGCATATTTTTACCTGTGGACTACAAGTAGACAATCAGGCACTTTCAAAAGGTTTACCTTATATGACTTACATCAAATAAGGACAGAGACATCAGTAATTACTCTCAAGAAAGGAGTTTAGATCTTGTTTGGATTGTTAACAGACCAAACCATATATTAAAAAACACTTTAAAGAAATTATATATAAACCTATCCCTGGAATTAAATTACTAGCAACTAATAGTAAATTCACTGGAAGCTGTTAAAAAAGAGAATAGAGAAAATATACAACCAATTTAATTGTAGAGACCTCTTAATTGTGATCAAAATATAGCTTCTTGATCCTGTTTTGCTTGAGTCATGATGTTATTATTACAGTATTTGATGATAACCTTATAGGCAGATCAACTGCTTTTCCACCAGGAGTCTCCTAGTAATGTGAAAATGACATTACAAGACGTTACACTGTGAACATCACATATGCATATGTTTCCAAGTATGCATACCAGAAAACAGAATTCTACATGTATGTCTTGATACTTATTTCTTAACGTTATTAGCCTATGTTATTCCCTTACTTCTGGACACATGTCCCATTAAAATGATGAAATGCGGTTCATACAAACATACTATGTAGAAAAGTCTTTTCTCCTGAGGGAATGTAGGTACTTTGTCACTTGTATACCATAGGATAACTTAACCTAAAATCTAGCCATGGGCAGCTGTAGCTATTGTACCAAGAATCATACCTTTTTTGTGGATAGCAGCATAAATTATCATCCTGTAAACCAGTCTGAGTTGCTGTTTTATAGATTTATTTTATTATATCTCACTGTTTCTTGGTCATACTGTATAGGCATAATTTGCTAGACAAGCTCCTTCACTGACATCCATATTTGTATTATATTCCCTCTGGAGATTCATGGAGCCATTTTCATATGAATATCAGTAGAAGCCTGTGGCAATATTGTTTATTGGTGACTCAGAACCCATAATAATCTAGAATTATGAAGCTGAAATATTGATGATCAAATACTACTTTCAAAATCTGGAAGGATGTGATTCAAATTCAGTTGTTATATTTAAATGTTTAATTTTTAAGAGCACTATTATTTATTCTTAATAATATTTAGAAGATAAAAAGAAATTACATGCTATATACTCCCATATCTAAGGCCATCAGAGGGGGGGAAAAAACCGTTCATGTATGTATTTTCTTCACAAGGACATGATGTTGATCCAAAAAGAGGGAAAGTGTCTTTGGCTTGTGCATCCTGTGGGAAAACCAAGCAAAATTCACAGATACCTAGAAAGGTGTTACCATAATATATCGGGCTTTTTTGAACATAATCTGTACTTGTGTTCTAAATACCCCCTTCTCAAAAAATTTTAGGCAAATTCCAGAAGAAATAGTCAGTATGTATATTTCTAACGGGCATTATGTAATCCACATAGACAACTGACATAGTAAGGTCATCTATAACTGTTGACCAAGAATAGTGTTGTAAGATTCTTGAGGGATCCATTGAAGGGATCCAGACTTCACTGACTCCTAGAATATATCTTCACTTCTGTCTAAATTGGAGGGAAGGGATGTATTATGGTGATATATTAGCTAGGTGATAGCTGTAGCCCAACTTTCTCCTTTGGGCACAGTGTAATAGAAAATTATTATTTCCAGGAACTATCACTAAAAAGGACACATTGCACGTCTCCTTCTCCATTTTCTGACACATATTTTGTATTTGTAGTTTCTATTTAGCAGAGATAATACAGCTTCATTCAGTTTAAGACAATGTCATAATCCAAAAGTGATCGCTAAAGACTAGGTCCTAGGGCCACATGTGGTGCTTGAGATGGAGTCGTAGTTTTCCATAGGTGTATATTAAGTGATCAAATTCCCTCAGATTTTGACTAGAAGAAATAATTTTCCCCACACACTTTGAAGGAATCTTTGACATAATCTTGAAGAGAAAATTTTTGTAGTAGATTGTTTTTGTTGGTGTTTCATTAGATCAGAGCCAGTTTGGCTTCATAAAGTAATTATTTTTTCATATTTGCATTAGATTTCATTATCTGTGTCTGTAAAGGGAAAATTTGCTTTGCAGAAGAAAATTCTATTTTTAGTGTTCAGTTTCTTGTGTGCATGGAATGTGTGGAGGGGAAGCCTACTGACAGTTTGTAGACATGTAACGACAATGTCATGTATGCTCTAAGAAAATAAAAAAACCCCAACCTGTTCATTTTCTTCAATTATACTAACAAATTTGGTTCCAGACATCTGGGCAACATTATTATCTGACTATTTTGGAACTAGTGAATATTACATCTCTCTCATCACTTACCAGATCTGAGAAAACTTTGCCATCAAGTCTGAATACTTATTTAAATATCTTTATATTTAACTATTTCCTGAACAACTAAAGGTGAATGGTTTCTTTGCATTACTTGATATGCTTTAAAGTTCATATTTAGACCTTCGTACTGTGTTGTTTTTAAAACAATATTATAAAGGGTGTTTAAATCAGGTTGTCAAACTATTCAGTAATTCTTATTGTTGCCACATGTAACTCTTCCCCTTAAAATAATGCTTTCATGTGTGTGCCTGGCCTGGCAGATATCAGCCCACCAGCACAAGGTGTGGATCACAGGCAAGTCCAGAAAGAACTGGGAGACGTCATCGTACGACTGCATAATCCTGTTGTGCTAACACCCACGACGGTTCAAGTCACCTGGACAGTAAGGCTTCTGTTATTATTACCTTAACAGTACTTTAATTTTTCCTATTTATCCTTGCAGCTTTTTAGTACTCTAAAAAACTCCAGTCTTGACCCCAACGTGAGTGCTCTGATAAACTAACATTATACAGGCATATATATTGGTAATTAAATGGTCTTTTTATTTTCTTTTTCAAGTCAGGAGTTTCAAAGTCTTCAGTGTTCAGCTCAAAGAGAACTAGCTGTTTCACTATAAAAATATTATAAAAATGAATATGCTTAACACCATAATCTAAGGGATAATTGATCTGTGGACTCATTCCTGGTCATGTCAAAAAATAATCAAAGTTAAATTTCAACATGAAATTGCTATATGAAAAAGCACTTTCCACTTCAAGGCATAGGGACCTCTGACAATACCATATTATTTGGCGACCCTAAAATGCAAAAATAGCTTTCATATAGGGCACTTGTAGTGAAGTCAGAAGCACATTGTGCTGATGTCTGATCCACTCTGTAGCATCTGGTTTTCTAGCACAAGCTTTACCCACAATCAGTGGATATCCTTTCATTATAGAAGACTAGAATCTTTTTGGCAATACTTAACAATGTTTCTATTTAAGGAGTCAAACTACTGTGTAGAATTTTTGATGTAGTATTTTGCTTTCAAAATGCTATGTTTCCCTTCCTGAGGCTTGAAGGAAAGGATTTGTAGCTGTAGAAAGAGAGAGTTCCCAGGGCACTGTGCACCAGAAAAGTGCTTTACTCTTGGGGCATCTGCCCCAGAGGAAGAAGAGCCACGGGTGGAAGAGTGAGGGAAGTAGTACTGCATTGCTCATCACTGAAACAATTGTATTACATAGGATGAAACTGCTAAAGGGATATTCACAGTACTCAGGGTTTTTCTTCTACATGTAATATTGCTAAGAGTTTAATGTGTACAAGGGATTATACAACAGGAGATAAGAAGTGTGGTGATAGATTGTGTATTATAAGGATTACTGTTGTTTTTGCACAACTCAGCCATATTTACAGGGGCTTATGCACCATCCTTGTTCTGACAGGGTCAGAGGGAGGGGGGCGGATTAAAGTAAATAGAGAAAGCCACAAATTTGTCTGTCTTAGAAGATTATTTAGAAAATCTGTCACTGCATTTTGCCATTGATGATGTCAACATGCAGTTTGACTTTCTAAAAATGCTGCCTGTTTCAGCTACTTTACTCCAGGACAGGCTGACTAACCTTGAAAGCAAACCCTTTTGCCCAAGCCGACATTTGCCCAAGCAGATGGGTCAGGAGTTTAGAAACTTTGTAAGTTAGCAGCCAGTAATTGTAAACCTGGATCACATCCATGTGGTGCTCCTTCAAGTCCTTTCTTGGGTGTGACAGCTACCAGAAATACAGTTTCATAGGCTTGCCTTTGCTTCAGCATATACTGCAAAAGGAAGACCCAAAAGAAACAGAATTCAATTTTAGAGAATGTAACTAATATCATTATATTATAATGAAATACATATATATATGTATGTATGTGTGTGTGTGTGTGTATATATATATATGGATGTTTATGTGTGTGTATATATCTCTCTGCATTTATCTAAAGGAGTCTCATAGTGCCCTTCCTGAACAAGTAATGAGTGAAGAAAACATGGTAAGGTAAAGGTAAATTGTTAGGGATGCCATGGATATCAGCTTATTGGGAAGATCCCTCAAAGCAGTGACCCTGTGCCACCTGACAAGCATATAGGCCTCTGTAGAGATGTTTCGGCATTGCCCAAGGGAAGACAGACACAAAAAAAGATCTCTGGAACAGCTAATTAGAAACTTTCCAGCAACCAGAACAGAACCAATTAATTAACCACAGTATCAAGGAAAAAAGCCACTCTATCCAGAGAATAAAGTCCATACTATTAATAGAAAATGGTTAGGTAGTGTAGCTATCATATAAAAGGATAGAAGTGCCATGAGAGTCATAAAGATTCTTTGTGTTGACTTTCTGCAATTCAAAATGTAAATGCCAAGGAACATCATTGACTTCTAAGTTTCTGGCATCCTGACTCCCTGTAAATTAACACCAATTTCTCCCTTCTTTCTGAGATTTTGGGGGTTTACTTTCTCTTTTTTTTTTTTTTTGTCAAATTTGAGTTTAAAATTTCAGAAATAGTTCTGGGCTCCTGTGTTGCAGTTTTAAAATATACATATACATATGCACACATATTCTGTCTGTTTTAAAAGAAGGTCAGGCTTACAAAGTCAGTGTTAAAAAAAGGCAGGGGAATGTCAGAAGTTAGGTTTTCACTGTCACTTAAATTTATTCTTCTTGTGCATAAGTATTAAAGTGTAGTTGTAATTATCTGGTCATATACATGATCTCTTCTTCTATTCAACATTTCTATGTATTTTTATTCACTGTGTGGTGCCAGGTCTTTTTGAATTCATACCATTGAAACCTTGCATTGAATAAAAAAAATATTAGTTTGTCTCACATGCTTGCTTATCTGTCATGCTCTGAAATGTAACGTTTGGATGCTTCACAAATAATAATGAATTTAACATCACAATTAGAAAAATGTGTCATTATCCTAACTTTACACAGAGAGAGGTGAGGTGCAGAGTTATTTATTGTTGATGAGACTTACAGAATCAGATAAGCCCACTGTTATCAAATGGCTAATTTTAAACCTTGAGCCTGATTTATTTTTACTTTTATCAAAAGATTTTGCATTGCAACAGCATATGGTGTACTCCAAGCACTTTTTTAGCTGACCTCAACTATAGTTCAGCACTTCTAGCCTCACCGGGCGTTAAATTGAGAGTTTAATTAGTGGCCAGATGTGAAGTTTCCTAGCTTTATAAAGGAGCCCTGTGGCACAAGAAGGAATAAAGTCAGTTCTTCAGTACAGCAAAAGAGTTCTTGCTTTGAAATCCTGACTGCCTTCTAGGAGGATACCCAGCAGAAGGATAATTTATTTACCTCTGTCTTTTAATTTGACATTGATTTTAAATGAATGTACTTCACTGGAAGCTTCAAGAGTCAAGTCCTTTAGACAGTTTTCCAGTGTATTGTCACCTTTTGTCTTGTTCCTGTAGGACGGATAAATGCTATTGCTGTTTGAATTTCCAGAGATTATTGTGAGTCTGTACTACTGAGTTCAGCGCAGTGTGCAAGGTATTCTGCCCAGATAGAGAATTGCTGTGGGTATTGATGTGGGAGCGAAGTATTTCTTAGGATACTTTGGGTTAGAAATTTACATACTACACAGCATATTGCAAAATGTCTTTAGGGTGCAGGTTTGCCTTAAAGGATCTTATATATGCAGAATAAGCTGCATTATGAGTTTCTTGCAATCTTTTTAACAACCTGATAACCTAACCAAATGATCTAATAGCCATTGAACATGTCTTGTGTTCAGCTGCAGTGTGAGCAGATTTGAACATGCAGGGAAAATGAGTTTCCTGTTCTGCAGAAATGGAGAGCTGTCGTCAGTTTTGTAGATACCTCCTGCACTGCATATTCATCTTAAAAGAGGGTGAGAAGGAGCATGCAGGACCAAATATGCTTGTAGGTTGACTTAAAGCATTAGGTCAGTGCTGAGCAGAACCTAGCCAGTAATCTCTCTCTTCTGTCTTTTAAAGGAGCACCTGCGTTTTCTGCCATATGTCTTTTGAGGCAGAAGCTGTATCTTTACATCAGCAACCGTTGCAGGTCTTTTGAGTGAATGTCACTGCGGCTGGTACAAATTCGAGAGTAGTTAAGAGTGTCACAGGAATACTAGAAATATTATCTCATCCCAGTATTCAGTGCAGAGTTCCTGAAATCTCTGTAATCATACTAGGTACTTTGTATGAGGAAGTGGCAACTTGACAAAAAAAGAGAAAGGAGAATACCTAGAAATTATTACATTCTTTCATCAAATCACAGTGAATGTTTCTGCAACTCTGCCTATGTGTGAAAGTGTACCAGACCTATAGAGCTGTTTGATGCTTAGCACAGCTGAATGCAGTTCTTTAATGCTATGCATATTTTTAGTGGCCTGCTGTTGGCGTGACACGTAATTACCGCATAACAAATGGAGGAAACAATGAAGTCACAGGCTTTGTATTATATATAAGACTCTGTGTGCATCTACATATGCACATGTACATACATGCACATATATGTGTGTATGTAGGTATATGTGAAATATACCTGTCCTATATCTCACAAAAATCTCTGGTTAATCCATGTAATTATCCAAGATTTATTTTTTGCTAATCAGAAAACTCCATACAAAACAAAAAAATCCACCCTTCTCAGTAAGTGAAGTGACCTTTGAGTAGTTACCCAGAATTTTGACCATATGAGAGGCCCTCTTTGTTCCGACTAGCTTTAAGTCTGAATGCTACTGGACGTTTATAGAAAACATTAAAAATGCATAATATTTTCTTTCCTACATACCCTCCCAGACCATGAACAATGGAATCACTGTCAATAATCTGAAATTTGGGCAGATCACTCAGCCCTGTTGTAATCAAACTTGTAATTGAAAGCTCTGTGAAACTTGTATGAGCCCCAGATCAAGCTAGTTTATAGCACCCATATGCATGACAACCTAGTTGTATTACTGCATTCTGTTTTCATATTCCTTGTATTGTTTAGTCTTTTAGGTTAGGAACCTAGAAGTCTAGGAGGAAAAGAGGTGTACAAATAATTTGTATATTATCTATATGTAAGTAGATACAAAACTGTGATGGACTCAAAATTAGTATACTATGAGTATACTACAGGGCTCTAGTTCTTCTCAGTGACTTGGTGAGTGCATTTGTGTTTGTACCAAGCCATTCAAAACAGTTTGCATACCACTATGTAGCACCATTGCTGTTCAACTAGTCAGTTCTGAATTTTCATATGTTCTACACTAGGCAGCAGTCAGTAGAGCTTAAGAGAACAGCAAAGACAAAACACAAAGTTCTAAGAAAGTTATGCCATCTTTCAACCTAGCTTCGAACTCAGAAGTTAGGCAGGAATCAAACTCAGTGTTTGATTATTAAACGTCATGGTTTTATATTGTAAAACTATATTGAGAATCTGTATTACAAAGTGCATGAAAGTGTTATTCTTGCTGAATTTTGTAGTAAACCTGAGGTTCATAAAGTCTTTATGTCCATAAAACATTTAGTTAATCAAAGTCAAACATGGATAGAAACAATTTACTCTGATTTACAGACTCCCTTCATCTGGAAACAGCTGCTTAATGTTCTTCTTAAAAACACAGCTTGATTCTTTCGGTATTAACAAGCTATTATTGTGAGTTATATCCCTCTTTCAGTGCATAAATTCACTTAAAGTGAATGTAGAGAAGTTTATAAAATGCAAGCTTAATGTTGTTGTAACATATGTTGCAAGGTTTTTAACAGTGACAGTTTTGATGAAAGACATTTCTGCTTTGCTCTCATAAATAAAGCTTTCTTCTTGCTTGCCCTGCTTTTTAATGTCTAAGAATCTGCGTCCCCTTTGAATGCCTCAATAAACTGTAACAAGATTATAGGAGAAGCATAATAGATGCTGGTTTGTGTTTTCAGCCTTAAATTCATTTATTCTTAAGATAAGTTAAACAAATGTATCTCTAATTCTGAGGTATCTTCGAGCTAGCAAATTGTTGAAAAAATAAATCCTACTTGTTGAATCTTAGTTATAACCCAGAGATTTACCAAACAGCTAGTTGTATAGTTTTGTTGTTTGTGCTGCACTTTCTTTGGCTCCTTATTTGATGGCTACAGAAGCATCTGGGTTTGGTGTGGTTTTATCCATCAAATTGCTTTGACTTTTTTCAGGCAAAATTCATGCAAATATCATAATGACACAAACCAGTAATTTGAGCTTTTTTTTTCCCCAAGAGAAAAAATGCATGCAAACTCTCCAAGATAGAACACATTTTAAGTTTTTCCTTCAAATAAAAATCCTATTTATAGCTATGATAGATTAGAATTGTTAAACTGTTATGTATGGTCTAATCTTGAATTGTGCTTGCCTAGCAACATATAAAATATAAACCAAAATCAACATCCTTTTTCCATCTGATGGCCTGAGAGCATCGCAACCCCAGGATGCAAAGAGACTGCTTAGACTGTGAAGGCAAGAAACAGCACATGTCCGTGGAAGTTTTCTCTGCATCTGTCTTATGTTTATTTTATTTTCCTGAGCATTTCATGAAAAGATGAGCTCTGAGCCAAGTAATGGACTAACTGAAAGCATGTAGGGTATCTTCAAAGACTTGTCCTTTTCTGAAAAGAACTTGTTTTTCTTTTCTTCTCGTATTTCAGCACATCAGTAGCCAAGATGTGCTTAATAAGTTTACATGCATTAAGCGTTATGCCAAAATTTTCTTTTCATGATTTATTGCAGGCATGGGGCCTTGTTTTATGATTTAAAGTGGTATTCATCATGATATATAGAGCTGGAGAAAGTAAGATAGAAGGAAATGTTCTATAATAAGTAATGTGAGAAAAATGTTCTTTATAGACAATTAATCAACAGTGACTTACAAGAAGGCAGTTTGATTTTTAAATTCAGCATCTTAAACAACTGTTAATTTTGTTTTTTTTTTTCATGAGGACAAAAGTATTCTAGGCAAATGTTTTGTTTTCTTTTATACAGTTTTGTTACATTAATTAATGTTTACTGACATATTATTTGATGCCATTTCTAGGTTGACCGCCAATCCCAGTTTATTCAGGGCTACCGAGTAATGTATCGCCAAACGTCTGGTCTACCTTCTCCAGCTGCATGGCAGAATTTGGAGGTCAAAGTCCCAACTGAGCGCAGTGCTGTTCTTGTCAGCTTGAAAAAGGGGGTCACTTATGAAATTAAGGTTCGCCCTTATTTCAATGAGTTCCAAGGGATGGACAGTGAATCAAAGTCTGCTCGTACCACAGAGGAAGGTTAGTAAAATGGTCAGAAAAGCAACAGGCTTCCATACATAGCACTGGAGGTTAAATCAAGAGTGACTATTTTGATTATTGTGTGTATGTGTATGTTCAGCTCTATTTCATCCACATGATTTCTGTTTGTTAGCTATAGGGTTGGCATTAGAATTCAATATAGTATTCAGTTTTGTGCTGTAAGTATTCCATGAGAAAGCATTGGGCCAGTCCTATATTCTTCTGGCTGATAGGTTCTTCTAATGTACAGGTGGCTTTGGGCCTTCAAAAAAGTGTGCATTGCAGCCATTCTTTTATAACCAACAGTGCTGCACTTTGAAAATAAAACTAATAAATTAAACCTTTTACAGATGAGTGTTTGATATTAATCACATCTGAATGGGTAATAAATTGGTTTGATTGGGAAATGGGGAACTAGTGAAGGACAGATATTTAACTAGTCTGAAGGGACTCCAGTCTAAAGGGCATGCCACTTTATTGTTTCTGTTATCACACCATTCATGCAACTGCCCTATTTAGTCCTTCAAAGGATTTCCTTAAATACCTTTCAAGCCTCTGTGAACCATGCAGGATGCAGACATAGGAAACAGTTTACACTACTGAAATGCACAAGCATTTATATCTGTCGCATGTAGCACAGTAAATGGTTTTGCTAAAACATATGCGCTCCAGGGCTGCTTTTTTATTGGCAAGTAAAGGGAGTGAGGTAGGATATAAGTAATTTTTATCTTTTTCTCTTACAAATGTACAAGAAACCTATCTTTCTACCTAGCTAGTACAACCTTTGCCTAGAGAATCTCTCCTGTAAAAGTAGAAGGGTGATCATAACAATTAGGGTTCATCTGCTCTCTGATTCATTGAATTCTTTCAAAGCAAGGGGAAGAAATACTGGTGAAGTTTCAGAATGTGCATATGGTTTCAGTGGGTTTTGAGTGCCCTCTTTCCTTCCTACCGAAGATGCATCTTAATAATTTACGGTACTCTCCTGAGGTTTAATTTAGTGCTGATTGCCAAGTACTTTTTAATTCTAGAATGGACTCACTTATTACTCACTTTTCTCTTTGATTTGTTATGATTATTGCCCAACAAGGAAGTAATCATGAAGATAACTTGGTTGCTGTTCATACTATATAGAAGATGAAATTCAGTGTCCTGAAACATGTAGAAGAGCAAGTAGAAAGCCATTGTTCAAGTCTGATCTAGAATTTGGGACTTTATGGTTCCTATGTCTTTGTTCAGACTATAAAACCCTAATCAGTCAGTAAAAAATATCTTTGCAGCGGTCTGAACAAAGGTTTAAAAAAAAAGAAAAAAAGCTACAGGTGAAATTGGTTCTATGTAGTTAAAATGTAGGATTTTGTCCCCTCACTAGCAGATTTTCTTGTCCAAAATCAATTGAATTTTGTTGTTTATTTAGTTCATCTGTCTCTTGCTAAAGGTAAATTAGAACTACTGAAAAAGAGAGAAGATTCTGCCTATTTCTATAAAATAATTGAGGAATGACATTTTCTTTTATAAACCACGGCTCCCAGCATAGCATGTCAGGTAATTTCCTACTTTAGAGGCTACTTTGTCCATGTGGAATAACTCTCCACATAGTGAAGATTTAAAAAACTTTTCTTGACTATAGTTACATATAAATCGCAGCCTAGGATCTGCTTCGTAGATTTAATATAACCTTCAGGGAGTCTGTTTACAAGTATCTCTCTCAAAAAAAGCATCAGCCTATAACATGTAGTATTATCACCAGACAAGTGTCAGCTTCTGGAAACAGTTCTTCCTGTAAGGTTAAGTACTTCCATGAGAAAATTAAGACATTCAGTAGATACAGTTCTACAGATATTTCTTTTAATTCCTCACATTATCTTTGTAGTTATATTGCTGTTCATATATTTCAAAAATAACATCAACTAAATGTTTAATGACGGTGGTTTGCTTCTGATCCAATGAAGAAAGATGGTGGTCTATTTAAAGGTATCCCACTTGCTGTGTCACATATGATTCCATTTCAAAAATGAGCTTTTTTAGACTCGACTTTTTAAAAAATGTCAGCTATACTATTTTTAGAAAATAATTTGGAAGAGTGATATGTGTGTTGAAAGTTTTTTGCGACATCAAAATAAATAGCCCTGGTAGAGGCAAAGTACAACCAAAAGGTAGTGGCAGCTTTCTGCTGGATTGAATTTTACATGCAATGTTACTTCTGAGGCCTACCTCTAGATATCAATTTTGTTGCAGTTAGACTTTTCCTCTAGATCAGACATTTGTCACAGTTCAGTATCCATCCATCTTCTGCCTCTTTGGCCTTGTGAAGGTAACAAATGGAATTCTGTTTGGCTGCGTCTGGAAAAGATGAGCAGCGATTTGGGTTCTTTCATATCTGTAAGAAGAAGCTGAGCACTGGAATAATTGACCTGTCAAGAAGCAGGCAAGGTGTTCTCCACAAGCCAGCAGTGAGGGAAATGAGAAAATGGTTTTAAAAATGTTATTTTTCAATGTGGTCTATTTAATAACTGCAGCAGTGTCAGACGAGTGGCTTAATTTATATCATGGTGCCAGCTTACAGAGTGTTATTATCAGAGAGAGGAAGCAGAACTGCTATAAACATATATGTGTATACACATATGAAAAGAAGCTAAATAAAATATTTTCTTTTATAATTTCTACTATTTCTTTCACACTTGCTCTAAAGATAGATGATTTTTTTTTTTAATTTATTTACATCCACTGTTTTAAATCTCTTTTGGAATGACTTTGTGGAGTAGTATTTGTTCTGCATATTGTTTGTCACCAAAAAAATATGATAGTTGGTAATGGAAGTCTCCTTAGTTTTTATCAGCTGTTGTCAATTCCTTCTTCCTTACTGGAGCTCTTAAAATGATACTTTCAGCTGCATTCATCAGCTGCAATTTTAATTTTACTTCAGACTTGCCATGTATCCTCCAAAAAAACCCCTGACACACACTGGTAGAATATTAACTAGAATATTCATGCAGTTTAAATGCATAGACAAATGAATACAGTATGTTTTTCATTAAATATTAGACTACGGTATTAATTTTACATTTCTTCAGCATTTACTCCCCTCTCTGTCTCTCTCTCTCTATCTCTGTGTTTCCAGGTATGTGTATAGAAGAACTTATATTTCTGAATGCCCTTTGTATTTGAGGATGAAAGTAAATACATTTCAGCAAGTTGTTCCATTGCACTTAAAAACAAAAATGAGTTACACAGTGTTAAACTTTGCCATTTTTATGATTATTATTTTCATGTAAAATGTTGTTTGAATTAATATCACACACGTACGTTTATTCATAGTTTTGTTGTTATTGAATAACTTGAAGACTTTAAAAATGCTAATGTTTTTACTGTGTGGCATATTATTTCACTTGCCATAAGATACACAATGCAACTATTAGCTTCATGAAATTTATGCTTTGCACGATTGCAAGGAGTAGCCCAAGGCCACCTTTCCGAGCTTCACTTGATCTGTCTAAGAGTCAAATTGTCCATAATACAGCTCCGTTTCTCCCCTCCAGTACACTGTTTCTCTGCATCATTCAAGGTCATAAGGACTCTACCAAGCACTACTTGCTGTGCAGCTGAACCAGTATCTGAAAATGTAGTTGTCAAAATGTGCAGTTTCACAGGACAGTAATACATCATTCTGATGTAATCTTGTATGGTCCCTTCTCCCCACTTCTGATACCCTCATTTTAAGTTGTGTGATTCCTGCAGCAGACTACTCCAACTCTTCTGAATTATCAGGGTAAGGACTTGATCTCAGCTCCTTGAACCTATGCCAGGTCAAGTGCTGAGGAGCATCCAAAGTGGGAACATAGCCAGTCTCAAAGAGGCCATGGGGAACAATAAAGAAATCTGAATTGACTTAAGACATTTGAATACTCCTGATTATCTGTGGCTGTGTCTAGTTGTGTTAAACCTGCTAGACTTTAATGCAAAGATGCCAGTGGCTCTTTACTTTTCCAAAAAGCATGGCCCAAGGATGTTCATGCAGTCAGGAATATCTGTTAAAGGTTATACTAGAGTCCTAGAGTCCTGTTGCCATAGAGCTTAGCAGTGAAGGAGTCCTCTCTGGATAGAAATACTCTAGACCAGAGGGCTGGAGTCAGGGAGCCGTGACACACATCTTAAGATGCCCAAAACCAGAGTTCTATCTAGATTTGCAGTTGGGCAGGAGGGGGTGATAAACATTTCAGGTTCTGGTACAAGGTCTACTATAAGTCTTCAAAATAAGCTTCCATATTTCCTATTAAATGCTTTAAGATCATGTTAAAGGTGATGACAAATACATGGAAGAAAAAATCCATAAGGAGTTGTTGAACACAGACATCACCCTGGAACTGAAAGTGTCTAAGCAACAGGAAAATTGTCGTGGAGCGGTCTCACTAGAAGCTTGCTTTATTAGTTCACTATTTCCTAGTCTCTGTCTATTAGTTTTGTTGAAGACTGATAGATGGACTGGGATGAACAGACTAGATGGATCCTAAGACCAGTACAGTACAGCTGTTATCAACATTTTTTTTCCTCAGGGACTTTACCTTAATTTAATACACTCAACTTTGGTGACTTAGCTGGCCACTGTGGTGGAGTTTCCACACTTCCCTAGAAGTAAAGGAAAGGAGGGGAGGGGGGACACAAGAAGTTTCAAGTGGCTCAGAAGGGACATCTGCCACAGCCCTCTGATAGCTATGGTGGGAGAGCCCCCGCGTGGAAATGTAGCAGATGCTCACAGAGGGGACTTTTCCGTAGCAGAGCTGCTGTACCACTTCCAAACAAGGTGTCCTGAGCCAACAAAAGCACCCTGCTGCTGGTGTAGCTGCAAGAGGGGCTTTGCCAGCATAGCTCTGATCACTAACAGCTATGATTCTTTTTTTTTTTTTTTTTTTTTTTTTTTTTTCACACGGGGCTGGCAAACAATTGTTTTGTAGATAAGGCCTTGATATGCAGTAACCAGCCAAACAGCTGTGAATGGTTGAACTGAACAGGACTTTGAAGATAAAGCAATTTGCCTAGGGAAAAGAGGACATAAGTATATATCTGACCTAATTTAGCACATCCCCTATTCACCAGCATTTGATGTAAACCCCTGAACACTTTAACCCTTTTCCACCTAGGAGTTGCAAGGTTTTATGTTTAAACCTGTTAATGTCTTCCTGAAGAACAAATAGGAAACAAAAAAATGTCTGCAGCTCACATTATTATTAGACCACGTCAGAAAGGAAGAATCAAAACACTTTTCAGGCCAGGTAAAGCAGCCTCACATCATGATTCAGTTGATATATCCATAGCTATCCATGCATATTATGGAAAACAAATGCAAGTGTGAGAATAATTCCAATGCAAACTTAACAAATGATAGAAATAAATAAATGAGGAGTAATTTGTATTGATTTTCCATTGCCTCAAATTCCACATTGTCATTCAGCACTATGCTTCTCTTCAGAAAGGCATTTTTCGAAATTGTCAGTGCCTAACAAAATGTGCATACCTAGGCCTGCAGGGAGTGTGAACTTTGTATACTGTCTGCTTGTTCTTACACTGTTTCAGCAAAATTCGTGCTCTAGCAAATGGATTAATGTCTTGCTTCTATTTGTTCCCTCTCCTTGGTGTAGCTCCAAGTGCCCCTCCTCAGTCTGTTACTGTCCTGACAGTTGGAAACCACAACAGCACAAGCATCAGCATCTCCTGGGATCCTCCCCCTCCAGATCACCAAAATGGAGTCATCCAGGAGTATAAGGTAGAAACGATGTCTAATGGGAGGGCTGTGTGTTTAAGGAAACAGCCTGTGTGAATTACGGAACCATAGTGCTGTTTATGGATTTAGATTCTGACAGCAGTTACAGCTGCCCATATAATTATATGGAGAAAGAGGACTGACTGCTTATGGATTTTTTTATTTTATTTTTTTTTTTAAGCAGTACTACTGTTATTAAAAACAAAAATACCATGAGCTAGATCTGGAAGAGAGCTGTAATTTCCAGCTAGTTTACAGTGCCTCTCTTTCTTCCTTGTCCTTGCTGTGAAAAGAGAAGAAGATTGGGTTTTTTTTTAAGGCCTTCTGCACTCTCAAGACAGGCAGTGAAGTCCCTGTCTTAGAGTGCCTTCAATCTGGCAGAAACGCTGGCAGGAAAGATACCTTTTCTTGCCCCTGCAAAAATGCTAATCCTGGCACTTCAAGGTCAAAGTCAAGGACCATGGCTCTGGGAGAATGTAAGACTTCTTCCGAGTACTATCTCTGTCAAGATTCACAACTTAAAGTGCTAGGTTGTTTGCTCTGAGGAACAGGTTGAACACCACTACTATATACAGTTTCTTATATAAGAGTTGCCTGCATTGGTTTTATTTTTTCCTTCTTTCTTGCTATGATGACTCAAAGTATCCACTCCTTATATATCACCTTAAACTTTGTTGTAGTCTATAATTTCCCATTAAACTCACTTTTGCACAAGTACATTTTCACATCGTGAAAAAAGTAGTGTGTTATTGGGGTGTAAGACTATGGATAAAATGGTTGGGCAAGGCTCAGCATTATCACAGGCTTGTGACCATGGAACACCGTTTGTTCAATAACTTTGCTGTGACTGGTTTGTATATCTAGTGTGAGATTTTTAATTGAAAAAGAGCAGGGCAGCTTTCTTGACAGTCCTGAAAAGGGTAGAAGTGGTAGATGTAGCTTGATTCACACAAAAAAATGTAATTTTTTTTTCCTGCTCTACCTTGAGGGAACACAGCATCAAGAGGGGAGAAAGTGCGTGACTTTTAAATCAACTAAGGGTTCCACGTCTTCCAGCTAATCGTTTAGTCAGAGGGATGCAGTAAATGCTCACAATATTTATGTTTAGCATAGCACTTCTTTTGCTTTGCTTTTAGTCAATAACAAGATTTATTAATTCCAGAATTTTATTGATCTCATTTTCATATCAATTAATAGTTATCTTCTGGCTTAATTAATCTTGATACTGGCTCCAGTATAAGTCAATATTAACCATTAAGGGCCTATAGGCAAATAAGTAGAGCACACTCCTAAACCACAAAATACATAGATATGAAACAAAGTAGGCTGACGGTTAATAAAATCCATGTTCCAGGTGAGTGCTCAGACCTCTAGGCTGTTTATAAAAACAGCTGGAGTCACTAACTATTACATCCCTTCTGTTAGATTAGGTGGCTGCCTGATTAGTGAGCTGGCTACAGTTGAATATAATGCAGAGTCTAATACTTCCTTGAGTATAAAATGACTGCTGAGGTTTCACAGTACATTTTCAAACAAATTGAATTGCATTTCAAGCATCAGAGTGCCTGTAAATTCATTTATTAATTAAATGCCTTTAATTAGGGGTATCTCATAGCTGCTGTAACCTAAGACCCAGGCAGAAAAGGAGTGAAAGAATGGATGCAATAGTTTCTCACCCTAATGCCTTCTGGTCTGCAGATAAGATCTACTTGAGCTTAGGAGAACAAGAGTTTCTTTTGCTCTCCAAAATCTTCCTTAGTGTTCTACAGAAAAAAAAGATAAGGTGTGATAAAACACTGATCAGGGCCAAAAATAATGGTGAAGAGAGCAATGCTGTTGCTTAGACACATCAGTTGGTTGCCGACAGTGGTTCCACCAATAGCCCTTTCTTCTGCTATCATAATTACGTAGTGTACATGTGATGGTACATGTGATATCTTTATGCATTGTTTTTCGTGAATGGTAATAAATGTTTTTTTTTTTAATAATATGGTAGTATATGCAGATAACATTAACCTAAGACGAATTTCTAAAAGGACTTAGTTCTGAAACTTCTAGGGAAAAGCCTATGGAAAAATACAAGAGAGAGACATAACACTCTGAAATCATTGACTGTTCTCATCACAAAATGCCAGTTGAGATTATAGAGTGTTTTTTCTGTTTAATCAGAGAGTAATTGAGTCAGGAACTGATATCTGGCTTCCTGAACAATGAAAGTAATCACAAAAGCAGCAGTAAAAAGTGAGTTCGTACTTACTCCATTTCAGAAATTTCACATATCCCTGTTGTGCAGTGAAAAGAAGTTGAAAGGAATTTTGAAAATTGTTTCTTCTTTAGTACTTTAAGAAGTGTCTTGTATTATTTGTGCTTGTATTGTTTGGTGTCCTTTTGCTATTCAGTGGGAAATTAAGACTGAAAAAATAGTGTTTTTTTTTAGGAAAGGTTTGGTAGTAATCATATTACTGAACAATATATTTCAATTCATCTATAATGCCTCTTTTTCAATTGGATGTTTCTGGTCTGTGCTTCTAAGAAGTGTACCCACAGAGTTTACACTCCATGGAGAGCCAGAGTCCAGAGGGGTATTTGCAAGCAGTCTTTGAAGCTGGTTTGCTAATCTAGGATAGCTTTCTGAGCTAAATCATCCCAATTCCAGCTACTTCTGAGCAGTAACATTGTTAAGAAATCCAAAATAAGTGTTTGTCATGCAATACCTTGATATATCATATCTATGCACAACTGTTTATGAGTATGAAGAATTTCGTATTTTTTAACATATCAACTTTTGTCCTAGATCTGGTGCCTAGGTAATGAGACTCGATTTCATATCAACAAAACAGTAGATGCAGCCATTCGGTCTGTAGTAATAGGTGGCCTATATCCAGGTATTCAGTACCGCGTGGAAGTTGCTGCAAGCACCAGTGCAGGTGTGGGAGTGAAAAGTGAGCCACAGCCCATAATAATTGGTAAGTGAATGTATGTTTCGTTGTCTTGTTCTGCCTGTTTTGACTTTCAGAAATTCTTTCATAAATCATTTCTGGAAGTATAAAAATCCATGGAGCAAAAGGTGAGATTTGAACAGAGCTAGTTAGTTAGCTTTTAACATCCCACTGCCTGCTGGCGTTGTGTATTCTCTTTGTGCAGAGTTCTCACAGCCAGTGGAGGGAAGTAAGTTCCTCAGACATATGAGAAAATGCAGATCATCTAGTGAAACTTATTTTTTTTTTTAAATGAATTTTCCACTTTTGTGGGCTGACAGATTTATGGAACTGTAACAGCTCAAGCTACCTTTTCCTCCTGTTCAGATGACTGTAATATTGCCTTATTCAGACCATTGGTACCTATGGCACTATTTGCAGTTGGTTTTCTGAACATTTGAAGTCAGTGTTTCTCAGGTATCCCAAGCAGATGAGCTTCCTCTCTCAAAGAATAAGTGGCCTCTAGTACAAATAGAGAGCAAAGGTAGTGTTTTCATCCCTGCTTTTGAAATGACTGTTTCTTAGTAGTGGTTTCCATGCTGAATTAATTTTGTGACCTGAGGGAAACATAGACTCTTTCTTCTGAAATTCCTCTCAAGTATAAAATATAAAGGCAGGGACAATATGGGAAGAGTAAGAATAGGAGAAGTAACCATATTTAGCAGAACTGAATTGAGCTGTGCAGAGCAGTACCTCTGCTTTTATCTATATGTTCTAATTTAGTTATTACTTAAATGGGCTTTTGTTTGTTTATGGGTCTTTTGTTGTTATCAAGCATTTTCATTCTAGAAAATGTTGTCAACACAATGTCCCAAACATGGACTATTCTGTTATGTGTAGACCTTTGGAAAAGCTGTCACCTAAGCATTGCTTCAGTGTTTAATGATACTCAGGTTCCCTATGCATCAAAACAGAAATTGGGGTGAGTTTTGAATATGTTGTCACTGGAGAAGGAAATACAAGAGTAGAGGTGAAGGTAGCACTGATTTTAGGAAAAGGCACAGAAAAAGGCCACAGAGACACCAAAGAGGAGGGAAAAGTTTTTTTAGAACTGAAAGCAATAAATTAATATTTAAAAATGCAAGAAACCTGTCATCTAATAGGCCTGAATTTGGGACCTCTGTGTAAATGACTAATGTTTTGAGTCTGATCTGTCATTGCATTCGCTTTGAGCAGAACATCTTTTCATATTTCATGAGGGAGTCCATCTATCTAAGCATTAAACACACTGGGCTTGTTCCAGCAAAACACTTCAGCATGTTGCATTTTAAGCAGTCGTCAGTAGCCTTTTGTCACTTAATGTGTTTTGAGTTAAACTTGCACCAAAATGCTTTGTTGGATGATTCCCAGAATGTTCAGCCCTGCATCCGGGTACAGCCCTTCATCTTGACTTTTTCCTCACAAAAAATTACTAGTATAATCAAGAGTTAAATGTGGAGAGATCTCTATTGTTGCAGGAAGGAGGAAAGGGATGTTTGTATGCAAATAAAGTATGAAAGAAATAAATAAGTTATTTTGCATTTAGAGACTTAAGTTTGCATTGTTAAACTTACAGTGATATATATTTTTCTTCCTTAAATGAAACAAGAACGTCGGCTTCAACAAGGCTGTCTGGTGGCATATTTGCACATTTAAGACTCCTTTGCATGAAAAATAAAGGGGCATCTTTTCTGTTTGGCTATGTTTCTGTTCTCATTTCTCTTTTCCCTTTCGGGAGCCCAAAGCTGGATGTGGTTAATACTTGTATGGTCTGTATTTCCCTTTTCTTTAGGTCCCATCTTTCTGTTGTTTATGAATTTCTGGCAGTTATTTCTCAGACTATAAATTTACTTGATAAAGGTAACAGTGTTTAAGTGATACCATTTCTGGAAAATTTGAATTAGTACCACTTGACATTTGACCAAGAATCAAGAAAGTAAATAAGAAAATTAATTTTTTAGGTAAATCTACAAAAAAAAAAAAAAAAATTACATGGACTAAAAACAAGCTAATGAATAAACCTCAAAACATAATGAATGGGAAAACATTATTGAGCCATTGTATTATAATGGAGTCCTATGTTGCCTGGTGCTTAGATGTACTATTTAACAGCTTGCAAACAGAATGAACAACTGCAGAAATGCTGAATTATGGAGAGAGTAGGTCAGTGATGCAGAAGAGTTACACCGTGTTGCTAAACAGAATGACTTTCATTGTCATGAAATAGAGTCCAGTATATAAAAAGAGATGTTATTCTTAAATATAGGCTATGTTCTTCTAAGAAGTATTTTTCTTGAAAATAACTGATTTTCATGGTGGATAATCAACTACTGGCTTCCCAGACCAATTCTAGATAACAGATCCATGACAATCCAGAAAGTAAAACCAGGAGAATATGGAGCAGTAGGAAGTATATTATTTCTTCAGTTAGAAATTGTGTCACTGTTACAGGAATCCTGTGCCCATACTTCAAGCAGGACATTGAAAAATTTTAAGGAAGACTTAAAGAGAATCAAGAATAGCATCTTTATGATCACTCTTGATATGCTAAAAAATGTCTTTTGGAAAAACAGAAATAAAATTGAAGATAACGGCAATGATGGTAAATGGTATAACTATTATTTCTCTTCATCAGTTGGCCTGTTCACTCTTACATTCCATCATTGGCATAATAACATGAGGAACAGCTGCAAACTTTCACAGTAATGGGTACAATCGGATCTGATGTGTCTAATTAATTTTTGGTCCAACAAATTAGTTTTGTTCTTCATTACTCTCCAATGGGAGGAAGACATTATATTTCATTATGTTTTTGTCTTCAGGAACAATGGAGCGTTACAGGTCACACACTTCCCTTGTCTATGTCTAATTAGTTGAACTGACAGCATTGTTACAGAAACACCTGCAGTATATGAAATAATACACTGGTACCTTGAATGACATATTTATTACTTCTGCTTAAATATTATATAAAGAAATACAAAATTAATGCTATTTGTTTCCCCAAACCCCAACAATTACATTAATTTTATCAAACGCCAGTGGGTAACATTCATCTGTATCCACTTATTTTTCAGTCATCAAATTCACAAAGCATATGTTATTTTGACATTTAAATGAATGATTACTTTCGCAGTTATAATTGCTAGGCACTGAAGGGTAGGAGCAAACAGCCAGACTGCAAACCTTAGAAGGTAATTTGGAGACATATTGCACCTTCCCGTAGAAGAGAGGGTGCACGTAAAGTCCACTGAAAACTCTGCCCACGCTCTCTACAGTTTGCTCTCATGTCCTCCATTCTCAAAAGACTGGTTTCTGACTTAGAGAAGAAAATGGAATCTTCAGACTTTTAGAGGTTTTAGCAGGAAGCAGTTGTTCTTTTCTTGAGTCCAGGAGCACCCGCTGCCAAAGTCAGTGTCTCTGAAGCGCATCCCTGTGCCCGCTCTTCTCCATGGCAGCACGGCTGCCTCCGAAGCAGCGCCAACATTACCCGTTTCCTCACCATCCCACTGCTTTTACCTCTCCTCCAAAGGGCCCAGAAATTAACTGAAAGTTAATGGCAATTAGAGCAACATCAACTCCCATGCTGATTTGTACTAGAAAATCAATTGTGTGCCTGGAATAGCATGCTGTAGAGTGCCTCTTTCTATTAGTTTTACTCTCAGTGCTTCCTCTTTCAGCGCTGGGGTGCACATATGGATTGTTTCCATGGGCAGAAAAAAGGGGGAAAATCCGATAAAGGAGCCACTGCTGCCTCCCTTCTTTTCCTTGTCACAGGTGCTCACTGAGTTTTATTGTCACTTACTGCATCAGGACTGGAAATCATCAGGCCTTTGGAAGCAGCAAGACAAAATAGGGAAGTGTGGGCAAGGACAGCTGCAGCTACCAGTCCCTGACACTCGTAAAGCTTACCAGCATGGCCAGTATAGACTGGTATACATTAGCAGGCATACTCTCAGCATTCTTTTGTGGGACCTATTTTGCTTGTGGGAAGCCTTTTTTTTTTTCTGCACAGAACTACTGAAAGCAAGCCAAGCTCTAGTACAGTTTCATCAGTCTGTTTGCAAAAGCAGACGGTCATCATTACTAAATATTGACATGGTGCTGAAAGAGAGAAAGCTTAATAAAATCACTGAGATCATTAACAGCATGATAGCAATGTAATGCAGTGCATTGCATTTCTTCCTGAGTAACTCAGTCCAGCTCAGAAGGCAGCTCAGGGCCGGAGGCTGCGTCTGAGCTGGGGCAGAGCTGGAGCAGTGGCGGTCCCGGGGCGGGGGGGAGCCCGACGGGCCCTCTGGGAAGGGTCCTCAGTCTCAACGTGGCTGGTGTCAGCTCTGGATCTCCTGAAAAGAGGTGTCTGTGGAAATAAAACTGGAAGTGTCAGACTTCTCAGATCTGCTTTAGCCGATGACCTTGTTTGTTTGCTTTAGGCTGAAGCCAGTGTGGTGATGCAGGGGCTGTTCTGTTGAAAGAAGTGAGCGCTAAATTTAACTGTTGCTGAGTTATAGAAGAGGAATACGTACATTTTCACAGCAAGGCATAATGCTACAATACTTTTAATAATTTCCTCTGAATTACCATTTCAGTGTTTTATTGCCATATTCTACTACCTTTACGTGTGCGTGATAGACTCATAATTGCGAATCATAGTATTTGCATCTTTTTTGTACCAGTAGAGTAGCTACTCTTGCAGCTTTTCAGCACGCATACAGGCATCTAATAATACTGCGTAAACATTTCAAGGATTGAGCTGCATAAATGCTTTTACCAGAAATGATGGATAAGTCTTTCACCAATTTCAAAACTGCAGATGTGGGCAGTTTATACCAAATGTACATACAATCAATATTCATATTTTTTGCAGAAAAATACGTTCCACATTTTCTAATTTAAAAACTAAACAGTTTTGACAAGGGAAGATTTGAAGTAGAAAAGTGCTGGCCCTAGAACTATATGCTTTAGCATTTCCTGAATTTCTATTCATATTTTCCATGAGCATTTGTTTTCAAGCCAGACACCAAGCTTTTCTTTTAGAAAAGTTCCCTTTTAGAGAAAAGGAGGGAAAAAAATCAATGGGAGCATCTACTGAAATTTATAGTTTTTTTAATTTAATAAACATAATTTAAGATCCTATATAGCAATTTTTGATTCATGTCACTTTAATTGGTACTCCACATCATAACTGTTTCTTACGGATTGATGTTAAGAATTTTTCATGCCTATTCTAGGTGAAAAAAATAGCATCTGTTGCTGTGATTGTTTAGACCTTACAGTTAACTATGAGATTTTCTGCTTCGTATCAAAGCTAGTACACTTAGGATTTGTATGGATTTTTTTCCCCATGAAATAATTGCTGGAAAATGTATTTTTGCCCCAGTTGAAAATACATATATTCTATTTTTCATTTTAAATTTGGAAACTCTAACATAAAAGCAAAACCAAATGAGTTAAGTAAGAATTTTTGGCATGCTAACAATGAGAGAAGGAACTGTCTTTTGAAGTAGCCTATTTTGTATTTGGAGTTCTCATTTGGAAAAATCTATTTGTTGATTGCTTGATTATTTTTTTTTGATTGGTTTCCTATGATACATTTTCTCATCATTGTATTCTGTCTATAATTATGTAAAAACAAACCAACAAACATGTATATTGTTAAAAAAAAGGCTCTGGACTGTCATCTGTTAGATTACTTGAGAGAGTGCTACAGAGCCATCTTTACAAATACATGTTTGCAACATCACAATGGATTATGGATTTACTTTCTAGAAACACTGTTTTTCAGGTGTGCATTTGTACTCATTAAAACTCTCCTACTGTGGATAATTCTTTTGAGGTGCATTACTGTTTTTAATTTTCATTTGCAGTGTTTGGTTCCCGTTTGTATTACAGAATCCATAATAACAATATTCTGTTGAATTTCTTTTGTCAGGAGGTCGTAATGAAGTTGTCATCACTGAAAATAACAACAGTATAACTGAGCAAATCACTGATGTTGTCAAACAGCCTGCCTTTATAGCTGGCATCGGTGGGGCATGTTGGGTAATTCTGATGGGTTTCAGCATCTGGCTTTACTGGCGCAGAAAGAAGAGGAAGGGGCTCAGCAATTATGCTGGTAAGAACAGTAACTATTTATTACCATCTCATCAGGTTCTATCATGAAGAGAACAGGTGCTGTCGAACCTACTTAAAACATACATTGACAGCAAAGGTGGCCCGGGTGAATTTTGTATGCTTGTTTTAAATGTATGCTGTGAAAATGCTGGTGTATGAGAAGCTTTAAATGCATTGCTTGGTACCACATTTCATCATTATCATAAGACAGTCTTTATTTTTACATCTCCAGCACATCTAGTATAAAAAGTACAAAGAGGATTAACTGTACCTCTTGCTTCTTGCTCAGAAGGCACTCTGTTAGCAGTCCAGCTCCATTTATGTGCTTAAATGTGAATTTGACTGGACCCTTATATGGACGGTTAGAAAGAGTATTTGGCCTTCTCTTTCTTCATTCCCATGCATTTCCATGTCTTTGAAACCATGTGCATGGGAAATGAACAGAGGTACTTATCAATGACTCCATACCTATAGCTGGACGAGAGAGAGTGATGTATTAGACAGAGAAGTGTGGATAAAAATTACCTATGGCAGAGGCCATACAAAATTTTGTCTTGGAGGTAGAACCCCTTGGAATGCCCTCACAGTGTTGATCGCTCTTGCACCAAATGTGTTGCTCTGGTTACAAATTAGTTTTTGAAAACTACATTTGGAAAAATAAATACAGTTGCCAACTTAAAATATTTTCTTCCTCCCCCAACCTGTTTGTGTATTATTCTGTGCTTCAGGATTCTTATGGATTTTTAGGAAGTCAGGTGAATCACCATAAAGTGGATCACTGAAGCCTAATTTAACACAAAAAAGCTGTTCTTCAAATATTGGAGTAGGTTTTCTTGTAGTGTTTATTAACATTTAGAAAGAGAAAACATTTTCTTTTTGAGCAAGACTTGCATAGTTGAGGACACAGCATATTTAGTGTTGACATTATATCACACTAAAGTTACACTAGTACCCTTCTATTTACAAGTTATCACATGCAAACCTGAGGACACAGTTCCCTAAGCATCTGAGCATCTCTAACAACTTGCCAAAATCCACTGTTCATTCTTTGCTCGCAGCCAAACAGTTTTATGACTCCACACCTTGGTGTTAACCATTATCTGACTCCTCAGTGTCCTGACTCGACTCACTAAACCAGAAGGAAACTATTCTATGTTGGTTTTCAATCCTTCCTGATGGATTACTTTTCCACTGGCTTAGTGAAACAAGTCAGTCCAAGAAGAAATCAGACAAGCAGTGGAAGCAGGGGGAAGAGAGACCCATTCAGTGGCCCTTGGACTGACTTGGTTTCTGTGGAACCTCACCTTGCATCACCATGTGGCCTGCATCATTCATAGGTTATGCTTTTTGCTGAGGTGTTTTCTTCTTTCCTTTAACAGCAGTGACTTTTACTCTCTGAGAGGTGGGGTGGTGTTAATTTGGAAACTAATATCTATCACACACACCTACACGTGTTTATATGAATTATCAGTCTAGATCCCAAGGTTTTTCATATTAGGAGACAGCTGTACTGTTACTTGTCTTAGGAAACTGTCCTATACATAAACTTTGAACATAAACTAAGACTAATCTTTTTTTTAAAAGCAGAATTTTTAGCCCTGTATGTGAGTTGCCATGTTGCGGGGAGGGAGATTGAGAGCAAAGTCTTTTCTACCTTAAAATGCATAGCTGTAAATAATTATAGTAGACATTATGAACAGTGTGTCTCCTGCAACTCATTCCTCCTCATGATGTTTGCTGCATCTAAGCGTGATATGAACATTGCATCTTGACACAGAATTCCCATCATCAGAATTATGAAATAGTGTATGCTTTCAGCAAGGAAAGTTTATAACACATCATGCTTCAAAATTCATCTTAACATTTACAATTTGGAGAACAGCATGTCCACACAGAAAGTCTTCAAATGCGACTGTTAAAATTCACTGCTCACCTTTCCAATCATCATTTCTCATTGGCTGCTGGCTGGTGCTTTAAGCTCAACTGTTATGTCCTGCTTATGATATTCAACCACAGCTGAGTAAATTCCAGAGGAAGCTCGTGCCCTGCAATTAGTGCTTATTATCAGGGTGTGTAACTCACAATGTGTTTGCTTTCTTGTTTTGCAGTTCAGTCCTTCACCTTCACCCCTGCAGGTACTGTCCATTAGTCTGTCTCTTACCTCACCAGCACGTCATTGCAAACATTAGCTATCAAGGTGTTTATGAACATGTGAGAGATGCAGAATTAAAACCAAATGCAAGGAGAAATACTTCTGCTGCCTGTCTGTGATAAAAATGTAGTGTTCATTCTCCTAGTGACTCCAAGGGAACAGAAAATCTACCGCTATTAATGTCTCTCTCATTATAATTCTGCATACTTCTTACTCACCTAACTCCTTGAAAATTAAGTTTTGAAAGTAATTTGTGGGACAACATGCTTGAACTAACTTAACATAAACAAGCATTTGTTGTATATAACTGAATTTTGAAGCTCAAGAAAACTTTATCTCAGTTTTGAAATCTAACTGGAGAAATGGAACTTTCAATTTCTTTAACTGTTAGTTGCTGTACACTGGCCTTACTATGAGGTGTTCAGAGCTTTAAGCAATCTAGTGGTTAACCTATGCATGCATTGCCTTTTAGGTTTTTTGTAATTGAAGCATTTGCTGTTTTTCTGCCTACTTCATTCAAAGCTGATTTCCTATTTTTCATATCTTTAATAAACATAGCATACGGTAGACCATTATCATAAGAGTGATTAAAGATATGTGAAGAATAAACGAAGTATGGCTTAAACAGCAGTTGCAAACAGCTTAGTCAACATACGGATAGCCAGGAAAAACAGAATATACAATTAATAGTAGTAATTAATACAGATAATTAGTTTCTGCTCTCATACCTAAGCTCAAGATTCAGAAACTCAAAAATATTATACGTCAGTGTTACAGTGTAAAAGGCTGATAAGCCTCAGTATTTTCCAGCAGAAGTCTGTAAAGTTCTTTGCATGTAGCTTGGCCACTCAAGTTACACTTGTCAAAGGTGTCTGCTGTCCCCTCTGCCATCCATGTGATAGAGGCCAGTCTTCCCACTGCACTGCTGAACTGGTTCTCATGCTCAGCTAGCCGCTTTCTCACTCTTGCTTATCTCCAGCCACCGCTTGAATGTTTTGCTTAGCAGGAAAGAGCAGACAACTGTTGAGGCGGATGAGTGAAGGTGGTGGTGTCTGCCCCAGGGGCCTGTGACATTATGAGGGAGGAGTGTCCTTGTAGAGAAGCTCTGGGGGCTCAGGAATTGCTCCTCTGGCTTCTGACCAGTTTTGTTCAAGTTAGTGTTAAGGTGTGGCACAACACATCCTGCCTTAAATGCTTTCTTGGAGACACAACATAGGATTTTATCCGAAAAGAAAGAGTGGAGCCTTGCATTTCATTCCTATGATTATGCCACTGTCAGCTGTCTGTGACTGCGGTGAGTTTTTTTCACTGTCTCATAGCATACATTGGCATGACAGAGGGTTGTACTGAAGCCACAGTGACTGTGCATATTTCGGTGCAGTTGGTCCACATGTCCTGGGCAGCTAGGGTATATCAGAGACCCTGACAAAAATTTGCTTTTTTAAAAATGGTTTTGACATCTCAAGGACTTTCTAGAACTGTAACAGCACATAGTTCTACTTCCCAGCCTATAACAATATCTGGAGGCACTGAGAACCTAAGTCATCCAGTAGTCAAGTCCCCCAAAAAATCATTAATTAAAAAAAAAAAAGGTTCTTATTAAGGATCATAGTCCATGTTTTTTATCTTTATACCCAGAGTTCCCTAAGAAACATCATTACCTTTCTAATATTTGAATTTGCCATTGGTAATATCATTTAGACAAACAGCCATACTCGTGGAGATTTGATGCCACTCACAAACGTTTGTTGTTCCCTTTAAAATTATGATTCATAAGCAGTTCATTTTCAGATCTAAATATTTAGACAGTGGTATGTAGCTTTCGGAATCTCAGACAGCTGTCAAGAAAGTTTTACTGAAGATTAATTTATCCTAATGTATTTTAGAAGGTACACACTTTTTTTTTCAGACATCTGCTTTAAATTCTTCCTTCAGAAAGTTGCAGAATGTGCAGATTTTACTATGTAATAAAAGAACTGAATATATTAGTGGAACATTCATATACTTACTCTATTTCAGACACAAAACAAAATATTTTTTCAGTTATTTCTGATGTAAAAGTTTTGTTTTTCTTCTGTTGTGTTTGCATATGTGTAGAACTTAAAATAGTTGTTTAAAAGTCTGGATTCTGCAGTTATATAATTACTTGCTAAAAGTGTTCTTTCAGGTAATTTTCAGATTATAGGTCATTCACTGGGACTATTTGTTATTTCTGTTCTGTTATTAGGCTCCTAAGAGGTGTAATTTCTGCTGTGTGACTAAACTACTGTAACATTCTGTGTAGGGGAATAGCAAACAGCAAATGTCACACAAATGGTAAAGATTGTGCCAGAGAAGAATAATTGATTGAGTTAAATTTGTTAAGCTTTCTGTCTTTGCGAACGTTTTCAGAAGCAATAGTCAACTGCTCAGATTGTCACAAATAAAGTGACAGTGAAAATCATAGCTAAATCTTTTTACTTATTTTCAGTTGAACTGACTTCAGTAGTTACTGAGACATAAATCTATACATCACTATTCCTTCACTTCCCTTTCCCTCATCATGACTCACAAGGCATTGATTCTCAGTCATATCAGTCCTACAAAACATGGTTTTCAACTATATTTGTTAGATTACTACTGGTAAGTTGTAGTGTCATCATCTGCAGCTGTACAAGAAGTATACATTTTTGGGACCATGACATGCTACCATTAAAACCAAATCTGGCACAGAGACACTAAATACAAATGTTACCCCTTTTCAATCATCTGTTCTGAGACATAAAGGATGGATTGGTCTTACTTCTGTGTAAAAACTAAAGTACACTTTTTTTTTTTTTTTTTTTTTTTGGTAATTTTCATGGTTATCCTTTACTCTGATTGCATGGATATAAACATGCACTGTGGGTTTCTACAGGATAGATATAGGAAAGATAGATAACACAAAAGAGATATCTGACCACTTCTCGTATAATAGATGAATTGTTTTATTTCTATATTACAGTGACAGAACAGAATTTGTTTATTTTGTACTGGAAGTTGCAATTCTCTTTTCACATTTTGGTATAAGAAATTCTACAACAAAGGCATGGAATCCATTTGTAGAAATAGGAGAAATTTCATTTATCTGCTTATCTTTCCTGTGCCCTCAAACTCATCGTTGTGCCAGTACCCACTCACTTGAATACTCAGGTGTTTTCAAGTGTCTAGGCCTTCAGTCATATGAAGAAGGTAAATATGTGTTTTCACTTAGAAGTAAGCTTATTTAGTGACTAGTGTTCCTTGGGAATAAAGATTTAATGAAACTGAGTAAACAAAAACAATTTAAAAATAGATAGAGAATTGTGTAATGCTGCACATTTTATGCTCGACTCCTGAAACTGTTAAATGAGGATAAATTATTTGACAAAATCATCCAAAGGTAGAAGATTTGATGGAATTTTTATATGCTGATTATCTGGTCTGAGTTAATGCTTATTAAAAGAGGATTATTCTACACTCGTATTTGAGGAACAGCTTATCAGAATAAGGAATGAGACTTGGCTGGGAACATTAAAGTTTTCATTTGCGGTAGGAAAATGTGGCCTACTAGAGATAGGCATACAAAAAGCTTTCTAAAGCTTTCTTGCCTCAGAATGTCAACTTGCTATACATTCATATTTTTCCAATTCTAGGAGGCATGAAGATTAATTTTAACCTTGTCAGATAATATTAGTAAATGGTTTGGGTACCTCCTTGTATATTTAATAAAAAGCATGTGAAAAGCTCTTTAAGATATGCAGTTCTTCATACAAATATATACAATATAATTTCCTTAAATATTATGCATTTAAAATACACTTTGGATTATATTTCTACATTTTTACAATCCTTGAAGTATAAGCTGGTGGGGATTCCTTCAAAATCTCTCTATGCAGAGGTTATTTTTTCATCTTCTTTTGAAAACCAATCTCATCCCTGCAGGTCTTCAGCCTTTCTAAGTACATATATCAGATGCAAAGAGTGTTGAAAGAGCTTTTTTGCTTCCTTGGTGATAAAAAGCAAGGGAGATGGGTGGGTCAGTGATATGGACATCCTTCCCTTCCTCCTCTTACATTGCCCCTTGAAATTGCTCTGCTTCTTTTTGAAGTGGAGACAGGATGAATAAAGCCAGCTGTCTGTGTGTTTTATTTTTGCAGTGACATCTACAAGCCTGAATTACATTAAGTATGCTCCTATTCAGGCATTTAGACTTGTTTTGTAATTGCAGAAATCAAAATGCAGGCAAAAATGCTGACAAAATGTATGGAAGGAATGATAAACATAGTGCTTGTGTTGTCAGTCTGACCATATCTTCTGTCATTAGCTGTCTTTTCTTTCACAATATTGATGCTGAAAGAAAGGCACCTTCTCTATCCAGCCTCAGGTAGCCCATTTATGGATTACATCAGGAATACGATTTTTTTCCTGTAACATCTTAATGACATGTCCACACTTCAAGAGGAATTTTAGCTTGTTTAGTTGGTATTCTGGAGCCTTTTCCACAGAGAATAGTAACTAAAATACTTTATTGTTTATTTTCTCATGAAGATTATAACCATCCATGCATTGTTATACAGGGTGGAGGGTAAACAAAAGAACCTGTATTCCTTCCCAGTTCCATACACATCACATAAACCAGGCATAGTCTTCCCCAGGAAAAACAGTGTCACTGCAAGACAAGTTCTTTTTTTAATAAACTAAGCTGAACCTTTCTTCTAAAAACAGTGTTTATATTGGGAGGGTATAAAATTATTTAATGTAGGAAAAAAAACAGGAAACAGTTAATGCCAGCAGGATACAGATAGAATTAAAAAGAATAAATGCTGTGATACCTGTCTCTTTTCAACAAGCTTGTATGCCACAGCCAATCTGCAGCAATTTTGGCTCTAGCAAAGAAGATTTGATGTCATATGTCTTCTTGATATGTTTCTCACATCATGTCTTGGAGTTTTTTCCATACCTCACTACATGGAAAATAAAATGGATGTGACAAACATTGCTGCAATCTCCTACTACATCCCCCACTTTAGCTCCGCTTTATAAAGGTACACAAAGGATATAATGTTTTGAAGACCACAAGTACTGACTTTTTTTTTCCTGTATGACATGCATATTTAAAACCTCACACACTTGTCTGCGCTATACAAGTGGTAACAGTATTACTTTAAAATTATTTCTATTAGACAATAGTCTAAACAAGAGCATAAATCCCAAGTTTTCAGAAAATATGTTTTACTGGAATTGCCTTAAGTCTGTAGTCTATTTATAAGGATTGTTACTGAATGTGCCTTTGTTTCTCATTTTCCTTATTTCTTGTCACTTTGGCAAATGCAGAAAGTTGGGGAAATGGGTATTAAATTTGAAGGGAAGAAGGAAAAAGGAAACAGAATCTAATGTAATTTTGACCAACGTACTTTGAAACACAGCCAGGCAGTACCCATCTCTTCGCATATTCACACGTGCTATCCACAGCATTTCAGTTATTCACTTCTAAGCAATGAGTGATACAGTCATTTGGCAGAATGGCAGAATCACAACGTTAGAAACAACGTGAATGAAAGTAGCATTGGCTCTAATATTAATTAGCTGCAGTGTTTTACCATGTCTTGTTTTTCAAAGTAGACTTTTATTTAATACTTCCCCTACTTTCATTTTGATTTTCTTTTCATTAATTGGTTTGATTACATCCTTTCAAAATTCAGCTATTAACCATTTTGATGTGACATATGACTGCAGTGATTTTCTGATATTGATATTAGTCTGTTCTGCAGTGAAGGGTAATTAATCACCCTACCCAAGCACTCTTCTAGCACGGCTTCCAGAGGGGCCAGTTTTGTCACCCTTGCTGAATGTAGACTGTGAAATTATCCTAGGAGTTAATAAAGCAACAAGGATTCTATAAGGTATCAGAAATATTTTCCCGATGGATTTATGTCATCTCTAATTTTTTAAAAGATCACAGCATTTCCTTTGGGTACATTTTGTCTGATCAGAATGGTGTATAATAGAAAGCCTAGTGTAGTTTGGACCAATATTTGGAAAATCTTGCGAATACTCTGGGAGCTATAATTTAATGATGGGAATGTCTGTCTTTCTTACAGAGGTAAATAGTATTTCCAAACCAAGGCCTATTTTAAATTAAAGTGGCCACAGACTTCCATTCCTCTCTGAAATTCAAACCCTCATCTTGTCAGGGGCCTGTAAAGATGCAGGTGTCCAGGACATTGATATAATTTAATAGTCTGCCTTATCTATGTCTGACGATAAATAATGGGATATTGCCACTGAGAATCAGAGTAGTCTGTTGGCCTTGATTCAAAATATTTACCAGTGCTTCAAAAAGAAGCATCAAATATTGTCAGTTAGCATCTCAGCAGTAATGTGGGTTTACCTATATTGCCCTGACATGTAATCCTGTTAATAAGATAGATAAGGGATAGGCTGTTTTTTGTCAAACACCCATGAATAGAGCCGTAAAAATGATTGTCTCCCTCTGAATATGTTCTTGGCAACCCCTGTGGCAAGACTGGAAACACTTTCTTCCCAGTAATACTGGCATATATGCATTTATTTGTGGGTGCTGGTTCTTATACTATACTTCTAATGGAAATGGTGCAGCTGTATTCTTTTTTTTTTCACCCCTTCAGCTCTAACAGAGCTGCAACCTCTTTGTATTTGTCCTAGGAAATAGCATATTTGTGTGGTGATATTATATTGCTGCATTACAACATGATGTTATTAACTCATGGGTGCAATGTCATTATGTACTGAAGCAAAAGCATGCCAAGAAAACAATTTCATCACATGGCTCAGTCTTGCAATGCAAAACCATATGAAGGGGCCTGTGGTAAGTTCAGGCCTTCTGCCCAGGTGGCTGTTTTGCCTTGCAAGCTACAGAGCAAATTGATGTTAATCAATAATGTGCAGTGAAATTCTAAACAAATTGTAACCCTAATGTGTTTGATACTTTTCTTATCATTTCTGTACTTTATTATGTGGTGATGCCAAGAGGCCTCTGATCTCGGACACTGAGCAGTTTGAATTGTTAGTTTTAATTATTACTAATTGATTTTTCCCTGTCTTATATGTGTGTGCGTGTATGTGTGTACGTTTGTTTTGTTTTTCCAACCAAAATACAGTCACTTTCCAAAGAGGAGATGGAGGACTAATGAGCAATGGAAGGTATGTTTCCTTGTATAAAGGTCTTCCCATCGTATTTAGTTTTTAAATTAGTGATGTGAAAAAAGCTATAGATAATACACTTGGTTAATAACAAATCTTTGGGAGGACTGACAACCCTAGGAGGAGTTAAGTAGCTTACCACAAGGTTTAATGACCTATCTGTTGTGCACTTTGGAGGAATCAAGCCCAGATGTTTCATATCTCCCAGATGCCCTGGAAGAAATGAGTAGTAAATATCAAAAGGAATGTGTTCATTTGTTACCGGGATGTTTATTGCATTAATTAGACATTAGCAAATGAAGTTGCTGTTGTTTAAGACTCCTTATTGGCTCCCCCTAAATTGCTGTGAGTGAACAATTACACTTAATCGATCACAAAATAAATGATTCATGGATGATGAATAGGCTGTAGATTGATAGGACTAGATTCCACAACTTTGGCTACTCAATTGAAATTGATAAAAGCTGATAACGGACCCATATATCCTCATCTATTTTCCCTTTGCCAATATGGAGATTGTAATTAGGCCCTGGTAATAACTTCCAATCTCCTGTTTAATCAATATTTTAGCAAAAAGAGATTAGGCCTAATGAGAGCGGGTAGATATGGCAAGAAAGCGGCTGGGTCTTCTTATTGCTGTTTCCATAGAAACCGATGTTTCTCTTAGGGATTGTACCAGGCAGGGGTCTATAAAGTACAATGATCAGCGATGTTGCTCCAACTTCATGAGTGCATTAATAACGTAGAAAAGCTGCAGAACTACGGATGGTTTTTTGTTTTCATCTGGGGGAAGGGGAGTGTCTGCAGGAAATGTTTTGTTTTCCCTGTTAAATACAAGTACAAACAATCCACCTGCCTTGATAAATTTCTGGCTGTTTATCCTGGGGTGAGAGAGCCGTGGTGCCTTATGGCCCAAGTGTATTTTCAACATACTTGTTGTTTAATACTGTTCTCAAAGCTGGGAATTACAGGGATATAAAAGCCATGCAGTAGTGGCACGTAAAGATAGCTGTGGACTTTCCATTAATCCTACTCAAACCTGTTTGCCTCTAAACCATCCAAGAGTGCTCAAAGAAAGAGTTACCAGCCTGCAGATGACAGGCGTGCGTTTGGGATGCAAGGGAAGGAAGAAATAGTAGCCCAGAGTCCTGGAAATGGCTGATATGGAGCAATCAGTTTGAGTGATGGCTCCCTTGAGGTCGTAATTTATCATGCAGCCCTGGTGTAGGATCCCACGATGGTGCTGTCTAACCCCTGTTTCACACAGACAACGGAGTTCATTTGGATTCTGGCAGAATCACGACGGATGCCTAGTCCCACTTCTACTGACAAAGTTGATTTGTATATAACCTTAATTAACTGCTCAAGGTCTTTAAATCATCAAAGGCTACACAATTTTAATTTGAAATAAAGTCCCCTAAACTGTTTGTTACCTATGGTGTTAGGAGAACAGTGATATGGTCTCTTCAATCACAAGCTGTTTCACAGATATTTTAATTTAAAAAAAAAAAAAAAAAAAAAATATATATATATATATTTGTATGTATATCTTCTTTTCTTATTCTGCTTCAGTCGACCAGGTCTGTTGAATGCAAGTGACCCCAGTTATCCTTGGCTTGCAGACTCTTGGCCTGCCACAAGTCTGCCAGTAAACAACAGCAGTAGTGGACCCAACGATCTTGGCAATTTTGGTCGTGGAGGTAGGTTTCATTTTATTAAGTCACCATATGGTATACAATAGCCTTCTGTTAGTTAACATCTATGATAAACACTGTGTAATGTTTTTATCATTATAGTTCTTTCTATGTTTGACTCAAGATTTGATTTAAAATCGACTTTAATAAGTCCATTTTGTTTTGTCTCTTTCTGTTTCTTTAGGTCTAATTTGTAACCTACCCCACAATCATGAAACAGGGTCTGCTTATCATCTCAAGAGAAATGCATTTGTTGCTCAAACTCCTTCTGTGTGGAGAAGAGCAATCTCTTGTGCAGGGCAATGTAGCCAGGGGTAGAGGATGTCCATAAGATCAGAGAAGAATATGGGGGATACATGAAGGATGTTCCTTCAGCAGGAGGATGGAAGAATATTGTTGTTGTCACCTTACCCATCCACTTCCTACTGAGGGACTGCTCTCAGTCTCAGCCATAATCCATAAAGAAGGCCTCACAGGTCTTCACAAACTTTCTTTCTTATTGGAGGAAAGAACACATAAAAGGGAACTATATAGGTATTTTAGGGTTTTATTTCCATTTTGAATTAAGGGAAGCCCTCTGGGGAGATGAGGTAATGATTTATAATTATGGTGATGAATCTTTAGAGGGGTTATTCACTTTCAAACGTTTTAGTCAAATGGGAATTTCAAGATGTATGATTGGGATTTTTAAAAGTCATAATAATATTCACATCTGTCTGTTACTTCCTTGGTTTCTGTGATGTTATAACACAGGTGGTTCTGCACAGTTGTGTTCAAAACAAGACTTCCCAACATAAATGAATATATGAATACTTTTAAGACATAAGTAAACAAAAATACATTATATATCAAAATGCATTAAAATATATAAAAATACATTAAAAATCAAAAACTCTATAAAACCATCAAACTGATAAATGTGAAAAGAATTCCATTTTGAACTGTACCAGAATCTGGTTCTGAAAGGCATCCCTCACATCGGCTATATGTTCCCATGAAAAACTCCTTGCCTGTGTCTTGACTACTGTGACTTCAAATTACAACAAAACATTCTAGATTTATTTTCCATATAAAAATGTTGTAAAGCACTTGTCTTACAAAAATATTATAAAATAAGCAAAACTTTTTATAATATTTAGAAGGCAACTGAATATCTGCCAGCTTATTTGTTGTGAGTATCTTGAAAATAAAACCCTTCAATACTGTTCCATCTTTTCATAAACTCACATAATACAGAAAAATTACCATTTTCTTTTAGCATTTGACTCTATACAACTGAAACTGGAAGCATGTTTTAAAGCTTTTGGCTTCAATGTGGATGAGGCATAGGTCCAAATTTTTCCAAGAAATGCAACAGTTACATTTTGAAATTCAGCAACGTAATTCCACCCATGATCTTTACAGTTGAGCTCACACTTATATTCTGACTGGTTTGAGACTACTTATCCCTATCTGTTTCAGCAGCTGAGTTTGGATGCTTCTGCACTAAAGATGGATTAAAAGTCAGATGTCTTTTACCATGAATTAGCTGTATAGATGGAACTTGGGCCTCTTACTGGTTAAAAGGTCTGTGGTAATATAAAAGGTGTGTAAGAATTTTGAAAAAAGTAAGGTGGCAACCAACCACTTTGGAAACTCAGAAGCTGAGGCAGGCAGTTCTAACATTGCCTTTAATCCACATTATGTCCTAGATAGGCATTTGAGAGTAAGGCTGTGAGTGGAAAGCACAGGTTAGATTTGGAGTCGCATAAGGCCACGGAATGGTACGACATCTCCCGAGGCAGTAAGGAAGAGCTTCCCCCAGAAAGTACTTCAGCACTATTTCATTTATCTCAGGAGTTACAAAACAAGTTGGATTTTGGAGAGTTTTGGGGAAAGTATCCAGTGGGAAATGTGTGTTCATCTTTGGTCTGAAATACACAGTGTGGGTTTTTTACTATGACAACTTGGTGGGAAAATCACATTTGATTATTATTAGGTGATTATGACACTTTGGAAAATGCCAACTGAATAACTCTTTGAGTGCATAGTATATACATCTTATTGAGGTCAAAAAAGTAATCTGTGGTTGAACTGAAAATTCCCGCAATGTCTGGAGAACCTCAGCTTATTAGTAAGAATGACTGAAAATTCTTGGCTGGTGGGAAGCTATGCAAGCTTCCTTTTGAGTGTGTGCAGATGTATAATTCTCCATTTTAAAATGACTGTATAGAGATTATACCTTTCAGTTGTCAGAAACATGCTCAAAAAGATAGATGTATATCTGAGTAATTGAGAGATGAGCATTTTGCTAGTTTTTACTTCCATGAGTCTGCAAATCCAATACAGACAAGTTGAGCTGGACTTACTTCATTTTATACATCAACAACAGAATTTATTTACTAAGCTTCAATCCATTATACTTTGATAAAACCAACTGTGGAAAGGAAAAATCATCATATTGTAGATGAAATGAAAGAAAGATGGGACTGCATTTGTCTCTCACATCTCATGCTGTATTTACACACAGATGCTTTTATGATTGTGTACTGCCCCTAGAAAACACATTGGATATGTGCAGATAGATAATAATAACCTGATTTTGAAATAAAACCTGTAGTTTGCATTAATTATATTTTTTTTCACTTAGAATTTATCTGCAGATATAAGTTAATACAATTAAGACATTTTAAATATTTGATTGTGCCCATTTCCCTGTTGTTGTCTGCAAAAACTAGATCATACTAATAGACCCAAATTTAATCTCTGCTTCTGCTGTCTCTCTGCTGAGCACTTGTTATTGCCATATTTATTGTTAATATTATGTTGTTGCCCTGAGACTGCAGATGTTATTAGGATCCATATTAAATTGTTCACCGTTGCATACATGAATGCAATAGAAAATAGTTCTATGGTCTAAATTTTCATCCCAGGAAAAAAAACAACCAGCCAAAACAAACAAAAACCAACCAACCAAAAAACCCCACCAAAACAAAAAAACAAAACAGTGGGAGGAGGCCATGATATCATATCTCATTGCTGGAGAAGTCTTGAGGCAGGGAGACAACAATTGTATTCCCCGAGATTGCACAAAGCCCATGTTTGAGTCTGGAATTGTGCCTAAACACTTTTCTAGGTGCAAGAATCATCTTTTCTCTCTGGGGCTTAAGGTATATAAAAATGTCTGTGATATTGAGAATAGGATCTGAACATCCTCACTATAGGAGTATGCATTATCTCAAGTACAATCTAACAGTTGGAATCCATATCTGTCACCCGTCTATGTAAAGCAAATGACATATAAACGATGCGTTTTTCTAACAAGTAAATTTCAGAATGGATTCTATTTTTAAGAGTGTAAATAAGTCGTAAAAATAATACCATTTTATATACTGACCTCTGAGAGAGCAGAAAGAGGGTTATGTGCTGAGCTGTGGTTCTTCTTGGGACATCATGCCAGTCATCATTACATTCTTCACACTCCAGTAGTCTCAGCTTCTAAATCTAGTATTCCAGCAGCAAAGGTCACTACAGTGTTTAGTAAGGAGAGAGATTGCCAGTCTAACTGATTAAAGGTACAAATTGCAGTGTGTGATAGAATTCAAAAGATGTAGAAAAGTGAACACATATTTAGTTAAATATGCTGTACTGTCTTTCAAGTAAATGTACTGGTGTATTTGAACAAGTTGTTCTCCATTATCAACACGTCTTTGCCATTTTAAGAGACTGATCGCTTACATCCCTTCAGAATAACAGATTTTCTTTCACATATCTGGAACAACTTGGTTTTGTCAGGTCTTTCTTTTGTAGAAAAGAAGAAATGTACTAGCTAATGTCAAAAGGAAAATTAGATAAGCTGATGCATAAAACTTCAAGGAACTCAAGGTGATGCCCTTAAAAAATTACTTTGAGAGCCTCAGCCTCCATTTAGAGTTTTGTTACATATTTGCTGGGAAAGTTTCCTCTGTGGTTTGTAGATTCACTCCTTTCATCATTTCCCTGAAGCCCAGACAGTTTCATTGGTTCTGACATGGAGTGAACAACTGAAAACATTCTTCAGTAGAGAAATATTCCAAACTTCACTTTCACAGTTGAAGGTATGGAAAAAAAAAGATGGTTTTAGGCAGTGAGACGTGAAGGACAAGTTGTAGGCCTGTCACAGATGCTGATAGCTTGGCGATGGTTGTACATCATCTTCCCTTCATTGGCTCATGGACCTGTCTCAGCTGAAATGCAAACGTGCAAAATGACACATTTATTTTTCATCTTAAACTTTGATACTTTCAGGCTTCCTGTGCATCAATGATTTGTTTCATTCCCCTATGTTCACCACAGATGTGCTGCCACCAGTGCCAGGGCAAGGGGATAAAACCGCTACTATGCTTTCTGATGGAGCCATTTACAGCAGCATTGACTTCACCACAAAAACTAGTTACAACAGTTCCAGCCAAATAACACAAGCTACGCCATATGCCACCACCCAGATACTGCATTCCAACAGCATCCATGAGCTGGCTGTCGACTTACCTGATCCTCAGTGGAAAAGCTCAATTCAGCAAAAAAATGACCTGATGGGATTCGGTTACTCCCTCCCAGACCAAGGCAAAGGCAACAATGGTAATTACAGCTTTTATTTTCCAGAGCCCTTGGCTTTATACTGTATCATCTATGCATGAATTAGAAAAATCTTTTTAGTATATGAGACACTGTTCATATTTACCGTAACTAATGCTTGCATACCTTGCATGCGTGCTGAACCTCTCACAATCACAAAATATATTGTTCTGTTCTTTCAGTCCTCTTTGTCCTGTGCTAATCACCAAACCGTCTGCCTTCCATTAGGCTAGGATAGGTATACATTTGAAAAAATAATAAATTAAAACGTGCTGCCCCACCACATCTGCCATTGACTTGCTAACTGCGTGTGTTGCATGTGCTTGTGCTGTCAACTAATCACACGATGCCACTGTGACCTTTGCCCTTTAACCCTTAGCCTTGCTTTACATCCCTGACTACCGCGTGGCTGAGGGATTGGCTAATAGATTGCCACACAACCAGTCACAGGATTTCAGCACCACCAGCTCCCACAACAGCTCTGAAAGGAGTGGCAGCCTCTCAGGTTGGTTCCACCGCCGTGGGTGGGTGAGGGACGGAGGGGTGATGACGAGCAGATCTCCAGAAAGACAGTAAAACTCCCAGGTGCACTTTGCAGATAGGTATGAGGGTGCCTGCCCACTGGAATGTCATCAAACTCCACCTCATTGGCCTCTACTGAAAAAAAGAAAAAATGCCTTTTGCAAAACCTGTTTGGGAGATAATTGGAGAATCCTACCAACCAGCACTTGTCAGCGCAATTGCAAACCTTGCCTTGTCACATCTTTTCCCTGACATCACAGTTCATGGACCAAATATATTTCTGCATCATTCCTCAGTTTATAGGTCTCCCCACACTGAATTTCATGAAGAGATTAATATTTTTGTTGAGCTGTTAACAGATTCCCCACTCCCACGAGCTGTTTCTAAATGCTGTTTTTCAGTGAAGCAGCTCAGAAATTAAATGTAGGGTCCTGCAAGATGAGTGGGGTTTCAAAAATTGTGCCATACAAACAGAATGTAAATTTTATGTGTGTGCTGCATGTTATATTGGAAACATGATGCATTTTCATTGGATGAAAATAATTGTAGTACATGTGGTGGTGTATTATATTTAAACACACCTTTTTTCTTGATTTATTTAATTATCTGTACTTGTTGCTTATGTTACATATAACTATATCATCTTTTTTTCATGACAAAAACTGAAAAAACAGCAATTAAAATGTAAATCTGCTATTTCACTTAACTGAAATACAAGAGAGTTGAAAGGTCTTAAATTTCAAATTCATACTATATCTGTAGCCTTTTGATTTTCCACTGTAAGTTGGAGCAATAGTAACAGATCAACCCTAGAAAAGGCTTCTTTATGTCAATTTAAAGGACTATTCAAATTGAATGTTGAGATTAGAAGCCTATAGTCATTTGCCCATAACTCAGATAGCCAAATGTGTTTCCAAGTCTTGTGTTCTCCTGGGGAGTATGAGCTGATTTGAGTGAGATCAAAAAATAGGCTTATGGCATTGACAGAGAGGTATCTGGGAGCTAAGTTCATACAATACTTCAAGAAAGGTTCTTGTTCCTTGTATGTGAGATGTATTGGCAAGTAGTTTAGGAAGACGGCTTGCTCCTCTGGCTGCATGAAAATGCAGAAATTGATATGCTGAGGTACATATGTGGCAGTTATCAGAGGGCAGAATCACACTTCAGATGTGTTGACAGCTACAGCTGCCTGAAAGTTCTCTCAGAAAATACAAAGTTTTACTGGAAAATGCCAGTTGATCAAAAGCTGGACTTTGAGCACATATTTCATGTGAAATGTATTTTCTGTAGTGTTTCTCAGTTTGAAGTAAATTTTCTGGCAACACATGGAAACTTCAGGTTAGTCAGTCTTTCTATGGCTGGGGCATTCCTGGTGTCATCAAAGCAGCTCACACCTGGATGCCTCAGTGTTCAGGTGAGTGTCAGACTATTGGACTGTAGAGTCAGTATTTTGCTCTCCCTTGCCCAAAAATTATGTCTTTAATACAGGCTAATTATGTCTATAATACATGAGAAACTGGGGGAAACCTTCAAATAGTCAAATAATTAGAGTATCACTGGAGTCAGAGACTAGTTTTGATTACGTAGTCCCCATCAGGGTGAGCAGGGACTTCTCTCACTTCCTTGATTAGTATTTTAAATGCTACTTATTATTCTGACTAAGTTTCTGTCTCTTTAAAATGAATATCATAAGAAATCCTATCCTACTGTGGAATGAAAAATAGCTAAAAACTCAGCTGCTTTGTGAGGCAGGGAAATTTTGTGGCTGTACTTTGCACAGCTCCCAGCTTATGTCAGTGCAATGATCGTCAGCCCAACTGGCAAATTCTTTTTGCAGGACCTGATTCATCTAGAGATTTAAACAATATAATTGACTTTCAGTGTGAGGAGACATTGAAACATCAAGCATCATTGCTATGGGGAAACAAGGCTTTGGTGCAGCAGTTTTCAAACACACATCAGGCATTATATATTAAGTGTCTGTTCAACTAGTCTGACAGTGGAGTATCTTTGCCCATGGGGACAGAAGAGAAATCTCCTGCCCAACTGTACAGTGTAGGCTGCTTTCCCTACCAGTAATGACCTTGGAGTTGCTTTCTTTTATTTCTTCATCTGAACAGTTCCTCAGCTCTCTGCTTCACTCTTTCTAATAGTTCTGTTGTCTTTGGCCTTTCTCTCCAAAATCCCCCAAATCCAAGTGACTCCATACTAGCATTCCACATATCCAACCTCCTTTTACCAGTCTCCTAAGATTACCAAGGTGCTACACTTCCAAAATCTCCCTCTCCACCTCAACTAATGTGTAAACTTAAGCTCTTCTCTGCATTTCTCTTCTCTGACTGTTCCTAGTTCCAATCCCCCTGCAACTCTTTCTCTCTTTCTCTCTCTCTCATGCATGTGCTTTCCTCCCAAAGCATTCCCTCCTCCCCTAATTCTTGTTGGCTCCTACTCCTGCTGACTTTTCAAAAATTCCCTCATGTCCCACAAATTAAAATGTACTGTTCTGTGACCCTCTTTCTAACTCTGCTTTCTGCCATACCTGTGCTTTGAAAGCTTCATTTTCCCTCCAGAAGGTTCATGTATTTGTTCCTCCATTGCCACCATCACTGGGGTTCCTTTTCTGTTGATCAAAATGTGCTTTCCCTTTTCCAAGAAAACTTCCCTCTCTGCCAGGCTACAAAAGGAGAGAAGAGCCTGTCTTGCATCCTAATAGATGGAATATCAGCTCAGTTCACACATAGTGAATGACAAGATGTTGGCTGGACTTACTGTAAATACTCCAAGATAAGCAAGGAAGGTTTCTGATCTGGAATTCAGTAGTGGAAAGTGAAGTCTTGTTTTCAATGTGCTGTCAGCCAGGCTGATTAGAAACCTTACCAGACTTGTTGCCTGTCTCTAGCAGCCAAAAGAGAAGTCTTGGCTACTTCTGAATCACAGAATCACATTTTTTTCCCTCTCTATTTGTTCTTATTTTTGTCCAGCTGACATTTGGAGATAGCAGAGGAAAGCCACTGTCGCTCAGACAAAAAGTCCCATGACACATGCTTGTCTCTATTACTAGAATTAATCTCCATCTCGATGTCTCTATGCCTAAAGCTAGAGCCATGGCAAAGAGGGTGGTGTCTGCCAGTGCACACCATGCCACCCTGCCTGGCAAATCAATTGTGGCTTTTTTGACTCGTAGCTGTTGGGAACTTTTCACATGGGTTTGTTTAACTGATTCTTATACATCAGCAAGAGATGTCAGTGGGTAAGATGGATTAGAGTGAGTGTTCTGCAACAGGCAAGACATGAGTGACTGCCAGCTGGGTACCCTACTGAAAAAAAACATGACAAACTGTTCTTCCACCCAACAATCCATTGAGTTTGAAAGTCACAACAAAATATCAATAAGTAGATGAGTTTCCAAGCAGTCAAGGGATTCAGAGTCTTGTGCCGTTCTTCCTCTTAACGATTTCCTGACAAGAAAAAGGAGTTGGGGCAAAATAAAAGAAGCTAAACTAGTGGGATGAGAGCTTTCTCTGTCAGATCACTTTCTCACAAATGGAAATGTCTCAGCTGGAGAAGTGGATACAAGGACAATAAGAAAAGAGAAGAGAGCTTAAGCAAAATGCATTGCTCACTTCATTTCTACCAGCCTCCTTCATTAGAGTTGTACATCAGAAATAGGACCTCTTCTCCATAGTGGCACAATATATTTCGGTCATGTGAAACAGACAGTCCTAAAACATTGCAGATGACTTCCAGATGTTTTTAAAAAATGGAACTTAGTAAATTCCTATCAACAAAATCCTATTTCTTTTTGTTTTGATAATTTACACTTGTCATTATGACTGAAAGATACTGAGTCTATTGACAGTGTTTTAGATTGTGTCCCTAGCCTCTGTGTTTTCCACAGAAAGAGATCATGCAAAACAGTGTTATAAGCACATTGGATTCTAACATTTTAAATAATTTGCTATAGTCTATTATATATTTATCTAACAGTGAATTCAAGAAGTCATAAAGCAGACACGAATAAATCAGTAAATATATTTCTGATACAGCAAAACATGTCTTTCCTTGGTTGTGCACTACTGTGGTGCAAATGTACGGAGTTTTAAAAAAAAAAAGTGATTTTCAGCAATTATTCTAAATATTTTTCTATTCCATTCTATTATTATTTATAACCTTGTAACAGCATTAGCACATTGATGCTGATTCTGCAGAGGTATAAATACATCTTCTTATTTGGGACATGCCATCTGGAATCAGAATTCTTTCAAAGAAATGTAAATAGCTAGGGTTTTTTTCCCACATTATATGTCTAACATTTTATTTTTCTATTCGGATTTGCAGGTGGCAAAGGAGGGAAAAAGAAGAAAAACAAAAATACTGGCAAGCCCCAGAAAAATAATGGGTCAAACTGGGCCAGTGTTCCCCTCCCACCCCCTCCCGTGCAGCCACTTCCAGGCACAGAGCTGGAACACTATGGGGTGGATCAGCAAGAAGCAGGGTAATTTTTAAATTTTTCTTTTGAAGAAAAATCTGTAGTTTGCAGAGATGAGGCACTTTTTTTTTTTTTTTTTTTTTTTTTTTTTAATTTTGCTGGGTGACAATATTATTCTGTTTTGCTTAAAAAAAAAAAAAAAAAAAAAAGGGTGCCTTATCCTATAGACTTATTCAAGGCTATGGAGCAGGAATGTTTGAATAGCTTTTCTTGATAGTGACTGAAGATGGAAATAAAAGTGACCTACCTTGCTTCATCATCATTTAGGGATTCTCTGCTTACTCATGTTGAGAAGTAACTCACTTCACATGTAGCTTAATTGAATTCTGTTGGGACTGCTTGCAGATGATGGGACTCAGAGTAAGAAAGGATGACAATCTGCCTCCTTGTATTTTTTCACTGCTTTGATGTTTAAAATATTCGAGGCAAAAGAACAAAAACCCCCACACTAAATGGGATTAATTTTAGAAGATCAACCAGTGGATAATAATCTTCTCATCGACTTTTAGAAGAAATTTCACAGTTGAGGAAAGCATGCTACTTATAGGACTTCTTTATTATTACTTAAACAACTCATGAGTTTCTGGAACCTTACATTTATTTTTGGATAGCTTAAACTTGTTCTCAAGGATAGAAAATCGCATGAAAAGCACTAAATGAGAGGAAAGAGACATTTCTTGCACAGAGAACAATTATTGGAATGCTTTTTATAAAGTGAAATTACATTAAATACCAGGTTATCAAACTCTAGTGGGAAATCAGAGTATATAGAAAAATAGTTGACTGTGGTCAGCTCTCTTGGAGCCTCTGAGAATCATTGTTCTGTCAGGGACAAATTTCTGCCTGTTTAAATACATGGATTAATCAATATTTCCTAAGTATGAAAAATGTTTTAAAAATCATTGCAATAGCTTTACTTAATAAAAATATTTAAACTGTTATCTCTTTTGTAAACATGAATTGATCATCACCACTTTTATAATGAAAATTATAAGAGTTAAGTATTAATATCTGAGTTTATATCAAGTCCTTCAATCTTAATAATAACTAACTATGTAAATCAGTGGAGTTCCTTTTAAAATGAAGGTCCATTGAGGTTGTATTAGAGTTAGAATTTCAAAGCAGATATAAGGGAAAATTAATAAGCTACTAAGTGTTGTTTAAATCTCAAGGCAAAAAGAATATATAATCATTATATTCTGTATTCTGTTATAAAAACCTACAATAAATTTAATATGGTTTTACCATGTAATATTTGTCTTTATCAGTTTATATCCTTAAAACACATGTACAGCCATTTCACAATAATAATTATGTTATAGAAGGCAAACAACTTGGATTTTCTTTCAGGACAATGAAATAGCATAAAAGGCAAATGGAAATACCTGCTAGAGAAATCCCTTGTGACACAGGGCTTGACTCCTCAGTTGCATAAAGTATCTGTTATTTTGCTGGAAGGAATGATGTTTGTCACCAAGACAACATTGGTTGTTTAAGGATAAGGTAATCACCATCCTTCCAGATTCCCAACGACTCAGGCTTAGTTTTTCCTCTGATTATCTTTTGCATTTACTCTTCTCTGTTTTTTGTATTGTCTAATTAATAGTGGTTGTAACAATACCTTCTAATGAGCATTTTACCAAACAGAAAAAAAAAAAAAAATTAAGATTAGACTTACAGTATCAGTCTTGAGCTACAGTAATTTGCCACCAACTTCACTGAACCCAATGAACCTGCAGTGCCCATACTTCCTGAGGATGTATCCAATGCTAATGGTCATTCTGTATTCAGGAGTTGATCTTGTTTCTGTGGTTTTCAACATGCTGAAATGGAATGAATCATAGACTGCACTGCTTATGTTGCCTTTAATATTGACATATTGGCTAAAAAAAAGCAAGCAATTTTTTAAAACTGTTTTGTTTTTCTTTATTTGCTCTGATGTATACTATGTATGACAAGTTCAATGTGTTTCAATTTTAGAATTAATTACATTCAGGTGAAATTATATTGTGAACTAGAATTGAAAAATTAACTTACAGTCAGAAAAACTGAAGACTTTATTAAATTTCCCACAATGTGTTATGAAAGGTGAACATTTAGAGCAATAAAACAAGGAATTTGGCATCTAAACATAAACTTATTTTCTGGGCATATCTTCCAATAACTCTTGAATGCAAGTGTGAGTTTCAGTGACATGAGTAGCCCAAATAAACTAAGCCATTCTGACACCCTATTTTGCTTACTAGAAACTAACACTAGTGGCCTATTGGCTTATAAATTGGAAAAGAAAATCCACAATAGCAGCAAGTGAAAAAAAAAAAAAAAAAAAAAGAAAAGTCACCTAACTTAATCATAGGTAGGGAAGAAAAAAAATACACTCTTAGTTTTCTTTACCATCTTGTCCCCAGAAGAACTGAGGTAGCATTCAGCTGTACTTTTCCATGAAGTGCAACACACATAAGGAGAGGTGAACATGTTAATCCAGGCAGCCATTTTATATAATGGGGTGGCTTTTGGGATGTCTTAAATACTTATTTAACCTGTAAAGAAAGTTTGTTTCTACCGTTGTTTTTCTAGCAAGCTCTTTCCTGTGGAACTTCTCCCTTTTTTTGTGGTCTTCTACAAACTCTGTGCTTGTTCCTTGTTCTATTCCATAATTTTCTCTTGTATATACTGCAGAGCTTTTGAAGTTTCTCTTTTCCTGTAGTAGCTCCCAATCTAGCGTGTCCCCTTTCCCACCCTTTTCAGAGAAGGTCCTTTTGCTTGATTTTATCTAATAAGCTTGACAATAAGGAAATGCTTGTTAATTACTCATTATCATCTACTTATATTTTTTCACTGATAATATGCATGTTCTTGAGCCAACCCCAGGAAAGGCAGTCTTCATATTGTTATCATTGGTTCTTTTTATTTCTTGCTATTGATTACAACTTAAAATGGAATATTAGCTGCTGGATGTCAATATATTTGATAGTCATTTTCTGTCTCTAGAATAAGTAAAGAAAATAATACCTTTTACATCAGAAAATCCTTTCTGGTAATTCCTAGAGAGGGAAGCTTTCTTTGTTGCAACAATGTGTGTACTGAAACAGAATTATTAGAGAATATGCCCCTTATCTAGCACCTCTATTTCTAATTTTGAAGGGAAAAAACCTATCAAAGTAATGAACCAAGTTTTTTAATAGCAAGAGATTACTATAACATAAAAGTGCTGAGAATAGAATAAAAATTATTAGAAACATAGTGAGTCATGTTTGTTACCAGAACTTATTAAGGACTTAATTATCATGAAATTGAAATCAGAGGTCCCTAGTGAAGTTAAGGTGCTTAGATTTTAACAAGAAGTACTTGGAAAAGGTTCAATTTTCACCAAGTTGTATTTACTCAGAAAACCAAAACAACATGGATGTGACCAATATTCACTATGCTGGTTCCAGAAGTTTCAGTAACTAATATTTATTGAGGTGTAGTTACTTTGTAGTCTGTTAGGTTTGCTAGCTTTTTCTTTCAGATTTTTTTTTTTTTTTTTTTTTTTGATACAATGCAGTCTAGAACCAGTGGCTTTTTGGACATCTTACATTATGAAGACAAAGGTTCTTGTACCTGAAATCTTGAATCTCAATGTCCTAAACTTTCCATTTCAAACAAAATCTCGGTAAACATACAGTACTTGTGCAGAATCTTTTTACTAAGAAAACTTTTTGCTATCAAGCTGAACATTTGGGGATTTGAAGCAAGTAGGGTCAAAAGGCAAGCACATCCAAAGCTCATTTATGCATTACTGAAAAGTCACTAGGGAGTATCTTTCTGCCCTGTCCCTTTTAAAGAAGAAGCCATTACACCAAAGCATGAGGTTGAGAGAGTAAAAGTAAGTGACAGAGCTGTTGCACTGTATATTTTTAGCAGCATGAGTTAGGATGGTCCCTTCGATCTTGCATGGCAACGTCATGAGTGAATATTGCAAGAAAAAACAAATTAGAGCTAGTCATATCTTAATTGTCTCCTAAGGAATTGAATATGTATTGTATAACATTTTCTTAAATCTCTGTGTTATGAAAATAGTAATGATCATTCACTTAAAAGCTCCTAAATGCCAAGTGTTAAGATGCAGCATTTATTTGCACCTATGTACACGTATGTATGTTTGTATATCTATTTATGGTTATATCTAAATACAGATTTAAAGTGGTACTGGCCTTAATTACAAGATATGCCTTCCACAGACTTTTGGATGATTCAGTTATTTTAGCTATAATGAATCTGTACTTTTAAATAAGGACTACACTTTCGAATAAGGAAAAAGTAGTTTAGTTGATTTTAGAAGTCTTTGGGTTTTGCTTAAAGTAAAAGTTCTGTTCATAATACAGGTTTTGAAACTTCTCTGTCTCAGTGTTCCCAGCCTTTTTGTAACCCAGTTTCACACTCGGGAAAATTGGCAGTGATTAGTTTTTCTCTGGGAAATTTGTAATTCCTTCCTTCTGAATCAGAAGCCTTGAAGGAGTATTTTTAAACTTATTTGAGAAATGAACTGTATAACATAATGCACTGCCTGCCGGCATTGCAGAAAAAAGGGGTGTACCTTGTCATCAGTCCTTGAAGGTAGAAATAAGATAAAGTGACTTAGATGATGCTTAGGGAATGGCCTCTAGAGTGTGAGATGGTTTGACAGTGAAGGAGCTGTGAGAGCTTTTGTTTGTCTGGTTGCCTTTTGAAAAGAGCTGTCTATCCTGAGGTATTTTGGAATACACTGGGAGTTAAGAAGAAATGTGTGCAGATGCTCAAGGGACTGCAGACTGACTGGACATTTTGAAGATGGGAAGAGAAGAGAGTGCTGAGATTTGAGTGGTGTGATTGTCAGCAGAGCTGTGCACAACTGAAGTTGTGTTCAGATTAGGGAATTAGTCGGGGGACATAGTGCACAGGGAATGACGACAGTCACTAGGGCTTATGAGTCTTGAGTGATGCTGGCGTCTCTAAGGGACAGGGTCCTGGGATGATACTTTAATACAACACTCAATTGAAAGGTCCTGTGGTGAGGACAGAGACAGAAAAAGATTGAATTGCTGGCAAAGCTTGCATAAGAAGTGGTGATAGAATATAAAGCTTCTGTTTCTAGGCCTGATCAGGTGTGGCATCACCTCTTACACTCTTGGTGTAAGACTGAAAATTTAGCCATGAAAGCCTATCAGAACATCTCTTATAGAAGAGAAGAATTTGGTATTGAAGAATTTTGCTAGTTGTTAATCTTTTAATTTACTTTGAGCAGGTATGTTGAAACTGCTCAGAAATTTAGCACTGTCTAGGTAAGTCCCAGGAAAAATTCGTTAGGAGGTGGGGTACTTGCAGAGATGTCAACGTGTGTGCTAATGTCTCCTATCAGGTGGTGCTGTGACATAGCATATGCTTATGGTCAGTTCTACTGTGGCATTAATGTATTTCATATCATGACAGACACCTATACGCAATATGGAAAGACCAAAATCTTTATGGAGAGTGTAGCTTTTTATTTAAGCTACAAAATAAAAGCAAATAGTAAATTTATAGAAAAATAAAGGGGAGAATGGAAGTAAGGAACAACATAAGTGCAACTACGTAAATCTCACTCTGCCTTTTAATAATGCTGCTGTTTTCATGTCTGTGTAGATCTTCATGCGTTCTCCTAGGCTGATGATCCAGGAAGTGACGTAGTTCATTTTTGTTGTGGATTGTGGCATAACATTATCTAATCACCATTAACAAATATGATAATGGATCAGTAATTTTTTTGTTGCACATATTGTTCAAGTTGCTTAGTAGTTGTGGGAAAAATTAAACAGACTCAATAAGGAAAATTTAAGCAATTATGGCACTTTTCAATAAATGTTAAAGCTCGCACTGTGTGCGAGGATTCAAAGTGTAGCAAAAATCCTGTATACCCTCTTCTGCACAGCGGAGATGAGATTTGATATATACTAAGTTTACTTTATTTCCATTTTAGATATGACAGTGATGGTTGGTGTCCGCCTTTGCCAGTTCAGACCTACCTGCATCAGGGCATGGAGGATGAACTTGAAGAAGACGATGATCGTGTTCCCACACCTCCTGTCCGAGGAGTAGCTTCATCACCTGCGATCTCCTTTGGGCAACAGTCAACTGCAACCCTCACGCCTTCTCCACGAGAGGAGATGCAGCCAATGCTTCAAGCCCACCTCGATGAATTAACTAGGGCTTACCAGTTTGATATAACAAAGCAGACATGGTAAATGTTTGATGGGGGCACCAGCGGTCTGGGAAATGAAAGCATAATAATAATTTATTCCTTTATGACATAAATATCAACTGTGTTCAGTAGGTGCTTTTTAAGTCATAATGCTTGGTAATATGTTAAATCTTGGCTAAAAACATGTAAAAATATTCTTCTGGAGTTTTACATATACTCAAATAAGTAGTTAATGCTCACCTACTGACAACTTTTATGCAGTTCAGAGTACTCTGTTTTCAGGCTAGCAAAAGATATTTTAGGATTTTCGAAAACATTGAGGTTCTATATTCCTGATTAAAAATAATGCTAAACACTTGAAATAGCAATGTAGCAGCTTTTACTTTTGTGTCACATGAGAATGAAGCATTTGCATCTCTGACTGTAGTTTGAAATACCATGAAAATTTCTGATTCATAGGGAAAACCCCAGAAATAGTAGGAAGGAAGTTGTTAGTATTTACAAAATGGATCTAGCGTTTTAGAGTGGTTTATGCCTATTTAAAGGAAGAGTAAGCAAATACCACAGTAACATTTCCCCTGCAAGACAAACAGAAACAATCTCTTCAGAGACTGAAAAAGAACTTGTCAACTGTACCAGGCTGGGGATACAGTGAAGGTCAGTTGCTTTATGGATGTTCCCTAAGTGGCAGTTGTCCTTTTGAAACTTTTCTATCCACACAAAGCCCACAAATCTCAGAGGAGAGGAGCAAAGCTACTTACTGAATGGCGTGCTGCCAGCAGAGGAGCAGCCTTTCTTCGCTGGTAAATAGAGCCACAAAGTTATTCAGCTTGAGCTACCATAAATAGATCGGGCAGGTAGGCAGGCGGTGCCAAATCAAAGCCAGCTGTTTTCCCTGAACACCGCTGAAGCCTCGAGGCTTGTCTGCAATCTGCACGCTATCAACAGGGTACTTTGGTCCTGCTGCAGTGCCATGCTGCCAGGCGTGGACCCCGGCCTGCCTGTGGGACAGACCCAAATCCCAGGCAGCAGCTAGACCTGGCCTATTGAAGGTAGCTGACTTCTAAGCCAGCACACAGATGCATACCCTGTCTGCACAGTCAGTCACTGCTGCATTTTGCAGCTGTTACCCTTTCTACTCCCCACAAACCATGGCTGTCAGTCTGGGAGCAGATAACATAGAAAGGCTCTATAGCAAAGCCTCTTGCAGCTGACAGGAAAGGTCTTGCTCCCTTTCTGGAGAAATGAAAGTTGATTCGGAACTTTCATAATGTGCTTAGGAATATACAGATTTTAACATCACTGTTGTGGAAGGTCACAGTAATTGAGCATGAAATTCTGAAAAAATTATAGAAGTGAGAAACTATTTTCATACTCAGACCTTATAGCAGGTATTGGGGTAAATATTGAGGGTTGTAAGTACAAATTATTTTTGCAGTTGTGCAATGGAATTGTTTAATGCTTTGATAATGTTTGGCTGAATACATATCATGCTGTTCAGCAAATTCTATTCAAAGTCCCAGGGAAGTACTCCATTGTCTTAAGTGGGAAGGAAGAGTTCTTCGTTTTCTTTTCACAAAGTTACCCTATCCAATGTAGGGACAGGGGGGGAAACAAAACAAGATGAGACCTGCCAGATAGTTTACTGTGGGAGTAACAGAAGAGAAATAGAGACCAGACAGCTAGAAATTTAAGAAAAAGCACATGAGAGATTACTGGAAAAGTACATAATCATTATGGCCTTGATCCAGAAAATCACTTAAGTATATGCATAACTACAAGTACATGAGAAATTGACTTCAATTGTTCTATCACATGCTTAACATTAAGCATATACTTAAGTATTTTTCTTGATTGGGAGCTAATCACAGTGTTTATTGAGGGCTAGTTAGATGGTAGTGCCCTTTAGCACAGTGTTTTGAACACTGCATAGCTAAGAACCTGGTGTCCAGACAGAAAAGTATTCAAGAACTGCTAATCAAAAGGGGGGTTGTGTATCAAAAGGGAAGCATTTGATCTGCAAATAAGCTTCAGAATAAGCAATAATTTAAAACCTACACCAAGGTGGAGAGAGATTCCAGTGGTACATAACATTTAACGTGACATTCTCAGATGTGATAGATTTACATTATGAAAAAGAAAAAGCTGTTTGAATAAAGAATATTACTGCGGTTATGAAGTTTAGGCAATAATACAGCACAAAATTTTAATCAAAAATATATTAGAGCTAGGAAATCAAACAGGTGACAGTTGTAATTTTTTTCTGTAATTCTGATGTCCAAGCAAGAGACCAGCTGAATCCTGGATCCTGTCCAGAGCACTGCCGATTCTAATCAGGTCACTGCACCTCATGTACAGCCACCCATGGATTCCCACATGCCTAAGTCAGCAATTTCAAGCAGGGTACATGCTCTTATGCCAAGGCCAGTCATGCCTGCGTGCCCTGGCACAGCTTGCTTTGTACCTGTAGTGCTGCAGAGAATGCTGCATTGAAACCTGATGGTTCTTTTTTCTCTCTAGCCTTTCAGAGACTATGCAAATAAAACTCCAAGTCCCGTGCTAGCGTTTGGCCATTTAGCTATCCTATTGGTGGTTTTTATCTTGTTTTTCTTTTTTTAATTGTGATTAACTCATGCAGTAATTTCACATAGGCATGCCTTAATACTGCTGCAATTAAATCAACTAAACTACCTGGAATGAAGCAAAATAAAAAGGCCTCACTGCTAATGGGTTCGTTGGACTTGAAAATTTCTTCTGTCCTATTGGTGATTTCCTCCTCTTTAGGGTGACTTCTTAAGGGCACTGAGTGTGTTTAAGCAGAAGGAGTGAAATTTAATTTTGGCTCAACATGTGATTTGCAAGGTGGAATATTGGGTGAAATGCTTGTATGCTAGGCTGGGATTCAGACTTGTGCTTTTCCATGGGCTTCCTACATGATTTACGTAGCCTCCGTACATTGTTCCTCATCTGTAAAAGGACAATCTTGACCTTCACCATCTTAGAGAAGTATATTTAAGACTGGAAGGTGTGCAGGTGCTATTTTGAATAATTGAACCAACTTTTCTTAAGTTTGACCTAACAAGCACATTTTGTAAATCTACTTCAGAACTTATTGAAAGGCTTATCTTCTATTGACCATGGTGTACAAAGTTTCATCCATTCTGATGATGTTTTCCTGTTTGTTTGTGTAGGCACATCCAAAGCAATACACAACCTCCTCAGGCTCCAGTTCCGCCCTTAGGATATGTATCTGGAAACCTTATTTCAGATTTGGAAACAGATGTTCCAGATGATGATGAGGAGGAGGATGATATTGAAGAAGAAACAGTAGAAATCAGTAGGCCGCTAAGAGGTCTAGAGCATACTCCAGGCTCCAGTATGGACAATCTAGACAGCTCTGTGACAGGTAACCAAACACAGTTAACAATGGCACCAACTTGTTCTAACAGTAAAATACATCATCAGTCAAATACTTCCTAAGTGAAAATTTATTCCACTCTATTTCTGTAACATTTAAAATATGTTAATATTAAACACTAAAGTTAAAGAAGGATTTGAAAATACTTTGCTTTGCTGCAAAATGATAAGAAATTTCATGAATTTTAAAAAGCTTTAAAGTCTTGAAAGAAAACTCAATTATATCCTAGCTTTCATGAAAAGTTCACTCTACTGGAGAAGCAAGCCAGTTACATAAAAAGGAGGGGGAAGACCTCGGTTTAGGAATATATATTTCATAAATCAGGAGCAGCCTAAAAATGTTATCTTAAAGCAATATTAGATATTTTGATGGGTAAATGCTTTCACAGATGAACACAGGGAAGTTAAAAGACTTCAGAATAAGTGTAGCTAGATCAGCACAACATTTATTTGTAGAGTGAATACAGCATTTATGTAGGAAAATGTGTATTTTGAACCTACTTTGTATTGCTGAATTTAGTAATTCTTCCCTTTCAGTGAAGATATTTAATTATTTTGACACTCCTTCCTTCACTGCTTCTCACCCTTTACATGCCTTGGAAAGTTACAACAGGGATCATCAAAGGGAATCTAGAAAGGCATGCTAATCTAATGCACATAATCTGAGTAAATAGAATTGCTGTTGATGAAATGTAGGCAGCGAAAGACATTTTTTTGAAAAATACAGAGTTCATATGGACATAATATACTTTTTGTAAGCATCAATATATTTCCCTTTAGGTTGAACTTGGGCTTCTATAGAATATACTGCATCCATAATGTATGGCTGTACTGGAGACTCAAATGTACATAGTGCTTATAGCTTGTAAAAGCTAGTAGGTGCTTCTTTCATCTTTGATCTCAGTGGAAGAACACTGATTATTAGTTGTACCTTAAGGGAGACTTACTCAGTACAATTTATGACCAGAGTGCTACCGAATTTCATCTCATTGTCCTGGACCTTTGAAATTCCAAGGATTTTGCACCTTTACTTAAACATTGATATTCTGAAGACACGGCAGGATATGGCAGTGATGGAGCATCAATACCTATAATTTTCTTTTTTTCCCCTTGTTGAATTAAATAGTGTGTAGCTTAGTCCCACTTTTCCAGGTTTTCCTTCACCATAGGGCCAGACTGCTTTCCAGTCTAATTAAGATTTAAGGACTGTACCTCTGCTGCTGCGATTTGAAATCCAGATCCAACTGAAGGCCATAGAGTTAAAGTTTAAATCCTTGAATTGCGAAGGTTAACTTATTACTGCATGAGTATGTTAAGTCACTTTGCTTGAAATTCTAGTGTAATCTCCTTCAGGCTATAATTCTGCATATTTTTGCATAGCTCACTAATGGCTCAGAAGCCTTTCCATTAGAAATTCAGTAAGGGCTTTTCTCTGGTAATACAAAAATAAATAAAAAATCAGATAGCTATATATTTTCCATTTGGTATGTATTAGTATGCCAATGTTGATATATCTGTAAAGTAGAAAATAAATGTTTTTCCCATTTGCATTTTCACATAAGATTTTGGACAACCCTACATAGTGCAAAGTAAGGAATAGCTGCATTTCTGCTCCAATTTGTAGACTTCTGTGCCTATTACAATTTATCCTTTTATGAATAACATTCAAGTTTATTCTAATAGTTAGAAATCTTGTTTAATTACTTGAGTGTTAAATGTTTAATTATTGGAGTATTAAAAACTTCCTGGTGTATTTTTTTTGGAAGAAATTGGGCAGAAGTTGGTAATGTAGACTGGGAGTATACTTAAGATGATCTAAATGCACTCCCATTCATTTCCACCACTATCTTGATGTGGCCTCATCCAGCTGAAAATTAAGGCTTTTCTTCTTTTTCCTTTTTAAATTTTTCTTCTTTAATTACTAGCTGGATCTGTTCCTTGATCTGGTTCACTGCATGGCGAGGTGTTTGCCAGCACTGCAGGAAGGGAATGTGCAGCTGGAAGGGAAGCAAAATGACAAACTGCCCCTATAGCATATAGCCAACACGTAGATTGACTTAAAACACTTACAGAACTACAAAAATGCAGCCAGAGTGCCAGTCTCTGGGAAGGTTTCCAAATAACAAAACTACTTCTTTCTTCCTCAGTTACTATATGGGTGAAACCTTGATTTTCTGAGGGGTTGTTTTGGGCTTGTTTTTTTCCTCTGGGTGGAAGGGCATTGCTTATACTTGGGCAAATTGTTTCAAAAGAGAATTTTAATTTTTGTGTATCTGTTTCTGTTACCTCTTCCAGGTTGTTTCTAAGCTGTTTCTCATTATTAAATTGAATTGCTTTTAGAATATTGTAGAACAACTACACTGTTCTTTCTTGCACGGAGAATATATAAGCTACTTCTTTCCCAGGACTTTTGGTGACTTAAACCACCATTTTCCTAGGAATTTACATACCACTTTCACTTCCTTAAACATTATGTTAAAAAATTGAGGCAAATGAGAACAGCTGACCCAAATGAAGCAATATTTCTGTTAATTTTGAAGTGTGCCCTGTTTATGCAGTGTTTACGAGAAACCTAAATTGACATCCCTTGGTCCAGACTTCCTCTGAACAGAGTTGTTGTACAGTGAGCAGGGCGAGTTTCCTCACCCTGCACTGTTAGCATGCCTCAGCAATGACTTGAAGATACGCACTCTCAGAGTGAAATGGTACTTTGTTCTCTATGGCTGAGCTGAGACTGAGGTTTTCACCCAACGCCAAATGTGGGATTCTCTGAGGGGAAACACAGGCGCTCTGTGAGCCAAGCTCAAACTGCTAAATTGCTCTGAAACCACAGTGTACCTCCTTTAAACTGCTTAAAAGTCAGGTTGTCTTCCAGGCCCTTGAGCTTTAGTTACAGCTAACTGAAGACTCAGACAAGGGTTTAATCTGCGCTATTAAGCTTTCCTCTTTGCAGGTGGCAGAGACATAATGTTGACATGTATAATAAAGTGAAAAGAAAGGAGGAATGCACAGTAACTATATCTTAACATTTTCCAGATATTGCAAAGAAAACTCAAGGAGGGAGGTTTAGATTTGAATGCTTGTGGGATGGAATATGAAATTAAAGGGAAAGTTTTGCTTCGCTCTCAGCATGGTTTGTTAGGATACTGAGTTACTGATGCTGAAAAAAAAAAAAAGAAAAAGAAGAAATACTGAAAAGCAGATGTAAAACTTCTGCTCACTAGATTTTTAATTCACATTTTTAATTCACATTTTAATGTGCAAAGATATGGCATGAATGGTCACAAAGAGGATGTTATATTATTCTACATTAATAGACTTAATTAATTGCATATGACAGCTGTATAAGCAACTAATTTGCTTATCACTGAAATCACTAAGAACAACACTAGATTTGTCAGATCAAAGTATTATGGTTTGGGGGTTTTCTTTGCCTTTTCCTTATCTTCTCCTCCCTCAGCACCACCAGTGAAGCCAGTAGTGAGAGCTGTTACGTCTTCAGTCCTGGTGCATTTTGACTGAAGGGAGAGGTACAGCCATTAAAAATTAGAACAAGCCCTTTTCTACCTAACTAATACAAACTGATATAAGCAGAGATCTATTCTTGTAAAGAGTACCACTGCAGATGGATAACATTTTCTTTTTCCCAATAGTATTATATAGATCTGAAATTACAATGATCTCCATAGTTAGTATAGCTTAGCATGGAAGAAAATCACTTATTTGGCATGTTTTGGACTTGATTAAAAGAATCACTGATCATTGTCTGTATGGTAAAAGTTGTTCATTCATTGTGTCTGAGCACAAATGAAATAATTTTTGAAATTACACAAAATCATTTTCATGAGCCATATTTTACCATGGCAGAGTTCAATATTTATATTGATTTGCTTAGGGATACCTATTGCAAAAGATTCTATTTTATAAGCAGTTAGATTGCATTTAATAGGAAGAATGTGTTTCATGGATCAAATATGTGCTCAGAAAATAGGAAACTGCTACTTTTTGTATCTCATAAAAATGGTAATGCAACAATTAGCAGGGTCATATTATAAAGCACAGACTTTACTCTAGCTTAATGGATCTAGGGATATGCATTCATCAGCAACGATGGATTTAGCATAAAACGACATGTAAATGAATTGATGACTGATCATAAATTAATTTTAGTGCTGAAGAAGTAATAGAGACACAGCAAGATGCCACTTTATCATAGTATTTTACTGCTCAGCAACATTTGAGCAACTACTTAATGTTCTGTGTGCATTTCTTTTCTAATAGCTTGAATATATTTGAGAATTTTTTGTGCCTTTCAGCAATAAGGAAACCAAAAAATCTAGAAAGATTGAAAATACAAATACAAATAAATTTGGCTAAGTGACATAAATTCATTTTTCATTAAATGTTTATGAGGGACATTAATTATGGTTGGACCTGTGAAGTGTCAAATATGTATGTATAATTTTATCTCCATTTCTTCAGTGTTTCCTGCCCCAAAATAAAAATTTTAAAACTCAAGGATTTATACAATTAAATATTTGGGCATTTATGGCAAAGTAGAATGTAAAGTATAAGACCCGGTCTAATTTTTGAAGTGTGATCATATTTGTATTCTGCATTCAGCCCCTTCTATTATTCTTCCTTATTTTAATGGTACAATGACTATTGCCCCTTTTATTCCACCACTTCCGCCAAAATCAGTGGACATTCTTTCTTTGCAATCATGACAGTAGTCAAATATATCTAAAGGACGATAATGTCTTTCTCCTGGACAAAGGCTAAAGGAATTCTGTAACTGATTTCAGCTGAAGTAGCATCAATCCCCAAGGACTTCATCCATACTTCGCAAACCTAAGCAGTCTAGCCCTGCTCCATCAAAAAACCTGCAGAGGAGCAGGGGCTTAATATTACCGTGTGCTTAATAGTCTTGTGAGGGAAAGCACATAAGCATACACATGCAAGTCCCAGTGGCATCATTTGTTAACTTCAAGCATGCACATAGAGTTTGGTACGTACAAAAAAGTATCTAATGGAATTTTCAAAAGTGTTAGGTTTGTTGTGAGCAGCTTTTACTTCACAAGTGCATTAGATATTTTTTTTTTTTTTAAAGTAAAGCAAGAGTACACTTTACAAAGAAAAATAGCATTTTTATTGCTTGCAAAATGCCACTAAAAGCAGTAGCATGCAGTGTACAAGAAGCTAGCACCTCTATTCTCCTCACCTCTCCCTGAGAGCAAAGAAGCTTTCTGTTTGCATTAGCACCAAGAGATATTTTATAGAGCAAGAAAACAGAGTTCAACTTTTCACAGAGTTTATTTTGTTCTGCATAAAGCATTTACTGCTGCTGTCAGCAAGAGTAAAATTTACAGTTGCCAGAAAGCGTAAAAACTCAAATGTACTCTTGGAAAACAAGTAGTGAGCTGCATGTAAAGGAGACACTAAAAGCCTGTTTCATTCCATTTCAAAATGCACAGCTGATCTGAAAGGGACATCAGCATCTCTTATTCTGCTTTTATTCAGAGAGGAATAAATGTACATCCGATTTGAAAAACAAGAGACCAGTGGATGCCTTTAAACAAGCAGTCACCACATGTGCTATGTTAACAGAACTGCATGGTGACCTGAGGTTGGGCTCCAGCACTCTCATGACTTCTGGACAATGTCTGCACTTCTGGAGGGCAAAGAAAGCTGGGGTTTTACAGCTGCAAGTTTTGGTGGAGAAAAAAACTGTTTATGCATGGAAACTGAATAGCTCAGGAACTAGTAGAAATAATGTAGAGATTTCACCTCTGGCTGCCTGGTCACATACAGTTGTGGGTGCTGTATACGTCTCATGGTAGCTTGCTGACTTCAGCAGTTATGAAGAGTTTTGCCTCTGCTTCCAGCAACCATTAGTATCATAGAATCATAAAATCACAGAATGGTTTGAGTTGGAAGGGACCTTTAAAGATCACCAAGTTCCAAACCCCCTGCCATGGACAGGGATGTCTTTCACTATATCAGGTTGCTCCAAGGCCCGTTCAACCTCACTTTGAACAATTCCAATGCTAGAGCATGCACAACCTGTTCCAGTGTCTCACCACCCTCATTGGAAAAGATTTCTTAATTATATCCAATCTAAACCTACTCTCTTTCAGTGTAAAACTGTTGCCCCTTGTCCTGCCGCTCCAGGCCTTGGTAAAGTCTTTCTCTGTCTTCCTTAAAAGCTCCTTTATATATTGAAAGGCTTCTATGAGGCCTCCCCAGAGCCTTCTCTTCTCCAAGCTGAACAACCCCAACTCTCTCAGCCTTCACAGGATGAGTATTCCAGCCCTCTGACCATTTTTGTGGCCCTCATTTGGACCTGCTCTAACAGGTCCATGTCTTGTGCTGCGGACCCCAGAACTGGATGCAGTATCCCAGCTGGGGTCATTATTTGCTTTAGTTGTCAACGGTGTTGACGTCCCAGTAAAGCTTGTGTCCCTGCGAGAACTGAGCTATGCCCCCAGCCTGACAGGCAGTCCCTCCTAACGCAGCTGCTGGAGCAGAGGGGAAGGGGAAGTGATGCATGGGCAGAACTCACTATTCCTAGCCTTGCAAGTGCTTGCTGTCCAGTGGAATGCAGAGGAGATCAGGAACAGGAGATCAGGTACCCTTTCCTATAGGGTTAGCCTGAAAAATTGGCGGTCTGATAACAGCACTCCATTGGAAATTAAAATTTAGCTATGTTTAGGAAAATCTGGCATGTCTATGAGTGTGTAGAATGCTAGGAGTATGCATACACATTGGAGAGAGCATTATTGGATTTTGCAGATTTTTAGTATATCTCATACTCAAAGCTTGGATTTTTTTTTTGGACTGGATGAACTTCAGTCCAGCCCTTCAAAGAACAGATGAAAAATAGCAACTATTCCTAGACATACCCTGAAAGCATCCCATCCAAATGTGTATCACATGTTGTGTAACAGCTGTGTGACTGGTTAGCCAATGGAAAGAGCAATGTGAGCAAACGGAAATTCAAACCTAAGTTCCTTTAAAACATCCATGGTCTTGTGCCTATGATACTAAAAACCATACCTGTTCTGTACAGTATATGTTTTTATATGTCTCTATGTAGAGTAGAATGTTCCATACAAAACCCTCAGGCCCTGAAACCAGCGGGATACATGTTAAATTCTTAGCACCCAAGTACTGTTCTTTGATATCTGTAGGTCTAGTTATATTATGTGTGCTCACATATTTTGCAGAATATGTCAATAAGTGATTGTTTGAAAATGTCCTCAGCTATAGCATTTCATTTACTTACATCTTCATGAAGTGTTTTATGTGTAGTATCTCTTTTCATACATCATCAATAACTGTTGCTAAGCCTTTTTACTCTCGATTCTCTATAATGTCCTATCGCACTTTGATTGTTAGTTCATAAACTGTCTTCTCACAGGAAATTCAGTTTTAGCCTTTCCATGCTGTTATCTAGGCTTCCTTACATCTGTCTGCATCAGTTTGAGTCTGTTTGGAAAATAACAATTTTATGTGTGCTCTTGGCAAGCAGAATCAAACTCTGTCACTCTCTGTTGCACTTAACACACTTTCTGCCTGTCAGACCTCCATAGACTCTTTGGTTTCTTCTCTTGTATCTTATGAGTGCGTGGACTTTTGTTATTATAGCCTGCCACTTTGCTGACATTAAAAGGTTTGGTCACTGCAGCATCACAAAATAATCCATTGTTCTTGGGATTTGTGGTACAGCATGCTACTGGCTAAATTCCAGTATTCTTTTGTTGTACTCATGACTTATTTTTGCAAGATATTTTTAATATTTGACACCACCATTCATTAATTAGCCTATCAATTTGGTACTAATAAGCAGGTCATTATTGATTTACTACTTAACAATTTTGAACACAATAATGTTTTCCTGGACATGGATTAAAAAAAGGCTTCAAAGAACATGACTTACACTGCTCCACATCTTATGTACATTTACATAAATTCAGTGGTGCTAACTGAATAGTTAAGTGAGGTCCATGGTGTATCTTTCCACATGCGTTTTCATATCCCTGAAAATTAGTTCTCTGCACATTCTCATGGGTTCACGGGGCTTTTTTTTCAACATATGCATGCCACTGTTTTCAAGAAGCAGATTTCAGGTATTTCGAGATAGGTGCCTGTGCTATCTCAGAATAATATGCTATGTCTGCACAGCACCATGCAATGCCATGCAGCACCTCAGGTCCCAAAAGCAGTCTGGTAGCCCTGCACCTCAGCTAGACTTGGTAATTAAGTAGCATGGTTGCCCTGTTCCTGGAGCAGAGATAGGTACTTGGTGCTAGCTAAGTTCCCTTTGCCTCCTGCTCCACTGCACAGTGTAGAATTACCCTGTGACATTTATTCATGACTTTTAGAAGTACTGAACACCATCAACTCTATCTGAAGACACAAAAGAAACAGAGTTTCAGCACTTTGAAAAAAAGTATGAATTGATCGATAGTTTTTGAAAATATTTTGTACTGCCATGCTGGGTAGCTGATCGGTGCTTCATGCATTGGGAAAAATAGAAGAAAATATAAATGAAGAGCAAATAAGATGGATCCTTCCTTCACTACTTTTCTGTTTACATTTTAGTTATGTCAGGATTCCTGTATTTCTTTCATGTGCTTTTTCTGGTATCCGTTTTTCTGACTGCATTTTTATGATGTTATTATCACTTTCCTCTCCTGCAGTGGTGATAATCCATAGCTAGAAGGTACCATGAGGCCAGCATTGCCTTAGTGACTGACTCAGTATTAAATCTGAGTATATATTTGCTCTACTCTTGATTGTTAATTATCTCTAACCTTTTAAAAAAGTAAATTTAATCCACTAGAATGAACAACTTTAGGTCAGCTTTCTTCAGGCCATTAAAATTGCTCAGCTATTTTAAGGTTTTGGTTGAGAAAATGACATAATGTCAGTATTGTTCAGAATAGCCCATGTCTGACTTCAGCCGTATCTTCCAAGACTTACACTTGTGCTGTATTAAAGTAAGACTTCATTTTGCAAATATCAAACTTGATACCGAGTTATAATAAATCAAGTAAAAAAAATCACATTCATTCCAATCCCAGAGAAAATCTATTACCTTTCAAAAGAACGTTTATTTTGGAGACTTAACATTTGTAGAGAATGTGTATCATTTTGTGTATAGGATCAAAGCAACATGGAGCAAGCTATGAATGAGATCCCATTTGGCTTTTATAGTGCTCTTTTATACCAAGCTCTGTCAGATAAACTTCGATTTTCTTGTTGTGAAAGGACGTATTAAGTGGGGTTTTAAGCTTAAATGAATACTGCTCTTTTGTACCAAGCTCTGTCAAATGAATTTTGTGTTTCCTGTTGAGAAAGGACATATTAAGTGGGTCTTTAAGATTTAGATAATCAAAAAATATCAAATGTGCACAACTCACTAGACCCCTACATTTGTTTTTAGGTTCAATGGTAAATGGATGGGGTTCTGCGTCTGATGAGGACCGTAACTTTTCTAGTCATAGATCTAGTGTAGGTAGCTCCTCAGATGACTCGATCTTTACCAGCGGCAGTTTTGCACAAGCACTGGTTGCAGCAGCAGATAAAGCTGGTTTTAGGCTGGATGGAACCAGCCTGACAAGAACAGGTTTGTAGACTCAAAGTTGATGCTTTCTGCATGAAGGGTGTCTCTGCCTATTCTTCTCTTCTTTTCAGTGAACCTGCGTCTCACACTTGTCTAACACGCATGGAATAAGGTGGATGGAGATATTTTTCTCAGTATATTTTAAATGTAATCTTGCATTATGTTTCACTTCTAATGATCTGAAGTTGTGACTAGCACAAACTTTTAATCTGTACCTTCAGTCTTCTGCAGTTCCTCTCTGTCCTGACTCTGCTATAGAATTCCTGACATATGCGCTGTTTAATATTTCAGTGAAGAGATCACTAATTCTGCTACTCAGTCCTTGATGATTTCATGTTTTGCAAAATCCTCACAATCATTCACATTTCCAGTGATGAACATCATGCTTAAACTATTACCTCCATCCCTGCTCTTCTGTTGCATCTCTTCCTGAAAAAGTGTATTTTTTCTGTGAAGTCTGTCTAAGCATGGGGTGAATTTGTGTGCTTTTATTGTTAACAATACAAACTGTTTAAAAGTGTTATTAATAGCTGATTTTTAACAATGCTTAATTTGATAAGTTAATATATTTTGATAAAATATAATTTTAATTATGCCAACTGAATCTGCCAAGTTAAATGTAACAAAAGTAACATGACTGTTGCTTTTGAAAACAGCCAACCTTCTAAAATGAATTAATGAAAAGTAAACATAATTTACTTCATATTTTTAAAGCCCCATATGTTTTATTTCTAGAAAAAAAAAATAAGTAAAAGTGGTTTTAAAATATTCTGGGAAAGAGAATGTATTTGCATTTGCTTAGTTGTATCAAAATAACAAAAATAACTAATTATTTAAATCCACAAATCTAATTGCAAAATATGAACTTGGATGATATTTTTGTTATGCTTTCTCAGCCAATTGCTGCACACAGGTCCCATAATGTTCCTATCATTTAGATTTTTTTACTGTTATTCTGGTATGAAGTCTATCCTTCAGTAAATTATGTGCATTTATGAGTAATGTCTCCACATGTTAGGGCTGCAAACTTCAGGCTTTCTGCATGCACTGACTTCATGCCAAACGCTGCCTTTTAGGAACATTAGGAATGAAGAAAAGAATAGGTGGCAAAGTCGTATGTCTCCAACAAACTACAGGGTGAACAGACACAGCTTTTCTCAAATCACTGGAACTTTTGCTGTTGACTTTGGTCAGACATAACCATCCTTAAAAGATAGCTATTTCACCGTTAAAAATACTTAAAGCCTTCACTTGCTACTTACACTAGTGGAAAATTGACTGACTAAATCTGTCTCATCATTTGAAAATAACAAAGCAAACCAAAAACTGATGTAGACCTTCATCCATCTACTATGGGCACATTTGGCCAAACTAGAATACACTGTTTTGTTTGAAGAGTCTCCTAAATAGTCTTGAATGAATGGAGCAAATCCTTTCCAACCTTTTTTTTTTTGGTGTTGTTCTTGGCCTCAGTAAAAGCTAATGCAAAGATTCACCCAAAGTTAATGTCACTTGTATCAGGCCATTGAGAAGTAGTTTCCACCACAAATACACACATAACAGAAGCAAATGGTCACACAAACACATAGACACTTTTAAATAAATATAATTTCTTATTGTAGCGATGTAAATTAAAGTACAAGGGAAGGATGAGACCCCTCTTGTCAGTTATATTTTCCTAGCTGAATTAGGTCACAAATGCACTTAAACTGAGTATTTACATATAATTCCTCAGACAGACTATTAGAGTTTAGGGTACACCAAAGTATCCAGTGGTTCTGGTAGAGACTTTATGATTATTGCCCTCTTACTCTTAATGATCCAGCAGGCAAAATGGAAACGAAATAAAGCCCACATATAGACAAACAGCCCTCCCCTATTTTCCTCACAAATACCTCATCAAATAGAAGTAACTCTTCCAATGCTTACTGCAGTTCCATTACGATGTGATACCTCCCAGGGTAGCGTGGATCAGTCACACATGCCTATTACGGACCTGCTGTACCGCGGCAAACCCCGCATCGTGCAAAATGGTGTTCTGTAGTGGAGAAGCAGCAATAATATTTCTGTTCATTGCTCTGGAGGGAATCTGAAGGTCCTGACTCTTTACTCCTTTGCAGTCTGGACAGTTATTTTCACCCATTCAGAACATCTGTACAGTATTCTCACTGATATGAGAGAAGAAGTCCAACTTGATAGTCTGTGTGTTTGCCAAGCATAAGAGGCACTGGTAAATCCAGGTGCAAGGTCTCTCTCCTGACAGACACTTTGATTCCAGCTTCTAGACGGCATAGTGTGATTTGCTCTGAAGTTCAGAAAGTTTTCCTGTTTAACACCCTTGGGAAATTAAATCAAGAATTAGTGGATTCATCCTTGTCTGCATTTACACACACTAAATCTACTATAGAATCTGACACTCCTCAGCAGTTCTTACTGGAAGGGCAGCATACAAGTACAAGATGCTGTAATCAGTTATAAGGTGCATTGAAAAATGTATTTTGAGAGCCTGCACATCATCTGTGTTTGCCCCATGTTTGATTTAGGTCAGTGCTATTTATTTTCCCTCATTTTCATGAAGGGGTAAAAGAGAGAATGTTTGGTGTCTATTTCTTTTCCAAACCAACATTCTGAATGTATAATCACTTTTCTTTAGTCAAGAGAATAGGTGTGAAGAATCTTCATCCTGCACTTACTAGTTGCACTTGCATGTTGTGAGTTTATTTTTGCAAAACATCTGTGCAATGTGCTGTGAGCTAGGATGGAATTTCAGGCTTGTATCTGAATTTTTTTGCATTAGTGGTCTTTATTTTTAAATGAAATTTTAATATTTTGTCTGTATTCATCTGCTGGTTTATCCTTATCTGTGAAACAAGGGCTTGATCACTTGTCTTTGTCTGGCTGCAGCTGTGCCAGCTATAGAGGTTTCCAGCCTTCCCCCCAAAGCTTATTACTGCTTTCTCCCAGCTCCAGAATTAGCTGCTTGGGTGGATGTTCTGTAACCCATTTCAGTTAAAATGAGCCAGGTTAGTGAAGGCATACTTTTCATACTGTTTCAGTTCAATTTGGCTTATTTTGTTAGAGAAGAGTTAGGGAATGTTCACGAGGGGTTCAAACTTGGTAACCTCCAATAGCTAGCAGTGGCAAGCAGCCGGGAGACAAGCCTGCCTGAGAGCAGCGTCCTCCTCAGAGTGCTCGTCAGTCAGAAGGTAGATGATCAAGCCTGAGACAGTCAGGAAATCTCTGAAGTCAGATACTGAGATGTTATTCTAACATGTATGTATTAATGTGAAACACCATGTTAGAGAGATTATGGCTACTTTTTTCACTGCCCTCCTTGCACTGAGAATATTTAAAATAGTGTAGTGGGTATCATATTATTCCTGATCAGGCTTATCTAGATCAGGTCATATGTGACAGCTGGAAGTAAGAGCATCTGTTGAAAGGTTTTACTAGAAAGCGTAACTCACAGCAAGGTAGACCCTTGTCTAAGTTAACCAGAAGATAAAATATCTCCTTACTAGCTTGGGGCCAGTTGACCAGAAAAATAACAAACAGCCATTTTGCCACTTCCCATCAACAGTTACACCATTTGGGCCTACAGTTAGCACTGAAAGAGCAGAAGTTGTGACTGGCTTATACATTTTCCACTGCAGATAGGATTAAAACAAGTAAGAATTTTAAGTACCAGTTCTAAATGAATTAAGATGTTAACATCCCCAAGATAACTTGGCAAGAATGAGATACAGGTGAAAAAAAGAAAGTAAAAGGTGGTGATCTTCAGTTTCTATCAGTTATTTTTAAACAATAAGCCTAATTAACTGAATAAAAATACCAAAATAAGAGGAAGTGAATGTAGTAAATGAACTGTGCTCCTATGGTTCCTGCATGATGATTTTAATGATCTACTCCATAGAACAGCATCAAAGATTACTTTTTTTTAAGAGAAATCACGTAGCTTGATTAGTGTGTGTGTGTGTATGTGTATATATATAAATTTATAAATCTGAGGAATAAATTCAGTCAGAATACATTATTTATTTAATATATAAAAATACTGATAATTAACAGGAAAATTTTAGCACTTACATATAACCCCATTTTTATTTCTTGATAAAAGAGAGCCCTTAAGTATACAAACCTACACTGCTACCTAGCTTGCAAAATCAGTTACGTTCATCTCACTGGAGTTACTCCAGATATACAGTGCATAAGGGAGCCCCTAAAATGAGAATCTGGCTCGGCAAACGTGAAGGTGGAAGGCAGGAGGAGATAAATTTGATATGACTGCAGAACTGTTTTCCTTCCTTGCTCAAGGCTGAGGAGTTGTTATGACACATCTGTTCAGCACACAGAGCAGGTAGAAGATACATGGCATACAGTAGTTTTATCACAACAGATGGAATGATTTTAATTATAAAAGTTAAAAACAAAAGAATGCCAAGTTTCGCACTTCGCTTGTGGTGTGGCTTAAAGCAGTTGTCATCAGTGTGTACCTCGAGGGGACACTTGCTTGCCTCTGAGAATTAGATCAGATTTAATGTTTCGGAACAGACATTAATACAACAGCCCATTTCAAGGCAATAACATTTTTTCATCTGGTTTCTCTTTTTTTTTAGGGAAAGCATATCCTTCGTCTCAGAGACCTCGGCCAAGCAGTCCTTTTTCTACTGACAGCAATACCAGTGCAGCTGTCAATCAGAGTCAGAGGCCGAGGCCCACTAAAAAACACAAGGGAGGACGGTTGGACCAACCTTCCTTGCCTCATCGTAGGGAGGGAATAACAGATGGTAAGTGTTGTGGTGAAGTCTCTGATGATAACCTGCAACAAGCAGGTGTGCAGAGTGGGACAACACAGAGCAACCTTTTAAGGAATATACGTTACAGTGAATTATTTGTTTGGTGAAGTGGGATCCCCAGGTTGCCACGTGAGCAGTATGGCAATGCTAGTAGCATGGGGCTTGGTTGAGTAATTCATCAAGGAACCTTTCTTCATTTCAACTCTGAACATGTTAGCATCTCTTAGGTTTTCTCGGATCTCAATATAAGTATTCCCAAAATAACTGCATTGCACGTGAGTTGACATTAAAAAATGGCCTGTGGGTAATTTTACATTAAATGAAAGTAGCCACCACCAGTAGTAGCAGTATGCCATGAATACCTAAGGAGAAGCGTAGAGCCAGTTCCACAACACTCTGTTTGGTTTGTGCTGGTTTTTACAGCCACCCAACAGCTACAGCAACACGTGCCATGCTTTTCTCATGATTCTGCCTCACATCTCGTCCGTGCTGCCACATTCCTGACATCCACTGACCTCAGTGACTTTGTTTCCCTCTTTGACACCTCCACTTCTCTCTGACCATTGCTTCCCATCTGGATATTTCAGTCATGTCTGTCCTGCTCTTCTAGTGACCAAGATCAGCTCAGTCTTCCATTATCTTTGTCTACCCCGTCCTGAGTTTGGCAAAAGGTGCAATTGCTGCCTGTTACTTTTTGAGGAGGACTGGATAGGAAGGTGGCTGGCTGGCTACCTCCCCCTCATTTCTTCTGATCACCATCCTGGCCCCTGTAGGTGTTTAAATGATCAGAGGGGAGAAGAAGGCAAATGGAAAACGTGTATTAAAGGAACCACTAAGGATATCTGTGATGCCATGTAGATGGAGACATGATCACTTTCCTCATGCTGACTTCTCTTTCAATGTTCAAAGCAGGGCAATTCTGAGAGCTAGACTGTTCTCCCTGCCTCAGTGACTCTTGTAACACTATCTGGACCACAAGAGTGGGTGTGACGCCAGTGAGTCTATCTCCTAAAGTACACCTTGACAAATCTTCCAGTGTATGGGGAATGTGTACAAATAAAAAATTTTACTTTAGATTTTAGTATAAACATCCTCATTATTCTAGTAAAAATTACTTGAGAATCACAGAATATCTTGAGTTGGAAGAGACCCATAAGGATCATCAAATCCAATTCCATTTTATTCTTTGGACAGGTAACATAATAAATAGATTTTATGAAGACTATATTTAGTTTGGTTTATTTATAGTGTGTTATTTATTATGCTAGGTACACGTATAAAATATATTAGCAGTTGCAAGATGGACCGTGGCCACTAAAACCACCAGTTCTCATCTCAGTCATGTTGTCAGGTGTACAGATCTGATTTTGCAGTACGCTCTGACAGATTCCATGTTTGTCATACCAGAAAAGTGGAGAACAGAATCCAGAAGTGAAAGTCTTCACCAAAGGGGTTATCGTTACATCTCATGCTCTGTGAATCATCATCAATACCGTATTATTTGGGGAAACAGCTTAAAGCAGGTTAGACTCCTCTCATATGGATCTGAATTGGTTTAAATGTTAATGCGCTCCCCTTCTGGATATATTCCAGAGGCCTCCCTGCTACACAGATCCATTAAATACACGTGTCTATGAGAATAGTAGCTGCAAATTGTGGGTATCACTTGTGGTGCTGGCAATACTCTTTCTGTGCATATGTTAGGTCAACCCTTGTACATGAGGTATCCTATCACCCTGAACTATGAGCCTTTGGGGCCAAAAGTTCTGTGTACATGTGAGTTTGTAGTGCACTCAGTATGGTGGGACCTCAATCCTTCTGTTTTTGAGTACTATTGCTATAGAAATGTTTAGCAATAATGTGGGTACCTCAAAATTAATGGGTTTTAATGGAAAATTAATGGAATCCAGTTCAGGTCATAAGACAGATGGAAATGTGACCCTTGGGGAGTGACTCCATCATGTAACCTGGCATTGTTTTAAATTAATGAAAGAGATCAGGTTTTAAGATTTATTTTAAAAGAGGAATCTCCTATTGTCTTTTATTTATTCTTTAAAAAATACTAATATTATTGGAGTTCCTTTCATATATTTGCATCCGAATGTCAATGATATTCTATTTCCTTCAACAAACCACCTCTCAGACACAGGCAGTAACCATAACAGCTTTCAGACACATTTAACTTAACATTTGTCTGTTATAAACCTAGTTAAAGTGTTTAATAGAGTAATAGAGGATCCTTTCCCATCCTGTCTTACCACATGAAAAAACAAACACAAATTGTACAGTTTTTCCACTTTAACTCTTACTGAATACGAGTCATTAAAGTGTAACAGCAAGTCTGAGTCATAGCTAAATTTGCAAGAGAACAGTTGTCAGTTAAGAAAGCTAAAGATTCCTGCCGCCACCTGTGTGTATGTAAACAAACTGAATCTAGAAACCTCTGGCATACAGAAATTAAAAATGGTAACAGGATGATTTGTATGGAATATTGCAATGAATTTTACAAAGAGAGACAAGACCACTATGCTTAAGCTATGGTTGGAAGAAGCAAGTAGGAGAATCTGGGATAGATCCAGCAATTCTGAGCCATAATCCAGGCCAGTCTGTTCAGCCCTGGGCCATTCTGTTTTCAGCGGGAAGCATCACTATGCATTTTCTCTGGTTTTGATATGTCTCAAATCCATTCCCTTATAACTCCTTCCTCGTGGATTTGTCATATGAAAACATACTTGGTTTGTCAGTTGTCTTCAAATTCCCAAGCTGCATGAGTGCTAGCATCCTTGTTTAAGTCTCGTCACTTACTGCATATCTGTCATTTTAAATTTTGATTGACCAAGTAAGCTTGTCCTTTCTCTGCCCTTTCCCATACACATCCTGAGAACTTCCTCCTTGTTAACTGTAACCATGTGGGATAGTGCAAAAGACCTAAGAAACTATAATATTTAACGCACAGCACATGGATCCCAGGCTGTGTAAGCATATGAAGGTACAACTTCATGCTTGCTTTTGACAGCAATCCACACAAATCCCCTAAAAGCCTGCTTCATTTTCTTCAGTCGCAGGTCAGAATCCTCTAGAGACTGACTCTAGATTAAGTCTTCATATTTGTCTTGCTGTACAACTTGGTTTTTAACTTCTGCACCCTAAAAGACCACAGAGACAACAGCAAATGCAGAGGAAGAATACTTTATGAATCCCTCAGATGATTAAAACCTTCATTCTGAGCTCACAGTCCACCATAAAAAACAAAAGGAGGTTTTTAGTTCTAGTGCTCAAGGAATAATTTGTTTTCCTGGAAACAATGTATTCATGAATTTCAAAACAGTGAAATCTGTCATATAGGTGGTGGCATGGTAACTGCATGACTGAAGTTAAAAGCTCTTCCTGAGCAGGAGGTAGAAGGAAAATATAATTAGGGGTTAAAAAGGAAAACTAGAACTTAAGACTTCTATTAGCATTGCTGCTGACTTGCTATCATGTATTACAAATCGATTTCTGCTAAGGTAGATCACTGTGGAGAAGATGCTTACCTTCTCATGCTAGAAAGTCATTCAGAGTCTTATTAAATGTCACAGTAATTATCACCCCTCAGAAGACAAATCACTGGCACAGGTAGAAGGAGATGTCCTTATACCTGTAGGTCCTGTAACTTGCTGCCTTTTTCTAGTTAATAATGAGAGACTGTGCCAGAGCTTGATTTGTGCCTGAATTATTTGGCCGATGTTCTGCCTTCTAAAGGAAGGCTGGAGTAATCCCAGGCCAAACATCCATCTGCCTCTTATCAGGCACTCTGATGTCCTACAGCGTCTCAATCACAATCACTCCATTACTAAATCAATAAGACCATCACCTGACCAACAATGCACTTAGAAATTGCCTTGCAGGTTTGATAATCCTTCCATAGAGGCTGCAAGTGGTAGTCTGGATGACATCCCGCTGGCCTAGTAAGTTACTAGCTCAATGTGGTTTTTCAGGTGTTTTACCAGGCACCTGGAAGAAAAATGTCATTTAGATGGAAGTACAGTGATAATCGGTGATACCATTCCAGGTACCCTCACTGAAAATCCTGCTGAAGTCCCTAAATTTCTAGATTCAAAACTTCTCTCAAGTTACTGACATGATGGAATGAGTTGACTCGCCTCTATGTGGTAATATCTGCCTGCTAGGGACTGAGACTACTAACTCGTCCTATGTCTGTTACCCCTTTACTAGCAATTGAAATAACAACCATCAACCTTCTTGTAGTGCATCCTTGCAAGTGTGTGTGGGGACACATGCACAGTCACATATGGACATGTTTGGATGGGAAGTGAGAGGAAGGGAAAAGCAAAACTGTTCTCTGTGGCATTGGAGAAAGACAGTCATGACTCCAGATACATGGGGTCTTTATATATGCCCAGGCAAGATAGCAGTGTAATTTAGTAATTTATCTAAGGCAAAAGATTTGCACTGCAGAATTTAAGTTGTAGAGCAAATAAAAAGCCACATTTCCAAATGGAGCTCTCTCCCAGCTTCTTTCATTAGAAAGGAAAGGTAGGTGTTACTGTGACAAGCAACCTGAGTAAGTCAGTGAAAAAGCAAATGGTTTAGTCAGGTGATGGTTGGCTAGAATTAGTAACCTGTCTTACAGATCTTCACAGACATGTCTGACACCATTCAGTAAGTCTGTTACTAGGCTGGAACCAGCGTACATTAATTCCATAGTACCTGTAATTCTTCTAGAATTGTGTGAAACTTCATTAGAAGATAAATTTTATTTTTCATTTCAACTCATCCGCAGGTCTAAAACACGCAAAGAACTTTGCAAACATCGTTTTTCATTTCACTTCTGTGCAGAAGGCAATCATTATGCCCATTTTTCAGATGGATAAAAGCAAGAATCAGGTTAGCAGTAGGAGTCCACAGTAGTCCACAGTAATTCCAGGAGTTGCAGCTACCTCTAGAACATGCAGTACGCTATAAGTACAAACCTGCTTCCCTTCTCAGTATCTAAATAATAACAACTATTAGATGGCAATTTCTGAAGAAGGGTTCTGTATGTTAAGAAGTTTAGTACTGCAATAATTTTAACTATTTTTTTATTTTTGCTATGATACTTAAAAATTCTTTTTATATTGAATGGGAAGTATTCTATCCTGGAAAACTATTGTCAGATGTCATGTTATGACTGTGTTTACTGAATTCAATGCATCTCCATAAAGTGCTTATAAATCACAACTTCAGTAATCTCTATTTCAGATTGCATAAGCAGATGCCAGTGTTGTGGTTCTGTACATTAACTGGTTATGATTGCAGTAAAATCAATTATAAGAAATGCCATTTTGGAAGCCAACACTATAAAGCAATTTTAACATTGGCAAGCTCCCATACCCGCATGCTTCCACCTACAGTAATTCAAGTATAGTCATTGTCATGAAAGGTCACATCTATATTCATAACTAAAAATTTCTCAAATAAATTAGTGCTGAACATAAAGCATACACCAAGTTCACTGACAGATTATTATAAGGCTGTTCCAGCCAGAAGATAAATATCTTAATCTGGGGCACAGCACTTCAGCTGTGAACAAGGGTACAGGAGCAACAGCAGATACAACTTCCTTCCCTTTTAGACACAAATAATCCACATGTCCTCATTTATCTGCAAGGGTCAATGTTGACTGGAATGATATCTCAGTAACTTTGGAAGCATTTCTGACCCATATATCTGAGGTATAAAAGTATCACCTCTAACAGCAAGAACATGAAAAAAAGTCTGCGTAGCATTATAAAAAGCCAGATTACAGACTTCGAAATAAATTCCCTCCAAAGGTCTTCTCACCAATTTATAACATGAATTTCAGTTTCACTAGTTATAGACATCAGACTTTCCTGCAGGCAAAGCACAGGTTTACTTTTCCATGCCTGTTATTGAACCAAGTTCACTTCCTTGATAAACTTTCACAACACTACAGAAAAGACTAGAAAGCAGAACAGACCCATATCTAGTGTAAACTAACATAGGTTTAGTGAAATTAATTGGGGCTATGCATTGCCCAAACCCAGAATTATCAGCAAGTGTTCTGTGTATCAAATGGGTATCCGATACAGGAGAGTTTTCATTACAATACTAAAGGTGCTTCCCTTTTCTGATTTTTTTTTTTTTTTAATAGTCTGAGGCTTTTCTGGACCATAATAAGTCTATCATATCATTTATGTGAAAATCTTACATTTAGAATTATAATTATCCAGATTCTATAATTACATTGGGTCAAGGACTAATAGGCAAAATATACTTTTGCCTCCACAAATGTGATTAGAAGCTTGATCTTCAATTCTACAAGCTTCTTAGTAGTCCAAGTGATAAACTTGAAAAGGACAGGAGTTGTTAGAGTCCGGGCAAGCATCTTTCAGTGTTCAGCTGAAATTGTATTTTGATTGGTTATATTTGCAGGACTGCTAAAGTTAAGAGTGGCCGTCCTCTTGTCTGTGAAGACTCTAGCTCTTGGCTGAACTTTCAAATAGTACTTGAATAAAATGCTCACCTGTTGTTTGGTGGTTCCATTTAAATGTGCATTTTTCACAGATGTGTTGATGCTTTTTCAATAAAAGTAGGTTTTGTGAATAATTTTTCCCCAAATTTTTCTGGAATTTTATTCATTTTGATAAAGTTGTATATTTAGATTTTGAGTTTAAACCTCAAGCAGAAAGTGAAGTCCAAAAATGGGGGTGATGAATCAAGCCCCAGTATGATGGGGGGAAGTTGTCAACTTGCACAGATCAATTTTCCATAGCCTTCTTAATTGCTTGCTGTTACTGAAAGAGCCAGCTGAAGTATACCCCACAGAAACAAAAATCCCATGCTTAGAAATTTAAGTCAGGGCTCAGAGTCTGTTGCTTTTCATGGAAGCTAGAATGAGCTAGTAGCACAGTAACCCAAATGAAAAACTAGCAGAAGTTAAAAACATTTCTGATTAACATGAAATTTCCTCTTAAAACCAGCAAATGAAGTGATTCGTTGCTGTTTGCGAGGGACTTTTCTTTTCAGCATCAAATAGACCTTCTGTTTCAATTAAAAAATTAGTTCATCTAAATCTTATTCACGTTTTTTAGATCTTCCACCACCACCCGACCCGCCCCCTGGTCAGGGTTTAAGGCAGCAAATAGTCCCCGGCCAGCGCGGAGGCTCGGCAGAGAGGAAAGGAAGCTCTCTTGAGAGGCAGCATGCACCGAACGTAGATGAAACAAAGAGCTCCCTGGACCGGCAAGCTAGGACATCACTAGAGTGGCAGCGGCAAACCCAGGAGTGGATAAGCTCTGCAGACCGCCAAGAGGATTTCAGGAAAGCCCAACACAAACAAGCCTTCGGATCAGGTGTGTGTGCGCTGCACCAGCCGAGGCAATGCAGACGGCTTCTTGACGCTCCTCAGCCGAGGGTTTCTGTTTCTGGCAGGAGCCTAGCATCACCTCACGCCCCTCTGGGCCAGCCCTGGTGAGGCTCCGGCTGGAAAATAAGAAAAGGCAAAGTGAAATGAGAGCTTGTGATCCAAGTGTTTTCCCTCCTGCAACAATGAAATCTCATTAGCACTTGACTTGGTGCGTTCTTTACAGTGTTTTGGCAATTAATAATGTTGTCAAGCATAGCGATGGAAAAAACAGGAACAGTTTCAGGCAGGCCGGGAAGGAGAGACAGATTTTTAGAGTATTTTCTGTTAGATGTATTTATTTATACAGACACTACCATATTTTCTAGTTCTTTCAACCTGCTTCTAAATTGGCAGCAGTTGTTTTTGCCTGTCTGCGAGAAGGCTGATCTCGCTGAGCTACTGACATTCCTTCCATCTGTATTTAAAACACTGCCTTCTCCTTATTCAAGGATATGACAAAGTAACATTCACCTCTTAGGCCCAGCAAGATGACAGCATAGATTTTCACCTTTACTTAGGACATGCTCATTGACTTTATCTCCTAAACGGATTTCAAGTCTGTAAAAATGTGTTCAGGAGGTGTAGCTGAGCTGGGGTTGTAGTTCTACAGTATTTGCAGATTCCTTCTCTCAGCCTGACCTCAAGTAAAAGCTGCTGTTTCAGCTTTTACCCTCATACTAGGGCATTTCCTTTAACCCACTAATCATATCTTATCCCAGCACTGATTAGAGGACAAGAGGACAAGATACAAGAAAATTAAAAAAAAAAAATACTATACCGTACTTGGAGCCTTCCGTAGGGCTACACTGTTTCTTCAAGTATGTACGTAGCTCCCACAGTAACACTAGAGGTACTCATCCATCTTTTTCTTGATTTTATTCTACTATTAATACTCCTTGTTAATCTAGCACACTAATATCAATGACATTCTAAAAAAAAATAGGAGCATGCAGGAAAACCTGTCATGGGGTCAGGATTTACTGAATAAAGTCCTCTTAGGAAATACTGCTACCACTATTTAAAATGTAAATATTTTAAATACAATCCATATTTTAAAATATAACAATAATGGTACTGTTAAAACCCCCTGATCTTTCAGCTGCATAAACAAGTGAGTAGTTGTTCATGCTGTGAAATGATGATGTGAAGTCGCAGTTTAAAAATAGTGTGTGAAATTCGTGCTACTTGGTGAAATGGCAAATTAATTACAATGAACAAGATGTACAAACACATAGAAAATAACCTGAATATACCTTTTACTTCTCATTTCTTTGTAAATTGTTATTAAGGATGCTTCTCTGACCTGGTTATCAAGAGCTCCCCTCCTTTTCCTCTGCTTCATAAGTGTACAAATAGAAGTTGTCAGTTATTCTGTGATACAGAGGGTATACAGTAGTAAAATTCCCTACCTGCAGGAGTTGCATTTATCTGTCCTTAGATAAAAAGAACTTGATCTTGATCATGCCCTACATGAGCATTGAATTTAGGCCTGGAATATTACAGGTGTCTTGTTCTTACCAAATTCAGGATGACCAGAGCAATTGCATATCCTTTATGCATGACAAAGGATTCCTCTAGGAGATACTACAGTTTTAACCGGGTGGGACAGGTTCATAAAGTTTGTGCACAAGCTGGGCCAGAGCTTCATATCAGTCGGTCTGTCCATCCCAGCTTCTTGCACTACAGCTTTCTTGCTCTATATTCTTTTCTCTGGGAGATTTAAAAAAGGCTACTCTTGTGTGTGATGCTTGTTTATGTTACTAAATTTTGAGGTTTTAATAATATTAATTGTGCTTCTTCCCTTTTTCTTTATTATTGGCAAAGATCTCTGGAAATCTAGCCTGTCCCAGTTTTCAATATATTTCCAAAAGGAGATATTATTAGCTATCAGCTTCCAGCAAATAGCTATGTTGCAGCTTAGGGTCTTCATTCAGACATTATCAAGCTGTGAGTGAAATTTTGAAAGCAAGAACTTTGTTTTGAAGTTGAATAGAATAAAAATACCTAATTATGGGAACCATGTTTCTGCTGGTTGCTTTCAGTATAAACAAGATCACTGAGTTCCTTACAACAGCTTCATTGTGAAACTGCAGTTACAGCACATCAAATAGGACATTTTCAGCCACTCTTCTAAAGAAGGTAGTGCTAGATCAAGTTACAATAGTTTTGATAATATTAAGTCTTTTGGTTGTCTTGTGGGGTATAGACACATCGTTACACATGTATATCCTGATTTCACAGGGGCTAGAATTGTATCTTCAAATTAAAGGCTCAGTATTTCAAAGAGAAAGGCATTGGCAAAGCCTCCCCATATTCTTTGCAGGCCTGTGGCATGGGGCAGTGTTTTAAGTGTTTAATAAATGTGAGCCCATTCTGAGGACTTGAGACAACTACTTTTCATGTTCTAGAATGCTGTGAAAAACTTAGCCTGTATTTTATGTCACAATTGCTTATTTTATGGATTGTATTTATTTCTGAGGGCACAACAGATAATTTAACACACCATATGCTCTATAATGATAATGCACTTTATATTTATTCATGGTCGTTTTTTCTCAATATTTCATTGAACCCGAAGGAGGCCTTATCCTGAGTTCACAAACTAGAAAAACAAATCAATTGACCATATATGTCATCTTCAAACTCTTTTGCAATGCTAGTGACTTTTCTTTCCATCCTTTAAAAATGTATCCAGCTTTCTGCTGGACTGATTTATGCTGCTTGCTTTATTGCTGCCTTAATGCAAGCTGTTCCATATTTTAGCCAGCCTTTGGAAACCAGGTTTGCATCTGATTCTATTGTTAGGGCTTGATATATAAAGAACAAGTAACATAATTTAGGAGGCTATGGCTGTTAAATGCCATTTTACTATGTCTTTTAAGCATTTCTTTATATTTCAGCAAGGACGGCACACGGTCATAGCACAAAACACTGATAATGCCCTTACGTCCTGCAGCACAAATATTCTGGTCCCTTGGGCAGGGCCAGAGGGAGATACTTTGGCAGAGAAAGAATTGAGCTGCCTGCCCTCTTCTGCAACAGATTTACTGTACAAACGGGTTCTGTTCAATAGCAGATCACAGGGGGAATTCCCCTGTCCTAGTCACTTGTGGCAGTAGGCACAAAGAATGAAATCCTGGGTTTCTTCCACAAATTTGTTCTCATTTAGCATTTCCCTAACTTAATTGTGCTTCAGCTGCAGCCTTTTCACAGGCTTCAAGATTGTGAATAAAAGCATTTTTATCTCCTTTTCTTTCCAACCATCCCCACCTACTTTTCCTTATACGTTCCTGCCCTCTGTCAAAGAAAGTATTTTTCTCCTCATCAGGTTGTTTAAGAGTGAGACAATGAGAAAAGCAAAATAAAGAAACCCCTTTCAGCTCAGATTCACTTTTAAAAATGTAAGATTGAACCAGGAGATATCCCACTGATTTCAGAAGGGGCAATTCCTGTGTTTGAGGTTAAGCATATATACTCATATTCTTTCTTGAATCGAGCTATATTTAGCAAGGTCTTTTTCTTCAGCTTCTGAAATGGCAAAAGTGGATCGTACACAGCAAAGAAATAAAAGAGTGCTTCTATTTCAGTGTTAAATCAGTGCTGTTGTTCTGCTTCTTAGGTTAGGATTATTACAACAATATCTCCTGGAAACTCTAATCAGATGTGATGTCTTGTTTTACTTCATGCTATATGAAGATACATAGCTCAATGCTTTATTGGTATTAATCCTGCTCTTGCAAGCAGTTCATTATTACAGGTCTTCAGAGAGGAAGAAGCCAAGTGAGCAAAAGTAAGCCTTTTGCTCATAATGGAACATGAAACAAGCTGCAGGAAGATTTACTCACCCCAAATATTACAACTACTAATACTATGTAGAATATAATATTTTTCAATTTAATTCACAACCAGTTAAAAAAATCTTCAGTGTACTTTGCATCATTAGAAATTACTGAGCTGCTGGAAGTTAATTAAATTAGCTGATATTGTAGTTCTTTATCTAAATTGATTGAGGTAATGTTACCATAATTTAAGCTAAAGAAGAGGAAAAAGCACATTCATGTAGGCTTGAAGCAAAAATCTAATCATAGTTGCATTGTTTTGGAAATTGTATGTGCATCTATTTTTATTAAAGCATCTTTGATTCATGATCTATTACTTCATAACAAATCTAGACTTTTTATAATTAATGCAAACTAACTTCTGGGTTTACATGAAAGCACGATTAAATTCATACTGGCTTCTTTGTCTATGGGATACAAAACTGAGCTGTGCATTTTCTTAGGTAAAATTGCCATGCTATAAAGCAAGACAAAAGGCAGATATCTGGGGCAGGAATTAATATAATGTCCATGTCATAATAGCTTGTTTATGTGTATTTATAGGAATGTATTTGGTATTTATTTTGTTTTGGTTTCCTTTGCTTTTCTAGAAGAGGCACTCGTACCATATAGTAAACCCAACTTCCCATCCCCTGGCGGCCACAGCTCTTCAGGAACAGCTTCTTCTAAAGGATCAACTGGACCTAGAAAAGGTGAAGTCTTGCGAGGAGGTCACCAACGCAATGCCAGTGACCTTCTCGATGTAGGCTATGTGGGATCAAACAGTCAAGGACAGTTTACTGGTGAATTATGTAAGTTTATCTCTAGCTACAGTTCAAACTCTTAAATAGACCAAAAGAGAAAAATTAAAACTGTCTTGTGAAGAGAGGAGGAAGTTGAGAGTGATAATCAGATTAGATTTTACCCAGATCTTTTTGCCTTCTGAGGTGTTTTTGCCTGTGATGACAAAGTTGTGTTCTTTGGTTTGGACCAGTTCAAATCTGTGTAAGCCATGCCAATATTATCCACATAGTACATCTTTCAGTGTGTAATGCTAGTGAAACACTGGGAAAATTGAAATTAAATTCTAGTAATTTAGAATTTTCTTGGCAAACTGTGGTCTTGGAGAGGCTATTGGTAGTTCTTCTCAGAGGAGTGAATGAAAGGGTGCTGAATTTGTTGAGCATGTTGGCAAGCTTGTGGTTCCTTCTCCTTAACTTTCTGTTGCTTGATGACCAGTATTCTGCTCTTTTTGACCTTAGATGGGAGTCCTCTTTTTTTGACTGTATAGCCCAGTTTTTCAGTTTTATATCTCAGCTCTTTCCTCAACTTCCCAAGCCACGAGAATTATTTTCCAAACCTTTTTTCTGTTATCACTCAATATCTATTAAACCTTGTATAAAACCATGTTAAAGTTGTGTATGTATGTATGGTAGTACCAGATGCCAAAAGGTTTGACTGTTGTTTGAAGCAGTACACCAACATCCCAGATTAGTCATACTGGTATGTTCAGCAGTAAAAGCAGTGCAGCTGTTGGCATGTCTGCCTCCTATTTGCTGCAGTCAAACCCTCAGCACCTCCTGACAGTTACCCCCCAGTAGCTTGTAAGAGAGCTAACGGTGATCCACAAACCCTGAAATGTGTGGTTTCAGATATGGTGTTGGTAAGTGCTGGATTTTAGCATTCACTGCTTTTCATCTTAGAAACAATTAACTCTCTTCTCCCAACCTATTGAATATTCATCCCATGCTGCAGTAATATTGCCATAGGCTTTGTTTTGTGTTTTTTCTCCTTATTACAACCTCTTTCTCTCTCTTTGTTTCTCTCTATAGAGTAGTTGAGAAGACACATTGCAAGCTGCTCTGATGGACCATCAGGTCTGAACTCATGGAAGTGATGACACTAAACAGTGCAATGAACATTTTCTTTATTTATGTACTATTAAAAGAACTGTAAATGCAATGTAAAGACACACAGCCACACATATCCCACAGATACTTTACTTGTGTTCTTCTCTTTAATACACCATCCACCTTAAACTATTCCTTGTGAGGCGTATATAAAAAAGAAAGAAAAAAAAAAAATCACCCTCCAGGATGAAAAGGATTTCCTTCTGTATATAATTTCTTTTGTTGCATTGCTATGCAAGCTCACCTTCTTTTTAGCTATGTTCATATTCATGTCTGTTTTTATTGGTCTGTTGTACTATATGTGAATTAATAGGCTGTGGTGCCATATATTAACTTTTAATCGTGTAACTTTTATGTTTAAAGTTTGCACTGCAATTTTATTTGGTGAGAAGCACAAAACTCTACTCCTCATGACATGAAGAAAAAAGAGACTGAATGTTTGAAGAAGGTTTACTTACTGTAAGCTACTTTGGATAATGCTGGATGTAAAGGAGTATGTTAGATGGTTTTCCATTGGGGTGTAGAAATGAGAAAGTAACAGACAAAACTGATGTCAGTGAAGACATTAGCAACAGATTTAAATCTTTTAAAAGCAAGCAACGTAGTTGCTCTTCCTATTTAAGAAGGGGTCAGAAGTTGGAAGTGTGAAATTAGAGAGTGAACATGAAAATTAAAGGTAGCATGAGATGGCCTAGACCCTTTCACTAGAATGATGCCCTTAGTATCTGTTTTTAGCCATCCCATGCCACTAAGTAAAGGGGAAGAAAAACAAACCTTGCTACAAACATAAGAACTTAAGGTGTTTCACTAGAGCTGTTTTTATATTGCAGTTTTAAAAGAATTATTACCATTAATTTCTCCAACCCAAAATATAAGACAGAGATTTCCCAGGAGAAACAAATAATATAAACTCAAGGAATACCTAGTAAGTAGTTAAGGATGCAATTTATTATTAAGACATATTCAGGCTGCTTCCAAAAAATTGAAATGTCAGAGTATCTTATTTCATCTTTCCAATACATGTACATTATAATAGAAGATAGAGCTACACCACTGAAATTCATGCCATTAATTGTTTTGATGCAGTCTAAACAAACCTTTGTGTTCTGTTACCCGAGGTCTACAAGAGCTGAAGCTGGATCCACTAAATTTGTAGTAAAATGTTTAATGTTTGGAAGGAAAGCAATGGTCAAATTATTTTCGGATTGCATTAAGTACATTTCTGGCAATACAATACATCCAAAAAGTTGAATATAAGCAAAGAAAATCTTTGACCTGTGTTTTAGTGGGTGGCCTCAAACCCTGATATGATGAGGAAATAACGCATGTTTATACACTTTTTGAATAAACCAGACTCTGTAAGTGGACATTAATGACAGCATTCTGTCTCTTCATTAATTTTCATGACTTTGTCCAAATCTTTTGTACCTTTCAAATCTAAATGAGTAAATTGTCAAACTTTCCTTAGAATATTGTATGTGGATAGTCCACTCATTTGATGCTTAATTTAAATATTGCATCCTGCAGCTTCTTTCTGTTAGTTATCTGACCATGAACAAGTTTCCATTTGAATACCTTTTTCATATAACCAGTCTATGTTGTTTTATATATTGCCTTGGAGCTCACCAGTATTAAGAACACTTTTAGTAATAGCAGAATCTCAGAAAAGTAAACTACAATGCTAAATATGTGTTGTTTTTCATTTCATTAACTTGTTCCATGATAAGATAAAACACTACAGCCATCAACTATAACTCAGCACTATTGAATATTTTAAAAATGCTAGTTAACTTCTTTAAGGTCAAGACTGTTATTTAGCAGGTTACAAACCAAAAAAAGTTGAGAGAAAAATGTATGCATTTATTTATATATGTGACCAGTGAATATATGTAATTTTCCTGCTTGTTAAACCATTGCAGTTAAAACCATTACTTTATAATGTGCAAAAATGTTTAAGCAAGATAAAGAAGGAATCATATTTACATACGTATGTTTTTTATTTTGGTATTACCATATGAAGAGAAGACTATTCAGGGTACAATTCAAATTTAATTCTCTGGAAAATGTTTAACTCAGTCACGGTATATTTTTTTTTTACATTTAATTCGAAAGCTTGTGCTGAGCTTTGGTGGAACACCTTAGTCACTATATTCTATTCAAAATTCAGTATCATTAGATGTTGATAAATCCATTCCAATTACTTTCAAATACGTGTTTTATCTCTTCCACTGGAAAGTAAATGTGTGTCAGTATTAAAGCTGTGCAGTACCATGATATTCACTAACTTGTCCATCTGCTTCTGTACATTTTTGTTCATTAATAATTTGCTTACAATATTACATAAGGTGTTGTTGTGTATCGCAAAGTGTCTCCATTATCTTACAGGTGATGTCTCTTCTTTTTTTCTCTCTCTCTCTTTTCTAGACAGTGTACTTCCAATGAACCACAGTACATATTTTTTAAAATGCCATTTAATTTACTATTTTAAAAGAAGTATTCTTTTTTTTTTTTTTTTTTTTTAAATTGAAAACATTTATTGTGAATAATGTGTTTAAAGAAAAGGGATGTTGTGGCAGCACTTAGAATTGTTTTTTAATTTGTTTTTTAAAAAACTGTTTATTGGCTACAGTTTGTTCACGAAAAAGTACAACCTCTTAATGTGTTTCATTGGTATTGTTAGTGCAGCAAAGTTTAATTGGCATAAAAAGTTGGTTAATAGTACTGTTGAAGTGTGTATTGTATATTTACTGGGGAAAAAATAAAACATATTCACATTTCAAATCTATGTTAAAAGACCTTGAGTAAGGAGTCAATATGTGAAAACCCAAACTGGGAAAATCAGGCAATAATAACATAGACTGAGCTATAATCATCACTGTCCACTTACAGGTAACAAGGCACATGTTTTTTGAACTAAGCTAAGATCTGTCTTACAAATAGGCCAATGGTAAACGTTGCCTGTCATAGGCATTTCTGTTTAACATCCTGTCTATATCGGGAGTAGTTGTACCAATGTAATTACACTGATACAACTATTCTAGTGATACATCCTCTGTTTGTAGACAGAATATCTCAATGTACAGTAAGGACCGCAAGTGCACAGCTTACTTTGCTTAAAGACCATATAGTAGCAGACTTGTAAAATGTGTTCACTGGGTCTGAATCCTTGTACCTGGGGTTTTTTACTGGTGGAGCTACTGCCAACCCAGTACAAAATAACCCCAGCAAGTATTGATAGATGCTAGGTCAGTTTTTCTCAATCTTTGCATTAAATATATACTCAGTTTTAAAAGCAGGAGGGCTGAAGGACCAAATAATAAATTGTTACATGTGCTTCAGTGGTGTATTGCTGTATGGGCAGCCATTTCAGTGATGCAAACAACAAACATTTCTTCTTTGTTATTTATTATTTCTGAATTCCTTATCCAAGTCAGTAACCCTTTTGAATACATTTTAGTTCTCACGTGAAATACAACAGAAACACCATTCCTTGGGAAAAGTACAAAAGAAAAGGAGCATGAAGTGTTTTAAGTATATGGATTTAACTATACACAGTGCAAAAGGAAGAGATGACTGTTTGAAATAATGAAATAATGATATGCTGGTTTATGCTTGGCTCAGCCCATACATTGCCAGAAAGGAGAAAACGTGTGTACTAAAGCTGAGAAAGAGTCCTCACAACTGACAGAGGGAAGGTAATCAGGTTGGGGGAGATTCTGGCAGGAACTTTTTTTTTTACTAAAAAAAAAAAAACATACAGGCAGCTCCTTTGGCTTTTCTATGATTTATGCAGTTTGTTTTTTATGATTAATGGCCTTGTGGAAATTTAGCAGGGGAACTAGGAAGAAAAAAGTTGGCCTTGTTTTGTAAAGATTGGGGGGAACTTTCTTTGCTGAGGGGAGGATTTTTTAAATTTCATTTTTATTTTTTTAACACGTTTTGTGTTCCATCTATCTGGAACACGTTAGCTAAAAATAAATTATTTTTGAAAACGATGTGGGCAACGGACAATTCATTTAGGAGGTACTTTCATATCGCAGGAAAGATGGTAAAGAGTAATACTAAAAAAAGGAACAGATACACTGCCTTAGAATCAGCAAAATCCACTTCAGTTTACCGTGTAATTCTGAACTGTTGAAAATACATATAAGCTTCATTAATTTTGGTTTCCCTACCAAAATAAATTATCTGAAGTGCATGGGAAGGCTAGCTCCTCGGGTGTGGTTAAGTGTGTGGTTAGTCCAAGCTGGTGGGACTGCAGTATGCTCAGGGCGTACGAGCCCCCCGGCCTGGCTGCTTGCACCCCGGCACCCTCCAGCTGGGAAGCACACACGGCTCCAGGCTCTGCAGGTTTCAGTGGATCGGCACCTTGTCAGGCACCCGCTGTGTAGGGGCAGGGTACTTCACCGGGGATGGGGCTTTCCAAGGCAGGGAAGGTCTCCGATGAGTTAGGTGTTGTGGCGGTTCACGTTGGGACCACTTAGTCTGGTCTCACGTTTTGGGACCACCCTCCCCAACCCTTGTCTCAGTGCTGTCCTGCTATGGTCTGTGTACCTCTTGCCCTGCCAACCACTCCTTCACCCAGAATAACAGGTACAATTTAGAGACATCTCACTGGACCCAGAGGAGATGTAAGCCCATGCCTGCGTGCTATGAATGTGGACTGGGGATTTGAGGAGAGCTAGCTCTGAACTCTAATGTTGCTGTGAGGACTAGATTGTTCTCTAGTCTTGCCTTAAGTGTGTACATTCAGGAAGACCCCAGCAGAAAACAAGTTCCTAGAGTGCACCTCAGCATTGCAGCATCTCTTCTGGCAAGTGACTCCTCATTCAGTCTGTCACAGACCATACTGAGCTCCATACCAGCTTCTCACCACATCCTGAGGACTGAAATGGCTTATGCTGACATTTAGGCAAGTGAGGTTGTTCATTTATCTGCAGTAGAATGGAACAAAAAAACAAACAAACAAAAAAAAGCCAACAAAACAAAAACAACAACAAAAAACCCCCAACCAACTAAACACAACAAAAAACCCAAACAGAAAACACCAAAAAATGAAAGCTGTCGCTTAAACACAAACCTTTTAAAATAATCCTCAAAAATCCTAGAAAACAATTTCAGGTTTATATGTTTGAGGATTTTTTTTTTTCATTTTCTTGGAATTTTGTCTTATCTATCATTGAAATAATCTATTTATTCTTTTCAGAGCTGCTGCACTCTGCCTCTGCCCGCCCCTCACCCCTCACCCCCCGCACCTCCCCCCTTTTCCAATACTTATCTTTCTGCTGTAAAGAAGTTATAGTAGAGAATAATTACATTTGTGTACTTTCGGTGTTATAACTTTAAACAACAAGGTGCACGGTTGCATTCAGTTCAATTGATCAAAGCCAGATGGGGGATGAAATGTTTGTGTTGTTTTTTTTTTTTTTTCTAAAAAGGCATGCTACTATTTGTGCTGATATTTGTTCCCCATTTACGCTGATCAGTGCATCTTTTGCCTTCAAGGATGCCATTAGTAATTCTCCTTTGTGTTTAAAAGCAGGAATCCATTGTGCAGCACTTGGAGAGACACTCGGATGCAGGTAAAGAATATAACAGCTTGAGCAAGTGCTAATTAGAACCAATTAAACTTAATTGACCTCCTTTGGCAGTAAAATGCATAATGGAACTTGCTCTGTCCTTGCAAAATGGAGATCTTGCCTCTAAGCATAAGAGTGAAGCATGGTTTCACGTAGCAGCCTGTAGTAATTATGTGGGTATAACAACCAGGAAGAGGCTTGCTCCAATTTGTTCTAATAACTGAGCTCTACTGTATCAGGGCAGTGGAATAAATGTGAGATTTCTGGTTCAGTCTATTTAAAAACCTAATTTTTACACAGCAAATGAGCATCCCAAGATACCAATACTAATCTCTAGGAATGAGTTGGCAGAAAAATACAGAGTCCCTTTTATAGGTAAGTAATGGCATGAGCATAAAAAAAAAAAAAAAAAAAAAAAAAAAAAAAGCAGCAGTTATATGCCTGCAAATTGGGAATGGTTCTGATGCTCAGCAGCTGTGTCCATCCTGAGTAGTGGGTGTAAAACTCTGGTGTGCCTGGATCAATGCCTTGTCTGGGAGAACAATCTGCCTACAGTTTAGCATGGCTCTCCACTGCACCTTGCTATGAGGTTTCCTTTTCCTTCTGCAGACTTCTGTTTGAAAATGGGCACTGGCATCCATCCATCTGGGGTTTGCGGTGCCATGGGACTGCACCACTACCATGGGCACCAATATGGCCTTAGTCAGAGGTATCCAAGTGAAAGGAGAGAGAGAAAGAGCAAGGGAGAGAATGAAGGGTAGGAAATATAAAATTGTATGAATTCAAAAGAATCAGGGGTGGGTGCTAAACTACACATCCCTGTGAAAAGCTTAAAAGCCATTCTTATTAGTAAAACCAAACTGATCCAGTTTCAATGACCATGCTTTGCTGACTTTTTCCTTAGAAGGAACTGAATGTGACTGATTCTGTTGCTAACTTGGCCTTACTATGAACAGCAATAAAGGTGTTAGTCAAGTGGGGCCTTTGATGTGACCAATAACATCACTCTTCCTTCAGGGAATGTTCTGTGCTGGCTTGTTAATGAATTTCTTTCCTAATGAGTATCATTAAAAACCTTTGATTAGCTATTTGTGTGAATGCCCTTCCTTTTTCCTCTAAGCTGCTACTTGCACTAGTGGCAGCAGGTTTTTGCCCTAGGCAGAATGCATGAAGCTCTATTCCTTACCTCATGAATACAAGTCTGAGGCGAATCACAATAGGAAAGAGAGAAAAAAAGAAAGAAAAATAAAGACCTCACAGATGAGTTGAAGTTGTTTTCTCCACATGTACAACCCGAACAGGCACTCGCATTCAGATGAGAATGTCATTAGGGGAAATGAAGAGCAATAGGTAGTGATGGTGAAGCATGTAACTAATTTACATACACCTTGAGTGCCAACAGGCAAAGAAACAAATAAAGCTCTAATCTGGGGAAAGGGAATGCCAGAGAATAAATGGACCGCAACAAGCAAACAAAAAATGCCATGTCATAAAATGTAGCAAAAAGCCTGGAAAACAAAATTAAAAACAAAACAAGGCATTTCACATTCCTGGCCCCTAATGAGATATTGATGGCATAGAAATTGCCTGCTCCAATGCAAGACAAAAGGAAGACCGGGAAACACAAAAACAATTAGGAAACAGATTTGACTATCTAAGATTTAATAGAAAGAGATGTGGCATAGCAGAGCACAATTAATATCTATTGCCTGAAACATTTTCTTCTCCTGAGCTACTGCAGACTTGTCTCCCCTACTCCTGATCTTAAAATGACAGACATCCAATCCAGTTTTGTATTTAACATAAATTTCTCTCTGACGTTCCTTCCCCAGTCCCCCAAATCTCCCATTGAATTTCAGACTCTGATAAACAAACCTTTTGCATGGTGCCACAGGCTTTGAACTAGCTTCAGCCTACCCACCCCCTTCCTCCTTCTCTTTTTTCCCATTGCACATAAGCTTCCTCTACATATTTTCTACCTTGTTGTTAGGCATATAATCCGGCTTCTCTATTTTTGTCCTTTGCCCAGAAAGCCGTCTTGGAGATTTATACAAGTTCACTTTGATGTTTGATCTATGTGGAATATGAGGTTTAAGTTTAAAGTAGGTCATTGGGTGCCTTTAGAGCATTTGTAAGTAAGGAAGGGCCATTGATGAGTCTCAATTTGTTTCAGCCCTGTACACAGAGCCTAAGAAACTCAGG